TGAGGAACCAGCTAAATACTTAAAACAACTGCAACTGCTAACAGATTTTAAGGAGGAATTGCTAGCTACACAATAGTAGTTGGAGACTTCAACATTGCCTTATCACTTCTGGATAGATCAACAAGAACAAAACTTAGCAAGGAAACATTGGCTTTGAAGGAAGAAATAGAAGAAAGAGGACTAATAGACCTATACAGGGCTTTACACTCTAAAAAGAAAGAATACACATTCTTCTCCAGTGCACACGGAACATTTTCCAAAAAAGACCACATAATAGGCCGCAAAACATACCTCAATAGAATCAAGAAGATAGAAGTTGTATCAACAATCTTTTCAGACCATGATGTGCTGAAGATAGAAGTGAATCACACAAAGACACCGGAAAACAAATCAAACACCTGGACATTAAACAACTCAATGTTTAACAATGAGTGGGCCAGAAATGGTCAAGCACAAAATCAAAAGATACCTGGAAACAAATGATAATGAAGACTTGAGCTATCAGAACCTATCAGACGCAGCTGAAATTGTGCTAAGATGAAAATTTATAGCGTTGTAAGCATTCCTAAGGAAGGAAGAAAGGGCCTACATAGATAACCTAATCTCACAGCTCAAGATCTTAGAAAAAGACCAACAAAAGGAACCCAAATTTTGCCGAAGGAAAGAAATAATAAAACTTAGAGCAGAAATTAACTACATGGAAACCCAAAAAGCAGTCTGAAAGGTCAATGAAACCAAGAGCTGGTTCTTTGAGAAAATAAACAAGATTGCTAAACCACTAGCAAGACTCACAAGAAAGAGAGAGAACCCTAATAAAACGAATCAGTAATGAAAAAGGGGACATCACAATAGAAACCAGTGAAATTCAAAAGATTATCAGAGACTACTTTGAGAGTCTGTATGCCACAAAACAAGAGAACCTAGAAGAAATGGATAAATTCCTGGATTCCTATAATCTCTCAAGATTCAACCAAGAAGACTTGGAATACTTGAATAGATCCATTCATATCGAGGAAATTGAAGCGGTAATCAAAAGTCTTCCCAAAAGCAAAAGCCCAGGCCCAGACGGATTCACTAGTGAATTCTTCCAAACATTTAAAGAAGACTTTTTGCCAGCTCTCCTCAAGCTTTTCCAGGAAATTGAAAAAACAGGAACTCTCCCAAACAGCTTCTATGAGGCATGTATCTCTTTAATACCAAAAGTAAATAAAGACACCACCAACAAAGAAAACTATAGGCCAGTATCCCTGATGAGCATGAATGCGAAGATCCTCAACAAAATATTAGCAAATAGAATCCAACAACTCATCAAAAAAATCATACTCCATGACCAAGTGGGATTCATCCTGTGGATGCAAGGATGGTTTAACATTTGGAAATCAATCAACATAGTCCATCATATCAGCAAAAGTAAAGACAAAAACCATATGATCATATCAATAGATGCAGAGAAAGCGTTTGACAAGATACAGCACCCGTTTATGATGAAAACTCTTACCAAAATGGGTTTTGAAGGAACTTTCCTCAAGATAGTCAAAGCCATCTATGACAAACCCATGGCAAGCATTATCCTCAATGGGGACAAACTAAGGGCCTTTCCTCTAAGATCAGGGACAAGACAAGGATGCCCACTATCACCACTTCTGTTCAATATAGTATTGGAAGTACTTGCAATAGCAATTAGGCAAGAAAAAGACATTAAAGGCATCCAGATAGGAAAGGAAGAAATTAAGCTTTCACTGTTTGCAGATGATATGATACTATATCACGAGAACCCTAAACCCTCTACCAAGAAACTCCTAGAAACAATAGACTTGTGCAGTAAAGTTGCAGGCTATAAAATTAATGTCCAAAAATCCATGGCCTTCCTATACACAAATAATGAGACAGAAGAAAGTGACAGGAAAAAAAACAATCCGTTCACAGTCGTGCTCCAGAAAATCAAATACCTTGGAATCAGCCTAACTAAAGAGGTAAAGGACCTCTACAGTGAAAAGTACAAAATGCTACTCCATGAAATAAAAGAGGACACGAGGAAATGGAAACAAAAATGGTCATCTGATAATTTTTTCCTTTTGCTTTTTCTTAGTGACTTAATTTTCCTGAACAGCTATTATAAAGTAAAGGGAAGATTCAATTCTTAGTGAGGCTAAAAGGTTGCTCAGTGCCACAGGGTCTGAATGTTAATTTAATTGAGGCAATATGCAAACAGCCTTCAAAGTCAAATCATTTGTCCAAAAGACTCGTGAAATGTCAGTCCCCTTATTATGTTACTTATTAAGGGACTTGTTGTTTGAGAAGTAGTAAATATTTTTCCAGTAGTATCTACTTTATACTTTGTAAGACATCATCTGGAATATTCTAATGTGGTATTCCAAGAGCTTACATCTGGGGCCAGACTGATAGTACAATGGGTAGGCCAGGGTCTTGTATGTCCCTTGACCCACCATGAGTGCTCTTTGAGCTCAGAGGCAGGAGTAAGTGCTGAGCACGGCTGACTGTGTCCAAAAAGCAAAACAAACAAAAAACAAAAACCCAAACAAAAACTCCAAAGAGTTTACTTCATTTACCATTCCCTTACTGAAATTGCCCTCCCTGTTTTTTCATGACATAGTATATATAAAATATATATAATGGGTTATGGGTTATATGTGTGTATACGTATATATATAAAATGCATGAAATATATCATGTCGCGGCTGCGCGACATCTTATTATGACATCTCATTCCTACTTTGACAAACTGGCAGGCTACCGAATGTAGCCTGCCTACATGGCAGAGTCTGGCAAACTCCCCGTGGCGTATCCATTATGCCAAATACCAGTAACAGTGATGGGTCTCATTCTCCTAAAAGAGCCTTGAATATAACCTCAGGGCCAGGATGAAGGAGACGTTACTGGGGCCTGCTCGAGGCAATCGACGAATAACAGGATGATCTGTGATCTGTGATCTGTGATATATATATATATATTTAAAATATTTTTGTGATTCTAGGGATTAAACCCATCTCTCCTGCACGGAAGGGCTTGCTCTTTACCACTGAGCCACATCTCTGCCTTTTTATGTCATAGTTTTTGCCAGCTACTAGTCAACATTTACATTACTATGACAATGCAGTTGTTTTTTACTGCATAGGTCAAATGATGTGCTATGATTATATTTACTTTCTTATGCAGCATTTTGTTTGTTTTGAATTTATAAATACTTTTTTATTTGCTTCATTTTTCAGGCAAACCTGCTCTTAATTCTCTTCCTGTGCTACCTAAAATCTATTTATGACTACCGGTGTTATTTCCTATTTGTGTAGACCCAGGCATTGGTTCTCTCTGCTGTCCACACTTAAATCCTGGTACAGGGTTGGCATCATAGGATTGGTCTTTATTGCGTCCCTTGGCTTTTTTTTGTTGTTGTTGTATGCTGTTGTTAGCTTGCTCTCTGGTTTTGCTAGAGCTTATCTAATGTCTTCTTATTAAAGTTTGCATTTGACACAACTAAAACAATATTTTAAGGTTTTGAGCCTTTTTTAATTTATAGCTCTCACTCTTGTTTGATTTGGAATAGAATGTCAGCTTTAAAGCCAGCATTTTGAAGGAAATACACTCTATTTTCCTGATGCTTCTAAGAAACCCGATGCCAATCTCCTCTACAGACATTTTTTTGGAACACAAAAATGAGGAAATCCCTGCCCTGCATTGCCTAATGCATTGCACTTAGCTGGGAGGAGAAATCTGTGTCATCATAAAGCAGAGAGTCTCTCCCAGCCATGGAAGTGAGACTGAGCACTGTGGGGGCTCAGAAGGGAATGTAGAGCCGGAGCCACAGGAGAGGGCGTGGGCGTAGGAGGGTCCAAGAGAGTGCAGCTGGACATCAGTTGGAAATTGAGTTTAGAGCAATTGCAAGAGATTTGAATGCCATGATGATGATGATGGGCGTAGCTAATATTTATAAAACACTTCTGTTTGCCACTCAACAAATGCTTCTGCAGTTGGTTCACTTATCTGTTAAAATTCTTTGATGTTGGTTCTGTTGCATTGTTGCCATTTTACAGTTTAGAAACCTGGAGGTTGAATAAATTCTCCTGCATCAGGTAGTAAATAATCTGGAATTTGAGTCCACTTTGGTTCTGAACCCTTGGTTTATCCTCTGCTACAATGAACTTTAATCTGTAGCTCCTGGGAAAGGCAGTACATTTCCTCTCTCTCTTTCTTAAAAATCTAAGACATGACCTAATAAGAGCAGTATTTGGAGAGATTGAAACTGGAGTGATGTTTAAGCTGGATTTGGACCCAGAGCAGGTGGTCTTGTCATCATAAATGGGTAGAAGGGGTTCAGAGAGTGTACATGGAATGTGTATAGATCTCATTAAAGCAAAAATTCTGATATTGAAGCTGCCTTTAAAATCCATGTAAATATTACAGCTACATTTTATTTTGAGAATGGACACAATTTTAAAAATGGGCAATGTGGTGGAGAAGAGAATCTGAATTTACTGACTTTGCTTTGTTTAAAAATTTGTTTAAAAATTCAGTGAGACATTAGCTGTACTTGATACTTGCCTGCCTTGCATAATTTAAAATTACCGCTGAATGTCCAGTTATAATGTGATCTTCTCTACAGAGCTGATCTTTCATGGCAGGGGGACGGAGCAGGGCATGGAGGGGGACCAGGGGACATGGTGGAGGGAAGAGGACACTGGCGGAAAGCGTGGGGTTAGGATGTTGTGTGCAGAAACCCTATCACTGACAATACTGTTAATTACAGTGGATCTAATACAATTAAAAACAAAAGAAAAACATCAGCTGCAAAGAATTTTTATTTCGTATTTTGAAGATAAGGTGGCCTACAGGTTGAAAGAATGAAATGGTGTCACTGCGGATATTGTAATGAATGTGTTGGTGTCACTGAACTTGTCCTGATGCCTCACTCTTTGAGTTGAGATTATTTTTATATGTGAAATTTAATGTTTTGCACTTCGGTTACTGCTGCCGTGCGGATGCAGGCGCACAGTCAGGGGAGTTCATATACGGCTTGGAGAGCTTTGTTTACAAGGACGTTAAGCCTGGTGGGTATACACGCATGGTTCCTTCTATTCTGCTATTAAAAAAAAATCACATTATTGTCTATGCCTGTGCTTTTAGTGGAGTCTGTTTGATAACCAGCCTTATGTTATTTAAGAAAATATGGAAATGTAATTCGTGCTTTCTCCCCACCCCACCATTTCCTTCCCTGCTTCCCCCTTCTGTGGTCATTTTCTCATTCACTCCTGCATGTCACCCTTGTGTGGCATGCACTATGCCAGGTGTCCTGTGTTCGTGGGGTGAAGCAAGTATTCAGCAGGTCAGACAAGCACACTCTGTCCTTGGGAGGCTGATAGCCTGATAGCCAGTCCCCCCCTCACACACACCCACTCTGTGAACTTTAGGTCTGAGGATAGTAGTTTGTCAGTGAAGCCCTTTCTCTTCCTGGCAGTGGCTTTCAGCTTAGAGGAGGATGAGAGGAAGATCCTTTCTCCAGGGGTGAGACTTTCCCCCTCAGTGTAGGTGCTCCTCGGGCTTCCTCTTCACATCCTCCCTCCTGATTCCCACAGCCCAGTGGAGACTCCCATCCTCTGTGACCTATTCAAATATAAGCTGTGCAAAAGACACAGTTGAAGCTTTAAGGTTTGTAATATAATTCTGTTGTATCCTGCAGAGTAGTCTGCCAAGTACATTAAAATAGTAATTTGTAATGGTTTAAAAACAGTTTTATCTATCAAGCATTATTTTCTGTAACATTTTAGGAACTTGTTGCAATAATGTGGTCATACTTGCCCTTTATTTGGATTAAACAGCAAAGCCTGATCTGTTACCTCCAAACTTAAACTAGCTTCATAAGAAGGGAATTGCTTGTTTTGACAAAGTTTTCTTGAGAAAAACATTCTGCTTTACAGCCCTGTGGTTTTCTCGTGTAATGCTTTGCCACACCCACTGTCACATGACAAGTCATGGCCTGTCACCCATCCGTTGATGCCTCTCCCCCTCCCACTTGCACCTCCTCTGGTGATCCCCACTTTGTTTTATCTGCTTGGTTTTTCTATCATGCTACAGAAGAGTGAAATAATACACAGTTCTTACTTCTCCTGCTGATTGGCTGCACTGGGCCAACCTCCCTGATGCTTCTTCCATACTTGCAGATGGGACGGTTCCATGGTCTTGTTTTTGTGACAGAGTAGATTGCTGTTGGGTGTAGAACCATTGTCTTCTTTATCCAGCTGCAGTGGAAGAACTCTGCACCTAGAAGCAAGCATCTTCCGTGACAGTTTAGTTGTGGAAGAAGAAATCCCAACAGCACATTTCACAGCACCATGTGCTCAATCACTCTGGCAGAACTCTTCCTTCACCAATCTGCTCTGTCACTATGGGACTGTGGCCATTCACCTTCTGGCTCCTTTGTTGGACGTAGAGCCTGGAGGCAGTCATGGATAACCGTTCAGTTCTGTAGTTATCAGTTAGTGGCAGCACATTCTGATCCTGCTCTGAGCGATTTGTTTCCAAGGTACAGATTCCATGGCCCACTCCCATCCCACAAACTCCTGGGCAGCACCTCAGCAACACCATGAAATGCCATCAGATGGCATTCTGTGGAAAGGAAAACCCACTTGGTTTCTGAATTCCCACTGTCCCAAGGCTGCATTCGCCTGAGTAAAATGTGAGGCCCAGAATGTGGGCAATTCTGAACAAGAAGAGTCAGTTTAGTTGGTTGGGTTTCCTACATTTGGCTGGCACTTAGTGTGTGCTTTTTGATGGTCTTGTCCTTTAGCTTCTCATTTGATGTCTCCTAAAAGTGGCTGTCAAGTGTGGCTCTCACAGAGTGACGCTGATTTTCATAAAACCACAAACACTGACCCTCACTGTTGCTGTCTGTGCTGCTGTTGCAGTGTGTGAGGGGGAAACTCCTGTGGCCTTTAAACCAGTTAGGTCAGTGGCGCCAGGGTATACTGGTGCTTGCACTGTTGATCCTTGCCAGCCTTCACAGTCAAACCCCAAATAAACTAAATGGGGAAGCAGGTTCTGCTCTGTTTGGCCTTGTTTGTGGTGCTGGGGACTGAACCAGGGCTTTTGTGACATGTGAAGCCTGTGCTCTGTTGTGAGCCCAATCCTGGTGGTAAAGCACCAGTCTTAAGAATGCCCTTCGGAAAGTAGGCAAGTTTAATTTTAATAAATTCTGGCGACTGAATTATCTTTAATTCTTTGGGTGGCAAACGGAAGTTTGCATAAAGTACTGAAGTAGGCTGTTCATCTCATGGGAAAATACTTGTGTAACTGTTTAAGTTGCCAGTTGAACTAATGACTCTTTTTTTTTATGGGAATCCATTGTTTGTTTAGACAGATGACAAACTGTATTTCAGATTTTGGTGTTTGCACAATAAAATATTGGCTAAAGCAACAGTGTTTGTTGCCAGAATAAAGTGTGAACTTTTGAGCAAAAAATGAGAATTTTGGAACTTTATTTGGCATCTTGAGCTTGACAGCATCTCAGTGAAGCTCCTTGTTTTCTTTCTGATGAAATTAGTGGGCGCTACTAAGAAAATATTTCTATTTTAAAAATACAAAATAACTCAATATGTGGGTCCCTGAATCATAATTCAGTAAGCTAACAATTTTGTTACCAGCACATAATAAAAATTTATTCAGGTGTAAAATAATTCGTTTAAGGGTAAGGGTTGATTGGGGCTGGAGAGATGGCTAGTCCAGGGGGTAGGGTGCTTGCCTTGGATACAGCTAATTTGGGTTTGATCCCCGGTACTCCATATGGTTCCCCAAGCTTGCCAGTAGTGCAGAGACAGGGTTAAGCCCTGAGCACAAATAAAAACCCTAGCAAAAAAAAAAAAAGATAAAGGCATAATGATCCATTTTATTCAGGTAAAAACAATTTCTGACAGAGTTTGAGATTTTAAGAGACAACTAAAGTTTCAGCATTTATTTATGGTATGGGAGAAGCAGGGCTGGAGCGATAGCACAGCGGGTAGGGCGTTTGCCTCGCACACAGCCAACATGGCCAACCCGAGTTCGATTCCTCCGCCCCTCTCGGAGAGCCCCCCGGCAAGCTACCGAGAGTATCTCGCCCGCATGGCAGAGCCCGGCAAGCAACCCGTGGCGTATTCGATATGCCAAACACAGTAACAACAAAGTCTCCAATGGAAACGTTACTGGGCCCACTCGAGCAAATTGATGAACAACTGGAGGACAGGACAGGACATGGGAGAAGCAATGAAAGTGTCCTTTCTTTTTCAATATCGTATCTCTAAATGAGATTTTCTGCATACACTTTAGTCAAAACAGAATAGCTCACTTTATTATGCCGGATTCAAAGGAAATTATAAGAATGTATACTCTCTCAGACTACACTTTTCTACTTCGAAAAGAGAATTATTTTTTTTATAATCGTATGTTATTTATGTTATCAGGTAATGGTTTATTTATTCCCGGTGAGTGAAACATTTTTCTGAATTCTCAGTTTTCATTTTAAAACTGCTTTAGAGTAAGAACTATGGCTTTTGACTAATGAGAAACTGGTCTGAATAACTTTGTTGCGTTCATATGAGATTTCAGATCTGTTTGGAATGATTTAATGTTTTTGTATCTTGAATTGAGATCAAAGACAGAACAAGGGACTAGAGGGCTATGAAGCTGGACAGGTTAAGGGGTCCGGTAAAGAGGCGTGTTATGTTGGAGCTGTTGTTAGATGGCTTGACCTGTCTCTATGGTCTGCCTGGATGGCGTTATCTCAAGGCTAGCCATGGTTTCTTTCTTGTGTTTTGTTTATTTCTTTGTTTTTTTTTGGGGGGGGGCACTCTTATTCTGGTTCTGCAGTCAGGGAAGATTTCTAGTGGACTTGAGGGACCATGTGGGGAGCTGGTGATTGAAGCCAGGTTGGCTGCATGCAAAGCATATGTCCTATTATTGCTCCTGCCCCATTTCTTGTGTCTTTTCAAATGCTATTGCTTTTGAGGGTGTATTATTTTTCTGAATGTTGGGTTTACAAATGAAAAATGTTCAGGCCAATAACAGAGGTACTAGACACAACCAGATTCTTTTTTGTATTTGTTGAACAGCTTTTTTCTGAAACTCCTTTTTAAAAAAAGTCTTATAGGCTCGGGTTTGCTTCTTGGGTTTCACCATGCGAGGAAGATTTGCTTAGCATATCAAGAAAAAACATTTAAAATTTCAAAGTAAATTTCATATGCATTTTTCCAAGCAGGCAAAACATTAGGGTTCTGAATTATAGAGTCTGATGAGGACTTTTGGAATCAATTGAATAACTCTGTCATGTGCATTTCAAATGGTAGGATAATTCCTGCCCTAAAGAAGAGTTCTATCTGTTGACAGGGCACTTGTGCAGCACTTAAATATTAAATATAGGGTCATCAATGCTTAATGGACATCTCTAAGCTTCAGGGGAAGTCAGCTTAGCTCTTCCTGGGTAGCTGTAAAGGGGCTTCACAAAGTCATGCTGAGTCTGGAATCTCGAAGTTCCTGATGGGTTTTCCTGATAATTAACCTCAAGGAGGGCCTTTCAGATGCAGAGAATGACACATTCAGAGACTTTTAAGTATTACAGAGCGATGCCTTGTTTTGGAAGGCTTGAGTTATGCTTTTCTGGAGTGCAAGAGTGAACCAGGGCACAGGACACCTGACACAGGGACCAGTGGAGGGAGGGACTGCCATGTCCTTCAAGACTTAAGCAATCCATTTGCTGGCTACAGAGAGTCACTGAAAGAATTTTAAGCAGAGATTAGTGGACCATCACTGGTCTGTTGGGAATGTTGGCTTGGTTAGCAGCAGTGTGCAGTCAGTGATGGTCAGATGGGAGGGGCATGTTGAGACCACAGTTCCCTGGACTTCCATGTAGTGCAATCCTTTGCAGTGAGGGTGTGTTGCCCTGTGCTGGGTTTCTGGGTCTATGACAGCCGAGGAAAAGGGGCTCTCATCCGCTGTTGGTGGGAATGCCAAGTGGTCTAGCATTTCTGGAAAACAATATGGACATTCCTCAGAAAACTAGGGATTGAGCTTCTGTAAGACCCATCAATTCCACTTCTGGGCATCTACCTACTGACCCCCAAGCCCAAGAACTCTATTTAAGAAAAGACATTTGTGCTCTTATATCTACTGCAGCACTATTCACAATAGGCCAAATCTGGAGACAACCCAAATGTCCAAGAACAGATTGATGGATCAGTAAACTCTGGTACGTACACGCAATGGAATATTACTCAGCTGTAGGAAAAGGTAGAATCATGCAGTGTTGCTATGCAGAAGAACCTGGAGAATATCGTGCTGAGCCAAAGATGAGAGGGACCTTAGGAGAAGGAGAGACAGAATAATCTTCTTCAAGTGTGAGATGTAAAGAAACATAATGGAGTAACAAATGTCCAAAGGCAACAGCACCTGAGAACTCAGAATCTGAGAAAGAACAGAACCCAAGGAGATTCAGTAAAAAGCTTACCCTGGAGGGAGGACTAGGAGGGTCTGGGGGGCACTGAGACAATGGCGGGGGAAGCGGACACTTGCCGGGTGGAGGGTGTGATGCTGGAATGATTCAGGTAAGAAGCCCCACCACTAACAGTGTTTATACCATGGTGCCTACAAAAAATTTTTTAAAGCTGAGTCTGAAAGTGGAGTGGGAGCATATTTAAAATAGACTGGAAGGAAGACACTAGCCAGATACTGAAAAACTGACTAAGCCCTCCAACTTGGATGCTGAAGATTGTTGAGAATAAGGTATGAGATCTCTTGGGTGCTCAGGCACTCTAGGTGATGTTTATTGGTCTTTTGCCATGAAGTGATTCAGACTGAGGAGGGAAACATTCTCTCTCTCTCTCTCTCTCTCTCTCTCTCATAACTGAATCACTGTGAGAGACATAGTTACAAAGTTGTCCAGGACTGGGTTTCAGTCATACAATGCTCCATCACCCGTTTCTTCACCAGGCTACATTTCCTACTACCAATGTCGGTTTCCTTCCCTCCCCCTGCCCCCAGCCTACCTCTGTGGCAGGCACTTTTCTTTTTTTGAGGAAGGAAGTTCTAGACCTTTTTCATTTGCCTGATTTAAATGTCTGGAAAAGAAATCTCCTGTTCTCTGAGGTTACTACGAGAGAACTTCCAGAGGGTTTTGTGAAATGTGCCCAGCAAACTGCGTCTATTAAATCTGCAGGGTTGTATGAAGCAGCTGATTTCACAAAACCCACTGTGGTGAGGGCTTATTCAGTTACCCCCCAAGAGATAATTTTGGAGAACATAGAACATAAATCTTGGGAATAGAATTTTCTACGTACTTAGAATGCTTAGGGATAGAGCAGTAGCACAGCAGGTAGGGCGTTTGCCTAGCACGCAGCTGACCTGAATTGGATTCCTCACCCCCTCTCAGAGAGCCCGGCAAGCTACCGAGAGTATCTCCCCACACAGCAAAGTCTGGCAAGCTACCCGTGGCATATTCAATGTGCCAAACACAGTAACAACAAGTCTCACAATGGAGGCGTTACTGGGCCTGCTCGAGCAAATTCATGAACAACGGGAGGACAGTGACAGTGACAGTGGCAAGTAGTGGCAGCTTTATTTATTTATTTATTTATTTATTTATATTGAATCACCGTGTGCTACAGTATCAAAACGTTCTTGTTTGAGTTTCAGTCGTACATTGATCGAACACCCATCCCTCCACCAGTATACATTTTCCACCACCAATGTACCCAGTATCCTCTCCTCTCCCTGCCCCACCCCTTCCCCTGCCTCCGTGTCAGACAGTTGCCCTCTTACTTTCTCTCTCCACTTATGGGTATCATGGTTTGCAATACAGATTACAGATAATGAGAGGCCATCATGTTTGGTCCTTTATCTACTTTCAGCACACATTCCCCCATCCCGAGCGATCCCTCCAACCATCATTGACGTACTGATCCCTTCTCTATCCCAGCTGCCTTCTCCCCCAGCTCATAGGGCAGGCTTTCAATGATGGAGCAATATTTCTGGCCCTTATCTCTACTGTCCTTGTTTTAGTCTCATATTGGAATATTTTATATTCCACACTGAGTGAAGTCATTCCATGTCTGTCCCTTTCTTTCTGACTCATTTCACTTAGCATGATATTCTCCCTGGCCATCCATTTAAAGCAAATTTCATGACTTTATCTTTCCTAACAGCTGCATAGTATTCCATTGTATAGATGTACCAAAGTTTCTTTAACCAGTAGTGACAGCTTTAAAAGCAAAAGGAAAAAAAAGAAAAGGAAAAATAAAAATCTTAAAATTCTTAAGAGTGGCATGCTGGACTAAGGAAGGTTTTCCAGTTTGGACTGCCTTCCACTTACTTGGTCGTTTAGATACTAAATACCCTTTCTTTGGAGTAATTGAGCTTATGACTCAAGGTCATCAGTATTGTTTGGGTGATGATTTTTATATAGCTGCTTTTAAGTGTAAAGGTAAAGGTAAGGTAAAGGTAAAGGCCCTCCCGTTGATCGTCGATTTGCTCGAGCGGGCCCAGTAACGTCTCCATTGGAGACTTTGTTGTTACTGTGTCTGGCATATCGAATACTCTCGGTAGCTTGCCGGGCTCTCCGAGAGGGGTGGAGGAATCGAACTCAGGTCGGCCATGTTGGCCGCTTGTAAGGCGAACGCCCTACCCGCTGTGCTATCGCTAAAGAGCTTAAATGATGGTTAGTGTTTGGTAGGCAGCTAAATGAAAGATTGGTGACTTGGGTATGTAGTTATTAGCTAAGGCCATGAAGTGAGGTTGTACCATATAAAAGATGATGCGATTTAAAAGGAACTATTAACATGACTCAAGTGTAGAGTTCAAAGTGCACTTGATGCTACTTTTGTATTCTTTCTTATGTCACTGAAGATTTTCCTTTTTGAAGTGTAACATTCAGAGGAAGTCATCCATTGACAGCTTAACCCTGCATTTCATTTGTGTTCCTGTGTTCCTTTTACATACTTATCAGAACCCTTCTCTCAAAGGTTTACATAAACTATCATTACATTTCCAATATTTTGATAACATTGAAACTGTGGAAAGTCAGGAGTACTCTAAAGAAATTAGTCTAAAAATTTGCCCAACTTTTGCTTAATTGCATCTGCCATGTTGTTTTTTGGATAAAAGGAGGTTATTGTTCTAGACTAAGGATGATTAACATGTTAATTTAGATTAAAGTAAGGTGAATTGTACCAGTATTTGCTGTTAGGAAGAAATCTCTTGTTTTCTTTTCTGTCCTCTAGTCTGCTAACTTGAATTTTATCCTTTTCTCACTTAAAATGCTTCCACTGAGAAGGACGTAAACGTAAAAAGCACAAAAAACATTTTAAGAAACGTTTTAAAGGCTCAAAAGGTAGGTGGAGTAGTTTTTATGCCATGTGTTGTTTATACACATTGCCACTTGATTTCTGTCTTTGAAGGCAAAATGAATGTTAAATAACATTGTAATTAAAAAATTAAGTTCTAAGTTGGTAATGCATATTAAAATCTACATTAAGTAAAACCCAACAAGAGCACTAGACTAGGTTCCATCTTCACCAAGTAGTGTCTTAGCTCTCACTCACTGGTTATGAGAAATGTGAGAATTTCAACTCTTAATCTTCTATTTTTATGTTTTTCTAGATAAACCAAAAGAAGCCAAAAAGGATACATTTTTGGAAAAATTGGCAACTCAAGTAATTAAAAATGTACAAGTAAAGATCACAGATATTCACATTAAATATGAAGATGATGTAAGTAATCTCATTTTACTTGGTTTATGTTGATAATTGTTTTCTTTCATACTCTTGTTTTTTCTATACATAAATTATATCACAGATCACGATCATCCTGTTGTTTGTCGATTGCCTCGAGCAGGCACCAGTAATGTCTCCTTCGTCCTAGCCCTGAGACTCTAAAAAGTGCCACATTCAAGGCTCTTTTAGGGTTAGGAGAATGAGACCCATCATTGTTACTGGTATTTGGCATATTGGGTACGCCACGGGGAGTTTTCCAGACTCTGCCGTGTGGGTAGGTTATATTCGGTGGCCTGCCAGCTTGTCAAAAGCAAGAATGAGATAATAAGGCATTTGCGGCCGCACGCTTATATATTATATATTATATATTATATATATTATATACCCAATTTTAAATCAAAGATGGATTTTTTTTCCTGTTAAGTTTGCTATCATTTATGTTCTGTGTTAGGATTTTTTTCTTGGTTATTTAAAATGTGTAACTATGTTATAAAACTGTCTTATGTTCCCTTCCAAACCTAATATAAGGGGTTTGGGGTTGTCTTATTATGTGTTTGTGAATTTCTTGAGGGGCTGGAGCGATACCACAACGGTAGGGCGTTTGCCTTGCGCGCAGCCAGCCTGACTGAGCGGGGTTCCGATTCCTCCGCCCCTCTCGGAGGGCTGGACAAGCTACTGAGAGTATCTCGCCCACGCGGCAAAGCCTGTCAACCTACCTGGGACGTATTCAGTATGCCAAACACAGTAACAGCAAGTCTCAAAAAAATGGAGACGTTACTGGGCCCGCTTGAGCAAAATTGATGAACAGCGGGAGAACAGCGGATAGTGACAGAATTTCTTGAATGTCTTAAGACATCATAGGATAATAGTAAGGATCTAATTTTTTTTAATCACAACACAAATTTTAATTCCCAGAAGCAATAAGAAAATTCTATATGCTGCTGAGATATTTTTAAAATAGTTAAATTGTTGTAAAGTCTAAGGACCTAGTATAAATTACAACCTAGTTATTGAAGATCAGAAATAGGAAGAAATTTTAATATGAGTAAATTTTGCTTTGAGAGACTAAGGAAGTATTACATACTAAGGATTGGGTGTTTCCTCGTTTTAAAGTTTCAAAGAATTGAAAGGATTAAAGAAACAGTTCATATTTCTAGTGTGAAAATCTCAAATGTTTTAAACATGGCTCAGTAATAGGTCAGAGAAAGAGAGAGTACAGCACAGCAGGAGCTTGCCTTTCAGGCCGCCGTCACAGTCCAGTCCCTGGCCGTGCATTTGGTTCCCTGAGCCCCACCAGGAGAGATCTCTGAGCACAGAGCCAGGAGTAAACCCTTCGGAAATACCATGTGTGGTCAATCCAAAAATAACAAAATCAAAAAATAAATGAAAATAAAAACAATTTAATGGTGATACACTTGGCTGGCGATGCTGCTAGCTATTGCACCCCCACCCATGTCCTCTCCCATGGAACTTGGTGTTAGTGTTATTATCTGTAACACTTTGTTTTTTTGTGAGAAACATTTTTAGTAACATATATAAAGAGGATGCTCAGCCCCGATCCGATCCGAGCAGGCTTGGAGATCTCAGCCCCGGGACCCGCATGCCTGTGTTCCTCTGCCGGTACCTTCATGCGTGTGGAAAGTGGTCTCAGCCTGGTGGTGGCTGGTTCTGGAGGTCTTCGGCTACCGGAGCCCTGGTTGGGGTGGGGAGGGAAACTCAACCCGCTCTCTTCCGGGAGCTGGGTTTTATACTCTCTGGGTCTTGGCCGTTGATGGGATTACACCCAGATCCTCCATATTCCAGTAGGCAGGAGTCACACCCACCCCTGGTGCCGTGTAGTTCCATCAACGGCCAAGACCCAGAGACTATAAAACCCAGCTCCCGGAAGAGAACAGTGCAGTCTCCTGCCCCAGCGCCTGGCTGTCCTCGCCGGGGCCCCTTGGAGGGGAGCGGGTTGAGTTTCCCTCCCTGCTCCGACCAGGGCTCTGGCAGCCAAAGACCTCTAGAACCAGCCACCACCATGCTGAGACCACTCTCCACACGCATGAAGGTACCAGCAGAGGAACATAGGCACGCGGGTCCCGGGGCTGAGATCTCCAAGCCTGCTCGGATCGGGGCTGAGCATCCTCCACCCAGATCCTCCAAATTCCAGTAGGCAGGGGTCACACCCACCAACTGACCCCCTGGCGCTATGTAATCCCATCAACGGCCAAGACCCTGAGACTATAAAACCCAGCATGCGGCCCCGCGACATCTTATTATGTCATTCTTACTTTAGACAAACTGGCAGGCTCCTGAATGTAACCTGCTCACACAGCAGAGTCTGGCAAACTCCCTGTGGCGTATCCATTATGTCAAATACCAGTAACAATGATGGGTCTCATTCTCCTAACCCTGAAAGAGCCTTGAATATGGCACTTTTTAAAAAAATTTCAGGGCTAGGATGAAGGAGACATTACTGGGGCCTGCTCGAGGCAATCGACGATCAACAGGATAGCCGTGATTGTGATATAAAGAGACCCTTTCCCCCCCGCCCCCCCCCCCCATAGAAGAATCTATTTTAAAATTATTTGTTATTTTCAGTAATACTAATGCTGTGGTTTGACATATACATGAAACATTCCATTGTCACCCTCTCCACCAGGGTCTCTTCCTTCCCCCTGTCTCCAGTCCCCGCCCTTGGGTGGCCTAGGTCTGTGACCACTTTTCAGGTTCGCTTGTCTCTGTTCCATGTATGAGAGATCATTCCTGTCCCACTCCTCTGGCTCACTTCACTCACCATGGTCTCTCCAGATCTATCCAGGCAGCAGAAAACTGCATGATTTTTTTTTTTTTTTTTTTTTTTTTTTTTTACTAGTCTAGTAGATTCTACTGTGCTTATGTACCACAGTTTCTTCTTATGGTCATCTTGACAGGAACCTGTTTGGTTTCAGTTAGTGTTTTCTCCTATGAGAAAAAATTCATTTTATGGGGGAAAATCTAATATTAGAATGTACCTACAAAATAGGAAAATTAAGGATAATCTCTGCCCTGTTTTGTCTCTCTTTCTCACAAATCCACTTGGGTTGTATGATTTATTGTAAGCTCATTGCACTGATACTGTGAAGGGAGGTGTGACAGTTACTGTCAGGGATTTTAACATCACCTTTTCTTCCTCCACAGGTCACCGACCCACAGCGACCTCTTTCATTTGGTGTCACATTGAGAGAGTTTAGTCTTTTGGTAATGTGGGCCTTATTTAAACTTTCTCTGTATCCTGTAACACATTACTATCATCATAAGATAACTATGAAATTGTCTAACGCTGTTGTGACAAATGGCTACTACACTTTTGTGGATGATTTGCTTACAACTTTTCTAGAAGTTTATAGTGATGCTATTATTCTTTAATAACTTTTTTCTTTGACACATAATATCAATGTAAAATATTTCAAAAGAATGAAAAACTTCATCTTAAGCTGGGAAAATGTAACGGAAGATTAGTTGTATTCTAATGATCACGTGGTATGATGTCTCACTCATATTTTCTATGGAACTTCCAGGTAGCTTATTCATGTATATATGTTGGTATGTGCCTGTGTGTTTTATATTGAGATAATTATGAGATAATTTATTATAAGGCAGTTTACTTTTCTTTTAAAAGCTCTAAGGAGAGAGACTATATATGTTTGGGCTGGGCATTTATTTTTTTGTATGGTTGACTTAGTGGTTGGAAACTTGAAAGTCAAGAGCCATGTAAGTCACTCTGGGGGTCTATTTCAGTGTGTTTAGTTATACGGAGTGGCCTTGAGTGGAGAAGCAGGGCAAGCATAAAGATAGAGGAGCAGACGGCCAGGGAGGCAGAAAAGGCTCAGCTGGTTCCACAGGGGACTGATGGAGCCTGAGAGATGACTCTCTCTCAAGGGTTCGAGCAAATCCACCACCTGGGCGAGGCCTGAATTTGATCCCCAGCATCCTAGGTCCCCTCTCCCTTCTCTTTATTGGTTGTGGCAACGCTGGCCCCCACACAACTGTGGCCAGAGCACCCCCAGACTTAACACAACCAGGAGGGATCTGAATCCTCAAGTACCAACTCTGGCTGTGCCCTTTGAAAAAAGGATAATATTACATGCATATTGGAGAGCAGAGCTATCTGTCTGCTCAATATTGGCTTTGGTTATGAGATTTCAATATTTTAATGACAATAGCAGCACATATGCCTCAGGTATCTAGCAGAGGTGGGCAACCCCTTTTTTTCCCCACCAATGATCATTTGGACATTTATTATGATACAGGCAGACAGACAGGAAGCACTTGTGTCTGTCCCGACATGTCCCGTAGCTAGCCCGTGACTTCTGGTCTGATACAGCCCACAGACTGGCCATTACTCAGTTTGTATTTGATCCTTTTCACCTCTCACCTGGATCCCCCCTCCCTCATGTCTCAGGAGACTTTTCCCTCACTTTGCTTCTTCCTTTCTCTTCCTCTCATGCTCCTCTTCTCTCTTCTTTGGACAATTTATTTTCCTCCCTAAATCTTCACGCTTTGCTGCCTTTCCCCTTTAATGAAGTCTGCAAACACATTTAAATCTTTCCTATACAACAACCCAGGCCTCTCATTTAAATTCAGCCCCATTTGAATCTCTCCTCTTTCAGCTAATGACTGCGTTTTCTTTTACTTTCTCTCAAACTCTGGAGAGAGTTTTCTCTCTGCTCTCTCTGTTTCCCCGAGTCCCACTGAATGCCTGCTTTCTGTTTGCTCACCTGTTAGGAGACTGGGACTAAACTTCAGCTCATCAATAGTACCTGCTGTTAAATGAGTCTGTTTCACTTTCTTTAAAGGAATCTTTTAGCTTTGATTTTTATTTATTTATTTTTTTCATTTGGGGCTACTTCTGGTGCTGCTCAGGGCTTATATCTGGCTCTGCACTTGAGGATCACTCTTGGTGGGGCTCAGCGGACCATATGTGGTGCTTTGATCCAACCTGGGTGGCTGCATGCAAGCCAAGCACCCTGCCCACTGTACTATCATTCTGGCTCCCTTTTGGCAGTTCTGACTATGCTGACTTTCTTTTATTATGTTCATGCTGTGATTTTTTTAATAGTTTGTATTAGTTGATTTTTAAAAAATGAACATGGGCATTCTTCAACAGCTCATACTCAGTTTCTTCTATGGTTTTGGCATAGTAATTTAAGAACTACTTTCTCCATGAATTCATTTTCTTAAATTAGCATCTCCTTCATTTTATTTTCACTGTTGCTTTGACCTCATCATTTAAATAAGGAAGCATAGACCTAGCATTAGCTAGTATTAGCTTCTTTTCTAAGCAATGCAAATATTAGTATGCAATATTAGTGTACTATTTTATAATGTATGATGTTTATTTTCATTTTTTTCCTAGACTACAAATGAACATTGGACCCCATGTATATTAAATGAAACAGAAAAAATTATATACAAGGTATTTGAGTATATTGAAAAGTTTGTTTTATTTTCCACAAAGAAATTTTGGGGGAATAAAAAGGAACTTTGATGGAGTAAAATGTGTATTGGAATGTGAGTCTGGGGTCTGAAAGATAGTGCAACTTGTAAGGTGCTTGCCTTGTATATAGCTGACCTGGGTTCAATCTCTAGCACCACATGGTGTTGAGAGTTCAGCCAGGAGTGATCCCTGAGCACAGAGCCAGGAGAAAGTCCTGAACATTGCCAGGTATGACGCTAAAACAAACAAAACCAAAACACATCTGGGATCTAGAATTTGGGAATGTGACTCAGTGGCAAAGCATGTTCCTTTTAAGCATGAAACCTGGGTTTGATACCCAGCATTGAGAAACAACTAAAGAAGTCTAGTGTCTAGCTTTGGTTCTGCCTCTTACTGTGTGACCTATAAATATTTATTTTGAGGCTTAATTTCCTCACCTCACAGTTTAAGAAACTGGAGAAAAAGTTTCCAAAACTTTTTTTTTTTTAAAAATGGAGCTTTAGGCACTGTGAGATATAGATGTGTAGAGAAATATTCTCTGGTCAAATAAGATTGGTGATTGAAATATTGAGATGTATATAGTTTAAAAGGTATGTTTTCTTTTGCTTTATACCAGGGAACTGCACAATGCTTTAAGTATGCAAGAGGGAGGTTGGGTAGGCAGCTTTCCCCACCTTTCAAACTCTATAGACAAGGATTATGTGTTCATAAATCAGCCAAACATTTTAAGATTAAGTACTAAATTTTTAATAAGTATTTCATAACTAATGAATAGATCCTTTGGAGATAATATTCCTAGATGCACAACTCAATAAGTGCTAAGTTGGCAATAAAGTCTGTAAATGACATGCACATATTTTTCTCCATGTTTTGCAAAGTTTTGGTTTATTTTCAGATCACACCCACAGACGATCAAGGCTTACTCCTGGTTCTGCACTCAGGGGTTACTCTTGTTGGGGCTTGGGTGACCATATGGTATGCCAGCGATCGAACCCAGATTGGCCACATGCAAGGAAAGCACCCTATCCACTGTACATCTTCTCTGACCCCATTTTTGCATTATTTTCTTTCTCTTAAAACTTCACAGTGGTAGTTGAATAATTTGGGAGTAATGGACTTGAAAATAATCTTTCAATGTATTAGTTGCCTGACATTCTTTATTCTTCATTTGTAGCTCATACGACTTGATAGTCTTAGTGCCTACTGGAATGTGAATTGCTGCATGTCCTACGAGGGATCCAGGGAGCAGATTTTGGTAATTTCAGCTCAAGCTCAGGAATCTGACTAAGAGTCCTTGATGAGGACTATGTGTGGTTTAACTCACTCCTGTGTAACTGAGGTGGTTGTGAAGGGAGGCTCAGTGGGACCCTCAGCCCTGGCCTGAGTGACGGCCAGGTTCCAGCCCTGCCATCACCAAGGCAGGAAGAGATGACGGGCGTAGACGTGAAATGCTTTCTTTGTGATGCTTTCCGGTCACCCCTCATCTTTAAGAATGGCACTTTCGTGTTTAAAAAAGTCTCTGTGAAATCTTCCACTTTCCAGTAAGATGAGAACCTGTGCTTTGAAGTTACAACCAAATTTTTGTCTTTTTTAAACTCTTACTTTGATGGTGTTGTACTTGGTTTATGATGTTTGCTATGAGAATGAATTTTTGAAGTATATTGTAAAGAAGGGCTGGAGCGATAGCACAGTGGTTAGTGCGTTTGCCTTGCATGCAGCTGACACAGGTTCGATTCCTCAGCCCCTCTTGGAGAGCCCGGCAAGCTACCGAGAGTATCCTGCCCACACAGCAGAGCCTGGCAAGCTACCCATGGCATATTTGATATGCCAAACACAGTAACAAGTCTCACAATGGAGACGTTACTGGTGCCTGCTCAGCAAATCGTTGAACTGTTGTAGGACAGTGCTGCGAGCTATTGGAGCTATTGTAAAGAAAGTGTTAACCTCTCATCTAAAGAATATGCCCTCAGGTGAGGGTGATTTCCTTCACAGTGAAGGAGTGATTTGAATATTCAATGCTATGCCCAGTATCATTATGTTTATTTACTTCTTAGGATAAAGAAAGAACTGTGGAGTTTTCTGAACTGAATTCATTCCAAGATCCTGTTTCTTATTTCTCAGAAAGCTAATGTAATGAATACTTTGCCTTAGGCAAGAAAGTGGTTGAGATCTCAGTTCATCGATATTTAATAATGTATACATTTTATATACTGTAGTGCACATACACTCACATACATATATGTACACACATATGTATATGTATATATGTATATATATATGAGATGAACACAATTTTATATTACTTCTAGGTACTTTGAAACATTTTATATTTTGTTTTATTCTAAGGAAACAAGTCTGTAAATAACATTCAGTGTGTTCTTATATGTCAAATCGATGAACAATGGGAGGACAGTGCTACGGTGCTATAGTGCTTTTTTTTTATATTCTCATATATTCCATATATATTTTTTTTAGGATCAGCTGAAAAGTGAAATTCTTAAGAGTTGTAGTGTATCTCCAGATCATCAATATAGTAAGTAATGGCAAAATTTAATGCCATGTTATAGTTAAAGTTAATGCATGATTTTGCAAGTAATAATATGCTCCTGTGTTTGCTATGACAAAGAGAAAATATAAATTTTATGCTTTAGTTTTATGATACAGCTTTTAGAATTGCCATATAGTTCTGTGTATATACAATATATGTATACATCGCGTATGATTGGTGTAGCTTATGTATTACTCATGCAGTTTCGATAGCACAGTGGTAGGGCGTTTGCTTGCACGCCACCCGTCTGGCTGAGCTGGGTTCGATTCCTCCTGCCCTCTTGGAGAGCCTGGCAAGCTACTGAGAGTATCTCGCCCACACGGCAAAGCCTGGCAAGCTCCTTTGGACGTATTCGATATGCCAAACACAGTAACAACAAGTCTTACAATGGAGACGTTACTGGGACCCCTCGAGCAACTTGATGTTTAGGAGTAGGCTTTAATAAACTACTGGAGAGCCACAGGAACGTGAGACCCGAGTCGGGTCCCACTGGGACCATGTTCTCTTCTTACCTTTTATCATTGTCTTCATTTTAGGAATTAGGAATTTTCTTTTTCTCCTTTTTTTCAGATTGCTTGAATTCTTAAATCTTGTCTTCAGGTTACCATAGCTCACCACAACTGCAGTATTAAGACAAACTGACCTCTAGTCACTATTCTTTTGAGTGAGATTACTTCTTGGTAGCTTTGTTTTTATTTCTTTGGGCCACACCCAGCAGTGTTCAGGGCTTACTCCTGGCTCTGTGATCAGGGATCTCTCCTGTTTGTTCTCAGGGGCCATATGGGGTATTGGAGAGAACCCAGATCCACCTCATGCAAGGCAAATGCCCTACTATCCTCAGCTTTATTTGTTTCTAAATAGATCTCTAGCAGAGATGGCCTACATATTTTGATGTATTTTTCATTTTTTTCTCTCTTCCTTTACGATAAGACTTGGCGTCTTTGTTCAAACATTCCCTTGTTCTTCCTCTATTTTTATGCTTCAAATCTCTGTCTTCCCTGTTCCTCTGGCTCTCTGTTTTATTAATATGTATATTTTTTAGAGTTAACTATCTTTATATGAGAGTGGACATCTTTTTTTTATATGCACGCATTCCTCTTGTTAATGATAAGAGTTTTCAGAAACTTCTACTGTATAAAAGCATTCGTGAAAGAACTAGTTTTAGAAAAATCTGTAATATCATTCTTGTATGTCTTCTAAGTAAATTAATCTTTTTAAATAATCTCATGCAAATTTTAAGTTCCATAAAATATCATAGTAGAAGTGATTATAGCTAACATTGCTTAGGCTTTTGTGCCTCACCCCAGTGTGTGGAGGCTGCTGCACCCACGGCGGCCGCTGACGCCTCACCCCTGTCTGAGCTTCCCGGCGCCGGTCGCTACAATTTTCATCTTATGTCATAGTTAAGATTTGTCATCTTTCTTTTGTCTTATCTTTCCTAGTTTACCTTTTTACTTTATTTCTCAATTCCAAGGACATTTTCTTTACTTAATATTAAATTATATACATGATGATCATTTTGGTAATTGTAAACTAGGAAGCAATTTATGTTCTGGTTCATATGAACATTAATTATGCTTCTGAATTCTAGCAGTAACTAGGATAGAAATTAATCAAATTTTGTTTCCTACCTTGTATGAGTATTTTTAATGTGTATCGAAGTCATTGAATGCCATGTAGTCAGGTGGGGAAATATAATTTTGTACAACTTGTGAATAATCAAGGATAGGTTATGTATGTTTTGTATATTTCTTACTTTGAGAATTAGGATCCCAGTTTTCACCTTAACGATTCTACTTTAACCATTGAGCTTGATTGTTGGCATCACGTAGACAAGTAGATGCTTAAATATTTTTTTTTACACAATTGTGATTGTTTTGGAGTAACTGTTGTCATAATTTACTTAATTGCTTAATGTAAGGTTTATAAGCATATCTTTTATCTTGCCCTGTGATATAAGTTTTTCAGCCAATATCAGCCTCTGCAAAACTCTTCATGAATCCTTATGCGGAAACAGAGCTCAGAACACCCAAGCTTGATGGGAACATAGAAGTGCAGAACATTGCTATCGAGCTCACCAAGCCGCAGGTATAAACAGGGCAGGCATTGCTGACTTTGTGTGAGCTAAATCTTAATTTGAATCTGAATTGCATTTATCATTTGTCTGGTTCTTTGGTGGATCTTTGGTTTGTTAAGACTTGATTCTTAAAGATAAGTATGTGCTTATATAAATATAGATAGCTATATAGATAGTTAAATATTTTAAAGAAAAGATGTCATAAAATTAAGAAAGCTTTCTTCATATATAATTTTTTCCTTACTGGCTGGAAAAAAATCTTATCAAATTGTAACAAATGACATTATTTTGTTTAATTACTGGTATGGATAATGTATATAGTTTATTTATTTTTCCTGCCTCAGTTTTTAATAGCATGTAGCTTTTATTAAATACTGTCTACTTAATTTTTAGATTAGCTGTGTTGGGAAATTTTTTTGTTTATTTCTCAAGTTTGGTTGTGTGTCCAGGGATGTTGGAGAGTAGACTTGGAGAGCTAGATGTTGAAGGGAGACAGAGAATGTAACTAAATTTAGTGCTTAGTTCACTGCAGTGCGATAAAAATAAAGTAGAAGTCGTATATATAATCTAAAATTTTCCAGAAAGTACTTTAGCAAAGCAAAGAGAAAAGGTTAATAAAGTCAGCAATGCTTCATTTAGCCTACCACATTCAGACTGTTATTGCAACATTCAGTTCTTTCGACAGAATGTTATTTCAACATCTTTTAAAATGAAGACCGTTTTGGCCACCTTTTTCTCTTAAACCTTCAAAATCTGGGATATGTTTTAAGTGAAGAATCGCTACCTGGTAAACTTTAGTAGAGCTGTGTTAAGAAATAGCCAGAAATAACCCTTTTCTATCTTATACTCACACTGTGTGTATGCATATATGTGGGTATGTGCATAATGTGTTCTTGTGTGCATGTGTGTGTTTTCTTCTACTCCAGCAGTTTATCAGTCACACAGTGTTGCTGTTTTGTGGTACACTGATTGATTAAGTAGCTTTATCTTGCTATAGTTATGCAGTACTTTTGGGAATAGTTTGAAGATCAGTTCATAAAAAGCTACTGCTGCAGTGCATTTCTAGAGGAAAGCAGGTTACTTTAGGGAAAAAAGTTAGGTTACATGTAAGTTTTTCACCCTTTCTAGCAATTTCTAGTACATTTTATGTTCCATCATATCTGAACAGAGGGTCCTTGTTCTTACTGGAGGTGTGCCAGTGGAATAAGCAGCGCTTTTCTCTTGTTATTGCCTGGGCCAGGGAGAGTATTGAGAAGGCTGGAATTTGTGTGTGGTGTGCTCCAGGCACCACCTGGCCCTTCCTGACACCAGTACTGTTGGGTATCATCAGGGGCGAGGGGGTGGGGTGGGCTCCAAGCGCTGAACTCCACACCTCAGGGCCCAGCATTGAAGTGTCCCATGGGCACCAATAGGTGGAGAGTCGCGGGTGTGGCCTGGCTCTCCTGAACACCCCGTAAGAGATCAGGGTGCTGCTCTTCATGGTGACACCGTGCGTCCGGTCAGTGTAGTTGAGTTTGTTCTTGCCTGATGCTCATACCAAGAACCTGAGGTCCCTTTTGACTGAAAATGTGAAACTTGAGAGTCATTCTTGTATGCAATGGAATAAAAGTAACGTTTTTCTTCTTTTCATAGTACTTAAGTATGATCGATCTTTTGGAGTCAGTGGATTATATGGTTAGAAACGCCCCTTATAGAAAATACAAGCCTTATTTACCGCTTCACAACAATGGTCGACAGTGGTAAGTTGGAGACTTTTTAATTTTTTTTTTAAAGAAAATCATAAAGTTAGGGAGTCTCTTGAGTCCATACCTTTAATCCATGTGGTAATGCATCTTTGTTTTCAATACACTAAGATGGGTACTTTTTTTTTTCATTTTATTTTATTGATTCACCGTGAGATATAGTTACAAGCTTTCATGTTTGAGTTATAATCATACAAAGATCAAAAGAAAAGATCATGATCATGATCATCCTCTTGTTCATTAATTTCCTCGAGCAGGCACCAGTAATGTCTCCTTCATCCTAGCCCTTGAGATTTTAGAAAGTGCCGTATTCAAGGCTCTTTCAGGGTCAGGAGAATGAGACCCATCATTGTTACTGGTTTTTGGCATATTAAGTAAGCCATGGGGAGTTTGCCAGACTCTGCCGTGCGGGCAGGATGCTTTCCGTAGCCGGCCAGGTTCTCCAGAGTAAGAACTAGATGGGTACTTTAAAATAAAATGTTCTCCTTCTTTTAAACTCCTCTTCCTAGATTATTCCTAAATTCCTAACTTCACATTTAGGTTTTCATTGCTATGTCTACTTCTTTGGTCATCTGCCGGGAGGCAGAGCAGTAATCATAGCCGACCACTTCTAATTTCACAAAGCATATTACTTTGTTCCTTTCTGTGCCACTGTGGCTATTTTTTTCCCCAGTGTGGGTTTTTCATCTTGTGATCTGCTTAAATCATGGGAAATTGAGGTCTTACTGCTGAACTTCTATTAAAAAAACAAACAAAAAAAACCAGGGCAGGGAGTATGAACAAAAAATGTAGCAGTATAGATTTATACCTTCAAAGGTTTTTTTCTTACAACCTGTTTATTCAAATGTACCATAATAGAATGTGATTTGCAGGTGGAAATATGCCATTGATTCTGTTCTTGAAGTTCATATAAGAAGATATACACGGATGTGGTCGTGGAGTAATATAAAAAAACACAGACAGTTGCTCAAGAATTATAAAAATACCTACAAAAACAAGCTGACTCAGACAAAGATTTCAGAAGAAACTCAGAAACAAATTCAGGTATATTTTGCCTAAATTAGTAAATGCAGCTGTTTGTTAACGTCCTTTAGTGCTGATTTGTTTGCATTTCATCTGAATTAAAAATAAATTTTGAAAGAGTTAAAGTGGTGTTGAGGGAATTTTTTAGGAGTTATTATTTATTTATTGAATCACTGTGGGAAAAGTTACAAAGCTTTCAGGTTTAGGTCTCAGTCATGCAAATATCAAACACATTTCCCTTTACCAATACTTATTTTTTACCACGAACCCCAATAAAACCCCACTTCCCACCCCTCCCAATGCCTGTGAGGCAGATGGATTCTAGTGAACACTCTATCTACTTTGACTAGATTCATTGTTTTGATAAAAGATGCACCATTATTGTTTAGAGTTTACCACCCCCCCACCCCCCACCCCCAAATCAGACATGCTGAAAAAGCGTTGTGAAATGATTTGCTTTCTACAGCTGGGTTCAAAAATTAAATGTTGTTGCTCAGCCGCGATAGCGGCTGCGTGGTTTTGGATTTCTGCTATTTTACTTATTAACCCTGGAAGTATTTCTACTAAAAGTCAGATAATTAAGAGATTGGTTTCTGTGCTCTGTAGTCGTTGTTGTGCCGGAAAGCCTCTTGTGGGGGACAACTGGTGACCTCGGTAGGGCGTGAAGGACGGGCCGGAACGCCCCCCTTCCCATGAGGTTTTCGTCGCCCCCCACACCCCCGGCTCATACCTGCTGTCCACAAGGCTCCCATGCGGCCGCCATCTTTCTTTCCAGAATAGGAGTTATTATTTTTTTTTCTTTCTGTTTTATTCCATCTTTACGGAAAGTTCCCCATCCTGATGGTAGATGACAGAAGTCACACGAGACAGGAATGTGGGTCCAGTTCTCCTGGCTGTGTCCTGATGCAGACACCCAGTGGGTGTGAGGTTTGTGGTTCTGAGCTGCATCTCAGCACCCCGACTGTTGTGCCTAAGCATCAAATAGCCACTTTGTTTTTAAATGTTCCCTCTGGGTACCCAGATGTGGGGCATCAGGTTGTCTTGGCATATCGAGGTTCTAAAGATGGGGCTCAGGGGTTTACCCTCCCTCCTGCTGCCTCTTGAGTCACTGTGCTCCCTCCTCTCTCTTTTCTCACTGGCTCCCTGTAAGAGTCTCTGGGGACAGCAGGGTCTGTCTGGCTGTGGGTCCCAGGAACTTGTCTCGCAAGATCTTTAGCCAGCAACCCATCCTCAGCGTCCTTCTTGCAATTCCCGAGTTTGAACTCAAGACTGTGCTGAGCCACTGAACCTCCTTCCTGGACCCAAGAGAAAACGTTTGAAAACAAAACTATTGAACAGTTTCCTCACTGAAATATTTCTCTTTGTGTTACAGGATTTGGAGAAGAATCTAGATGTTTTTAACATAATTTTAGCCAGGCAACAAGCACAAGTGGAGGTAATTGTCTTTATATAACTGGTTTTTTGTTGTAAAACACAGAGGTGGGGTTTATAAAGTGGGAAGTTGGAATTGTAATTCTATTATTAGGATGTATCTTATCAACATTATTTAAAATTTTTTTCTTTTTTTTTATTAAAAAATATTTGGGGACAGGTCTGGGCCAAATATGGAAGTCCTCAGGATTTACTGCTGACTGTGTCCTCAGGGGTCACTTCTGGTGGATCTTACAGGTTTCATGATTTTAAAGATTTATATCTATTGTGAACTGTATACAAAACTCCATTTATTTTTGGAAACCACTTTAAAATTTATTTTTTTTCTTATCTTCTTTTTAATTTGAGTGTCTCCTAGTAACCTTTAAAATTCTGTTATTTCTAGATAAGATGGAATTAGTTCCATTTTAAAATTAGCTCAAAGCATATAACAAAGAGAGCACTTGTAATATAATATTACATCTAAATCTGAAATAAACTTGAAATATTAATACCTAGGAATAGATTTGCTTTTTCTGAAGCTTTGCATTCATTAACATTTTAAAGTAGAAAGTTCAGTGTTGAGTATGAAAATGCTTAACTTTTTCTTAATATAATTATCTGGGAACTCTTAATTCTGAGAAAGGTTCTAATACCGTCTTTGATTTATATCAGGAAATTGAAGCACAGGGAGGTTAAACAAATTTTCTGAATTCCATTTACTATGAAATAGGCAAAAAGACAGTAATCTCTGCCCAAAGAATAAAGAAGTTAACTTTATCATAAAATGAGAACTTTGATCTTGTCTGTTTATTTTTGTCTCTTAATATATCATAGATGACTGAGAACATTTGGTACTTATTTCTTAAGTAATAGGTAGCTTTGCTTACCTTAGTTTCAATTTCAGTTGTGTATTTGAAGTATATAGCAGAGTAAAGTAAAGTAAAAGTAAAGGCCCTCCTGTTTGATCATCGATTTGCTCAAGCGGGCCCAGTAACGTCTCCATTGGCTGTTGGCTGCATGCAAGGCAAACGCCCTACTGCTGTGCTATTGCTCCGGCCCTATATAGCAGAGGATGAATTAAAAAGATTTTTTGGTAAAACTTTTATTAGTTTTGAAAGTACCCCACACCTCTATGGGAAATAAAAAGAAGTCTCTAGATACAAAAATAAATAAAATGAGAACTTAATTCATGTATAGTTTTTGTCCATTTTATTTCTGAGTGGTGCTTGTGCAGTGCAAGGAATGGAACTGGCACTCAGCCTGTGTGCTGTCTCTGGGCCCATCCATACACTTGCCAGCATCTATATGATGGCTGCTTTTGGGCGTTTGCCTTGCACGCAGCCAACATGGCCGACCCGAGTTCAATTCCTCCGCCCCTCTCGGAGAGCCTCGCAAGCTACCGAGAGTATCTCGCCCGCACGGCAGAGCCTGGCAAACTCCCCGTGACGTATTCGATATGCCGGACACAGTAACAACAAAGTCTCCAATGGAGACGTTACTGGGCCCGCTCGAGCAAATCGATGAACAATGGGAGGGCCTTTACTTTTACTTTACTTTACTTTTTTGGGTCATACCCAGCGATGCTCATGGGTTACTCCTGGCTCTGCACTCAGGAATTACTCCTGGCGGTGCTTGGTGCTTGGGAGACCATATGGGATGCTGGGGATCAAACCTAGGTCAGCCTCATGCAAGGCAAACGCCCTCCCCGCTGTGCTATCGATTCAGCCCTGATTTATGCTTTTCTTTCTTTCTTTTTTTTTTTTTGGCAGTAAAAGAAAAGCAGTGTAGCATTTAATGATCCTTCTTTTAGGTGACTTCAAGCTACCAGGACACAGGCCACTCCCACTTTCTTAATCTCCTTCACTCTTCTGCTGAAGAATTTGGCTTTTATGATGACAGGTTGCTTTGGGAGCTTTCCCTTCCCGAGAACTTTGTAGTAGCCCGATCACACCACATCAATGATAGGAGCTACTCCAGTCTTGTTTTTGGCAGCATTAATCCGTGTCTGCTCACTGACCAGGGTCCACCGTTTGTCAAGATTGACAGTTGGGCAGAAGCTTTGATTTCTCTTTAAGTGATAATGCCTCATACCCACTTTCCCAAAGTGACCTGGATGGTATTTGTCAAAGTTGATCCTGTGGTGATGCATGCCACCAGCGTTATCCCGACCTCCAGGGTGCTTCTGGTGCTTGCCAATGTGGCTGTGGCCGTGGCTCACGTGGCCCCCGAGTTTCCAGGTCTTCCTCAGTCTGGATGGCACGTTGGCCAGCGAGACGAAAAAAAGCTCTGCTTTTTTAAAAGAACACTCACCTAACTGTGCAGGGACTGACCATTAATCAGACCTATTCTCTGGACTGTTGAACCTGTCCTTCCTCACATGTTTTTCCCTTCCCCTTCCCTCTTCCTTCTCCCTCCCTGGGGCTCCCTCACTCCCAGAGCCACCACACACACACACACACACACACACACACACACACACACACACACACACCAAGGCATGGCTCTGCTCTGCAGGCGCAACCTCTGCCCCTGTTTTAAAATTCTTCACATTTTAATTTTCTCAGGTGATTCGATCTGGGCAAAAATTACGGAAAAAGTCAACTGACACAAGTGAGAAACGTGGCTGGTTTAGTGGATTTTGGGGCAAGAAGGAATCCAAGAAAAAAGATGAAGACTCTCTGATACCTGAAAGTGAGTTCCCAGTCGGGTCATTTGTTGTACACTGCGAAGGAAAAATGACATGCATTGTATTTTAGATGGTAGGATTTTATTTCATGATGCTTTACAGAAAAAGGCGGCTCAGTGTAATATATAAACAGATACATCAGGTTGGGATATCTTTGTGTTTAAAATTAAAAAAAGCTCTTGGAGAAAAATATTTTGTGAAATTTGAAAGTTTAATTTCAGAAGTCTTAAGGTTTATCTATCCTCATTATGGTTACTTGGATATTTTGTTAGATTTAATTTTAAAAGGCATAGAGAATTCTAAAATCTGTACATGAAGCTTAAATTCCCTTACTGGTCAGGTATTCCTGCCTTTTCCTGACTTCAGCGAGCACATCTCTAACTAGTGTTAACTTGTGAAGAAATCTCCTGGGGAATTGTCTGTTTTCACGCTAGCTGTTGTGGTGATCTGTGGATTTTAGGACACTTGTTAGTTTGTTTTTTTTGTTTTGTTTATTTAGCTTTTTTTTTTTATTGAATCACTGTAGAACAGTCACAGAGCTTTCAGGTTTAAGTCTCGGTCATACAATGATCAAACACCCATCCCTTCACCAGTGCATATTTTCCACCACCAAAATCCCCAATATACCCCCTATGCCACCCATCCCCGTGCCTGTGAGGCAGATGTTTTCCATTTAACTCTCTCTCTCTACTTTGATTACATTCATTATTTTGACAAAAGATGCACCATTGTTATTTGGAATATCCCCCCAACAATCAAACCTGCTGAAAAGGCATCATGGAATAATTTGTTTTCTATTGTTGGTTGGTGGGTGTGACCCCTGCCTACTGGAATATGGGGGATCTGGGTGGAGGATGCTTAGCCCTGATCCAAGCAGGCTTGGAGATCTCAGCCCCGGGACCCGCATGCCTTTGTTCCTCTGCCGGTACCTTCATGCGTGTGGAGCATGTCTTAGCATGGTGATGTCTGGTTTGGAGGTCTTTGGCTGCTGGAGGTCTGCTCAGAGCGGGGAGGGAAACTCAACCCGCCCCCCCTGCAAGGGGCCCCAGCGAGGACAGCCAGGTGAGGGGCGCCCTGTAATCCCATCAACGGCCAAGACCCAGAGACTATAAAACCCAGCTCCTGGAAGAGAACAGCGCAGAGTCTCCTGCCCCCGCGCCTGGCTGTCCTCACCAGGGCCCCTTGGAGAGGAGCGGGTTGAGTTTCCCTTCCCGCCCCGACCAGGGCTCCGGCAGCCTAAGACCTCCAGAACCAGCCACCACCATGCTGAGACCATTCTCTGCACACATGAAGGTACCGGCAGAGGAACAAAGGCATGCGGATCCCGGGGCTGAGATCTCCAAGCCTGCTCGGATCAGGGCTGAGAATCCTCCACCCAGATCCTCCATATTTCAGTAGGCAGGGGTCATACCCACCAACTGGCCCCCTGGCGCCGTGTAATCCCATCAACGGCCGTGACCCAGGGACTATAAATCCCAGCTCCTGGAAGCGTGGCTGCATTTGCAGCTGCACGATATCTTATTATCTCATTCTTACTTTGGACAAACTGGCAGGCTACCGAATGTAACCTGCCCACACGGAAGAGTCTGGCAAACTCCCCGTGGCATACCCAATATGCCATATACCAGTAACAATGATGGGTCTCATTCTCCTAACCCTGAATGAGCTTTGATCTCAGAGCTAGAATGAAGGAGACATTACTGGGGCCTGCTCGAGGCAATCGACGAACAACAGGATGGTCGTGATCGTGATTGTTGGTTATGAACACCATATGATGATGCGTGGCCAGGATTTCTGATATTTTACTAATTAAGTCTGGAGGGATTTCTGCCAAAAGCCGAATAGTTCAGACATTGGTTTGTGTGCCTCTGGGGCCTGGCTGTGCTGGAGAGCCGCTCATGGGGGGCAACTCATGGTCTCGGCAGGGCAAGAAGGACATGCTGGTTCCACCCCCCATTCCATAAGGCCGCTGTTGCCCCGTCACTGCCAGTTCATACCTCGCTGTCCAATAAGCTCTGAGGTGGCAGCCACCATGCTGTCGGTTGCAGGGGTGTGGGGGAATGGCAGAAGAGACAGACACCCTTTCCCTCCCGGGGAGGGTGGGGGGCATAGTGCTGTAGCTTACTTCACAGTCCATTCACATTTCTGCCAGAAGCTGCTGGGTTCCGAATTGGGTCCGTGTACCTCTGGGGCCAAGGCCATGCCGGAGAGGCCCTCGTGGGGGGCAACTTGTGATCTCAGCAGGACAAGAAGCTAGTTTGGTTTTATTTTTCCTTTTTAATTGTCTCTTTGCAATGAAAATAGTTTCTTAAATTTTTTTTTGTAGCTATTGATGACCTTATGACTTCAGAGGAGAAAGATAAGCTCTTCACAGCTATTGGCTATAGTGAGAGTACCCATAATCTGACTTTACCCAAGGAGGTAAGCATTTAGGTTGTCTAAGAGGTATTTTTTTCCATTTTACTGTTTTATTTAGATTTGAATTAAAAACATTAATTTTTTATGGCTTCAAATTTTATTTCTTGTTTATTTTTTATTGATTGAATTACAATATTGTAAGTTATTGTGAGTTACAATATTGCTAATGTTGGTTTTTGGTGTACCTAATTTCAATACTACACTAAACAATTTGATTTTTAATGAAACTGATAAAAATTTTTATTATTTGTTATAACTTTACTATTAGTTTTCTCAGACAAGCCTTACCAATTGAATCACCCACTTTAGATTTAGCAATTTTCCTTTTTATAAGAATAATTTGGGGGGGACAGATGGTATATGTGGAAGATCATGTGTAGAGAGATCATATGAGTTTCTGGGAACTAAACCCAGATCAACCCAGGTAAGGTCAGCAATACCCTCTGTACTCTCTCTCTAACCCATTATTTTTCCTTGATGTATGCACTAGTTTTAGAAAATTTAGAATGCTTTTGTTGTACCATTTAAGTTTTGTTATGTTTTCTTTCTGTTTTTATTGATATTAATTTTTAGTTGACTTTTGGTGTATTCTTTACCCCTTGTTTTTTTAGAAGTGTATTGTTTAGGGGTCCAGAGTATAGTCCAATGGGTAAGGTGCTTGCCTTCATGTGATTGACCCCCAAGCTTTCCAGGACTGATCTCTGAGCACACAACCAAGTCAGCCCTGAACACTTCTGGGTGTGACCCCAAGCAAACAAAAAAAACAAGAAGTGTGTTGTTTAATTTCTACGTATTTGTGAATTTTTCATCTTCTTATTACTGATTGCTATTTTCAGTCCATTATAGTTGCAAAGGGTACTTGATATAAAGTGTATCTTCGAGTTCTGGCATATTATGTACCTTAGACCATGTCCCTTGTAGGTGTGAGGAGAATGTTTATTCTTTTTTTTTCTTACGTATCATCTTTTTATGATATTTTATTATCTCATTCCTACTTTGGACAAACTTGCAGGCTATCGAGTATAGCCTGCCCACAGGGCAGAGTCTGGCAAACTCCCTGTGGCGCACCAAATATGCCGAGTACCAGTAACAATGATGGGTCTCTTCTCCTAAAGAGCCTTGAATATAATCTCAGGGCTAGGATGAAAGAGACGTTACTGGGGCCTGCTCAAGGCAATCGACGAATAACAGGATGATGAATGAATGAATGAATTCTTACGTAGGAGTACAGCTATTTATTCAGCCACCGATTAGCTGATTGAATTGGGCATGAACTCCACCTTACTTTTTTTTCCCATTTTTTATAATTTTATTTATTGACTCACCGTGAGAGCAGTTACAAAGCTTTCGGGTTTAAGTCTCTTTTACAGTGAAAAACCTGTACCTTCACCAGTGCCCATTCTCCACCCCCCCCCCCCCCCCAGATTGATCAACCCCAGTATATCCCCCTCTCCCTATCTGTGGGGCAGATGATTTCCACATTACTCTGTCTCTACTTTGATTACATTCAGTATTTTGACACCAGACCCACCTTTATTATTTGGGATTTTACCCCAACACTCAGATCTGCTGAAAAGGCAACAATAGACAATGTATTTTCTATTGCTGGTTATGAATAACAATGATGTCGCATGGCTGCAGCAGTGGCCGTGTGATTTTGAAATTCTGAAACTTTAAGAATTAAATCTGGAGGGATTTCTGCCAAAACCTGCTGGGTTCCGAGATTTGTTCTTGAGTCTCTTGGATCATGGCCGTTAAGCCGCTTGATCAGGAGCCAGAAAGGTTGTTTGTGGGCAGTGACTTGGGGTCTTGTTGGGACGGGGAGGAAAGGGCTGGCTCCACCCCCATCCCATGAGATCTCGCATGTCTCATCACTGTGGGCCCAAACCTGACTGTCCAATGGCCTCTGGAGGATGGTGGCCACTGGGTCGCCAGGGGGAACAGGCCAAAGCACAAAACCTATTCCCACCTGGAGTGGCCCAGCGCTAGTAACCTACGGCAGTGACTGGATGCATTTCTGCAAAAAGCCATTGGGGTTCTGTGATTTGTTTCTGAGTCTCTGGAATCATGGCCATTAAACGGCTTGATTAGGAGCCAGAGAGGCCGTTTGTTGGCTGCGACTCCGGGTCTCGTTGGAGTGTGGGGGAAAGGGCCGGCTTCACACCCATCCCATGAGGCCCCACATGTCTCGTCACTGCCTGACTGTCCAGTGGCCTCTGGCAGATGGCGGCCACCGAGCCGCCAGTGGGGAGCAGGCGGACTGACAGCACTCTTTCCCCCCTGGGGTGGCCCGGTGACAGTAACTGCAGGATCCGGATGCTTTTCTGCCAAAAGCTGCTGGGTTTTGATTTGTTTCTTAGTCTCTGGGATCATGGCCGTTAAGCAGTTCAATCAGGAACCAGGGAGTCCATGCCTCCAATTATATAGCTGAGCCGAAAGTGGTTTGTGGGTGTGTCTCCCACATACCTAACTTTTGGCCGTTTACTTTCTTGGTAAACTTTGCCTCAAGTTTTTTGGGGTCTGGCCAAAGGCACAGCAGCAATTTTGGGGTATCTGGAAGTCTGAAGGCGCCATCAGGCTGTTGATGCACTCGCCTCACAGGAACAGATTGATCTGCTGGCGGCACCATACCCCTGGAGAATGTTTGTTCTGCTTCTGATATCATTCATATCCATTGTTTCCTTACTGATGATCTAAATGACTTATGTTGAAAGTGGACTCTTGAAGTTCCCAGCTAATACTATGTTGTATTTATTTTTCTTTTAGTGATGCTTTATTTCTTTAAACATTTAGGTACCCAAAGTGTATATTAATATTTATAATTGTTTCATCATGATAGATTGACATTTTAATAATTCTCTAATAACCTTTCTATCTTTTTTGACTATTTCTAACTGAAGTCTGTTGTGTCTGATAATTGTTGAAAACTGCTTTTTCTATTTGCCTGAAGTATCTGTCTTTCAGAACACTGCTTTTTTTGTTTGCTTGAAATATCTTTACTATTTCCTCATTCTCAGTCTCCTTGTAACCTTAAAACTAATGGGAGTTATATTTTTGGCACATGTGATTGGATCTTGATTATTTTTGGTTTGTGTTACCATTTTTTAAAAAAATAAGTTTTCCATTTTGAATTTTTAATTGGAGATTTAATTCTTGTTTGTTCGTTCATTGTTTTCCACAGTTTTTGCTAGACCCTTTCTCTTTTATCTACTGTCATTTTTGATTTGCTGAAAGTCACCTGCCTGGCTCTTTCCAACCTTCTGTCCTTATCTCCCAGTTTTTAAAGTCAGTATTTCATTTTTTCTCAGTATTTTGTTAACTCTTCAGAGGTATTTATCAGGTGTTCTTTATATTTTGCCTTGTTTTGAGCAAGAAAAACTGAACTAGTTTGATTTAGTCAAAACTGCTGAATTGAATTATGTCACAAAATGGTTTTTTACTATTATTTAAAAATAAGAGGAATGATTTAGATATTTTGTAAATGAACTATTAGAGGGTGGTCAGGGGCTGGAGCGATAGCACAGCGGTAGGGCATTTGCCTTGCACGCAGCCAACATGGCCGGCCCGAGTTCTATTTCTCTGCCCCTCTCGGAGAGCCCGGCAAGCTACCGAGAGTATCTCGCCCGCACGGCAGAGCCTGGCAAGCTCCCCGTGACGTATTCGATATGCCAAACACAGTAACAACAAGTCTCATGATGGAGACGTTACTGGGCCCGCTCGAGCAAATCGACGAACAACGGGAGGGCCTTTACCTTTACCTTTAATTTCTTATTAAAATTTTTAATATATTTTTCTTTACAGTGAGTTTGTTGATGTCAAAGCCTGTTATAACATTTAGATCCCTTTGTAATTCAACAGATTTAAATATGAATTACTAAACAGAGGTAGTAAAACAGATATCCCTTGCACTATTTATGGTTTCTGAGCACTTCAGGAGTGACTGAGCCCTGAGCAAAGAGCCAGGAATAGCTGTTGAATACCACTGGAGGTGGTCCCAAAATAAAATAATCAAAACAAGATTTACTAAAGAATAACTCTTTAAAATTTTTAACAATTTTTATTTTTTATTTTAGTATGTTGCTCATATAATGACATTGAAGTTATTAAGTACCTCTGTTACGATAAGAGAAAACAAAAATATTCCAGAAATCCTGAAAGTTCAGATCATTGGCCTGGGCACTCAGGTATCTCAGCGACCAGGAGCACAAGCCCTTAGGTAAGTTTTCAAAAACTTAAAGTTTTAATTCAGGGTATGAAAAGGATAGAAAAGATAGTATTATTCAGCATAAACTGATAAGTATTAGTTGTTCACTAATTCTTTCTCTTTGTGTAGAGAGTCTTTTTTTTTTTAATATTTGCTTTTGTTTGGTTACAAAGCTTTATATGTATCTCATCATTTGTTCTACCTGCCTTTCCATCCTAGTAATTGTAGCATGAAGTTTACCTTATAGATTTTTTTCTTTGCTTTTTGGGTCCCACCCGGCAATGCACAGGGGTTACTCCTGACTCTGCATTCAGGAATTACTACTGGCGATGCTCAGGGGACTAAATAGGATGCTGGGAATTGAACCTGGGTCGATGACAAAGCTATGCATAAGTACAATAATTTCTGTTTCCAGGAAGCTAAAGCTGTTGTTTATAAGAGGATGCTCAAAGTCAACCGAGAACAATGTAACATGTGAGCCGGAGTGATAGTATAGAGGGTAGGGCATTTGCCTTGCATGCAGCCAACCTGGGTTCAATCCCTGGCACCCCATATGGTACCTCGAGTACCACCAGGAGTAATTCCTGAGTTTTGAGCCAGGAGTAACTCCTGAGCATTGCTGGTGTGGCCCCCCAAATGAAAGCAAAGCAAAGCAAAACAAAACAAAAGCTGTGTAACATAGTAGAGAACTCGTAGTTCACCATGCTGTAAAATTAGGAAAATTGGGGCTTAGGATATCTGGATGGAAATGATTAAGACCAGGATGCAGTAGACAGTGATCAGGATGCATGGACAAGGGAGAAGAGTTTGATGAGGTAAGTGTAGCTTATGCTCATATAACACCAATCAGAACTTGTGTGTTATTCTGCGGTTGGCCAAGGGGGGTCTTTCATGTCGATGAGGGTAAATTAAGAAAAAACAGAAGCAAACCACAAGTAGGTTGATGACGGGCACTGGTGGAGGGATGGGCACTTGATCATTGTGTAACTGAAACCCACGCACAAAATTTGTAAGCCTATAACTGTACCTCATGGTGTTTCACTAATAAAAAAAGAAAAAAAAAGTGATTGGATGTTAAACCAAGGTGTTTGAATTTTATCTTTGGGCAATGGGCTTCTAAATGGGTTTCTGGCTTCTAAAGTTGTTCTTTGAAAGGAAATTATTTATGTTAGCCCCTTGCATTACAAAAGATCTTGGTTACATTATTTCTTTTTCTTTCTTTTCTTTCCTTTTTATTTTTATTTTTATTTTTTTTGCTTTTTGGGTTACACCCAGCGATGCACAGGGGTTACTCCTGGCTCGGCACTCAGGAATTATCCTGGCAGTGCTCAGGGGACCTTATGGGATTCTGGGAATCGAACTTGGGTCAGCAGCATGCAAGGCAAATGCTCTACCCACTATGCTATTGCTCCAGCCCCACATTATTTCTTTTTTTTTTTTCCTGTTAAATTATAGGGTAGAAGCAAAGTTAGAGCACTGGTACATAACAGGCCTGAAGCAGCAGGGTATTGTACCATCACTTGTGGCTTCAATTGGTGACCGTGCATCATCACTGCTGAAAATTGAATTTGAAACCAGCCCAGAGAACAGCACGGCTGACCAGTCTCTGGTGGTTGAGTCGCAGCCTGTGGAGGTCATTTATGATGCTGTAAGTGTGAGAGGAAAGTGATCTTCATTGAAACCATTTCCTGTTTCTGACATAGCTCTTACTTTTTCTATTTAGCGATTATTTCCTTTGCAGCTAAGTTTACTAGCAATTTTTGGTAGCAATTGTCTCATAATAATGAGACAATTATTATGTCTCATACTAATATAAGACATAATAGCTGTTAGTTTTATTTTTCATATACTGTAGTTATTTTTCTATTGTAAGGTTTTTTTTATGCTTGTGTTTAAAAAATATAACATACTTTAAAAAAGGATTATACATATTGTACCAATTGCTCCCAAGTTTGACTCTTTGTTTTAGCTCATTACTGCTTATTTTCCCATTTTCCCCTCAACATTTTAGAACAAAGTCAGAGTTTGGGGTGAAGTTGAATTTTAAATGATATTCACATGAGATCAAATGAAAGCTCCATCATTTAGGTATTGCTTAAATTGTTGACTGAAATTCTATAGCCATGGCTCTGTCTTTTATTTAATCTTTCTTAAGTTGCCATAAAGTAGTCAGCAGGGTGGGAAAGTTCACTGCCCACTGCATTACTTGTTTCCTTTCCCTGCTGAGATCTTGGATCCCTGAAACATCTTCACTTTCCGGTTGAAAGTAGAGTCAGATTTGGGCAGAGGGCATTATTGAGGGACCCTGGAACTCATCATATTCTTGGATTTTTAAAAGATCTAAGCTGTGGCAGAATACATATAACAGTTTTTTTGTTTCCCTTTGGAACTTTCAAGTTCAGGGGAATCCACCCATGGTAGAGAAAAGCAGATTTTGTCTCCTGGCAAGTTGGGAGTAAAATTAGAAGTTCCATGCAGCTGGCATCTCAGAACAGACTTGGGTGTGTTGGCCCTGAAAGGGCACATAGGTGTGTTGTGTTTACCCTGTATGGGTGTACAGACCCTTGTTGTCTTCTCAGGAAACTTATTTGCCTGCTCCTCTTTCCAAGTGATTTTTACTTTAGAGGGAGCTTGAGGAGGGCACAATCTCTTTTGGAGTTCCTGCCAAGTTCAAAGCAAAACTTCTTTAGCATTTAGTCAGAAACTTTGAAATTTATAATAAAGTCTTGTACTTTCTTATATTTTCAATTCTTTTGTAGAAAACCATCAATGCAGTGGTTGAATTCTTTCGGTCGAATAAGGGATTGGATCTTGAACAGATAACATCAGCTACGTTAATGAAGCTGGAAGAAATTAAAGAGAAGACTGCGACAGGTAAAGAATTGGACTGTGTTGGCCTTGATTATGTCTCGTCTGTTCTAATATAGACATTATCCTTAAAATATATTTTTGTTTACATGATTTTTGGCAATGTCTATATTAAACAGTCAAGCTGCGTTTCCTCTGCACAGATCATGAGGTCAGATACAAGTGCTAGCCAGAGCTTAGATTCCGAGCGCCACTTGAGAGCAGAGCAGCCCTCCATTTCTTGGAAACACAGCATCATGTTTAAACACAGCATTGTGTGTAAATCTAGTTTTAATAGTCCCTTGCTTATTCTTATTGAGTTATTTCTGAGCCACTGTTGGCAGTGCTCGGGAATTCCGGCTGTCTCAGTGCTCTGGAGTCATTCCCACTGGTGCCTGGGCAGTGCCGGGGTCTCTAGCTTGCAAAGCATGAAGTCCATCTTTCCATTTCTCTCTCTGACCCTGAATCTAGGGTCAGAGGAAAAAAATATTGGTGTGAGATAGGGTCCTCTTAAGGGGTACTCGGGAGACCCCAGGGAATTTCCTGGCAATTCTCAGCCAAATGGGCAGAAGGTTCAGTGAGAAGTGCAGGGATTCGGGAAAGCGAGGGCTCAGAGGTGCTGGGATCACTTAGACTAGCACTTAGTGGCACTAGAGCCTTCAGGTCTGTGTGCAGTGATGTTAAGGAACATCATCACCAGGGATGGAACCTGGGACAGCCAAACACAAGTATGGCCTTAATCCTTGCTGTCTCTCCTGCTCAGTCTACTTTCAAAGATGCCTGTCTTACTGCAGCTGTTCAAGTTCAGGGCTTGGACACAGCTGACCCTGGTTAGGTCGCTGGCATCTCCTTTGTTCCCGTGAGTGCCTCTAGGAGTGATTCCCGGAAGTGGAGCCAGGAGTGAGCCCTAATAAGCACCACTGGGGTATGCCCCTTGAAGCCTGGCCTCTTGAAACTCAATGCCATTATTTTATTTGCTTACTTGATTGAAAAAAAAAGAATTATTCTATTTTGGATAAAATATTAGCTGCGTTGGGTTTCCAGTACTATGCAGTGTGATTGTTCCTAATGGTCATAAGAATGTACATATATACATTCTCCTATTTGACTGACTGAGACTGTAATCTCTGAGATATGATACTCCTCCACTCATCATACTTTTTAAGTGATATTCTTACTGTCATTATTAATAATATGATTGCATATTTTACCTCAATCTTCTAATCTTCCACAATTTCCTGTTTTCTTTTAGGGCTTACACATATGATTGAAACTCGAAAAGTCCTTGATTTAAGAATAAATTTAAAGCCTTCTTATCTAATAGTCCCAAAGACAGGTTTTCACCAGGACAAATCTGATCTTCTCATTTTGAATTTTGGTACATTTCGGGTATGTATATATGCATTTCTGGAAGCATCCTTATTTTATTATTGCGAGGGGGTTGGTTAGGGAGTTGTGGGGTATGGAAGGGTTCCCAAGCAGTGCTCAGGGAGTCTGGGGATCACTCCTTGAAACTGTCAATAACTTACTGGTGGGGGCCTACTCAGGTTATGGGAATTGGGGATACCTGGTTTGGGTGCCCACGTGGTGCTGCACGATAGAGCCAGGTCAGCTGCATGACAGGCCTGTATCTTATCCTTGTGCTCTGTCTTCGGTCCTGCATTGGTTTTTGTTCAATATATTTAGTTATTTGATAATTTTGATGTTTTTTCCTCAGTTCACTCTAAACTGAGACTGTTTTCTGTTGGTGTTTTGTCAAGCCCAAATTTAGAGCATTATATTGACAATTATAAATATATGTATATAGTTATATATAAATAAAAATACATATACATAATATACATATATATGTCAGCTGGAGTGATAGCACAGCAGGTAGGGCATTTGCCTTGCACGTGGCTGACCAGGCCAACGCGAGTTTGATTCCTCCACCACTCTCAGAGAGCCCGGCAAGCTACCGAGAGTATCTCGCCCGCACAGCAAAGCCTGGCAAGGTCCTCGTGATATATTTGATATCCCAAACTTGGGTTCGATTCCCAGCATCCCGTATGGTGTCCCAAGCACCACCAGGAGTAATTGCTGAGTGAAGAGCTAGGAGTAACCCTGTGCATCGCCAGGTATGACCCACCCAAAAAAGCAAAAAAAAAAAAAAAACAAGTCTCACAATGGAAATGTTACTGGACCTGCTCGAGCAAGTAGATGAACAACAGCAGGACAGGACAGGGCATATATATGTAAATACACATAGTATCCTATGTATGTGAGTCTTTTTGGCTGCTTTTAAAGCAAAACATCCCTTAAATTTGTTGTATCACGGTAGATGATTTGACATTGTAGACCAGATTGCTACTACCTTTTTCTAAATGGAGAGAATCCTTACTAATCTTTAGTTTACTCCTGTGTTGTGAGAGTTGAATTATCCAGTGTTATTTCTTACTTATTTTGACAATAGAAAATCGTACAAATATGAATACATATTTGTTTAAACCACTGTCAACTAACTAGAGCTGAAATCTCTTGGGGGCTTAAAGCCCCTAGGGAAAACATAAAAGATTTCAAAATATATTGTTCTGATAGACTCTAGGAAGAGGGAGAAGAAAGTAAGATTGGGGCTAAGATAAAGTAAGATAAAAACTAAGGACCCTATTGAGATGTTGTTTTGGGGAGGAGAAGCACAGAATAGGTTGTTGGATGATGAAGATTTTGGGGTCGGTGGAATGGGAGCTGGGCTGTGACCCAGGAGTCTTGTCTTGGCAGGTTATTGAAGTCAAGGCCATGCGATGCACCCCTCCTCCTTTTTAATACATATGTGCTGGGCTGGGGAGCTGGGCGGGGGGAGGGGTTTGAACTAGCCTTGCTGGTTCAAATCCCCAGCACCATGCATGACCCCTGTGCATTTTTGTGCTCATTCTTCAAGCTAGGAGTATCCCCAGAGGATTGTTGGGTGTGTCCCTGAAACCAAAGCAAATGAACATAAATGCATGAAATGAACCCAAATGCATAAAATGCAGAAAATGTACCCAAACTTAGAAGAGTCCTTTTACCCAAACATAATTGAGTTACTAGCTAAAATATTTCGAGCAAAATATTTGCAAGTAATTATTAGAAGTATAGCACAAGTGAATTTATTAACAGCTATGTTAATATTTTAGATATATTTAGAAAACAGGGTCCGGACCCATGAGGTGGCTCAGTGTGCCGGAGTGCATGCCTTGTGCGGCAGGGCCTGCATTCATTCTCAGCACTGTGTAGTCCCTGGAGCACTGCTGGGAGAGCCCTTGAGCACTGCTGGGTGTGCCAAGAGTCAAGAAAACAAGAAACAAATAGAAAATACAGTGGTAGTATTTTGATTTATGTATTTTTCTATTAAAAATTAAACTTTCATTTCTCCATTTTAGCTCAACAGTAAAGATCAGAACTTGCAGAATACTGGTAATTCATCTCTTGAAGAACTAATGGATAAGGCATATGATAAGTTTGATGTAGAAATAAAAAGTGTGCAACTCCTCTTTGCGAGAGCAGGTAACTTGTTGCTCAATTCCTGAGACTCTTGAACAGCTTTGGGAAACATGGATAAGTGTGCATGCTCTCTACCCTGACTAACAGTGATTTCCAGCACTTACCCTCATGGCCATTCAGGAAAACCTGAGAGTGGCCAGAGGGCTGTGGCACATGCCTGCATGCTTGAACATGGTGAACATACTTGTCCTTGCTCCACATGGCCCTTGAACACTCCCGAGCACTGCTTGGAAGCACCATTTCCCCAGAAATAATGAAAGGCAGGAGCCCTCCTTGGCACACCAGCCCCCAATGGGAAAGGAAATACAAATGTAACTTAGTGTATAAAACCTCACTTTATTTATTTCATTTTTTTTTTCGGTTAAGAACTTGACTCTTGGAATAGTAGAGATAAGTACTAGGAGGTTTGCTTTACAACTTGGAAGCTGGCCTCACATGCTGGTGGAAAAGGCAGCTCAGATAGAGAAGGGAACACCAAGTAAAGTGTGGTTGGAGGACCCGCTCAGGTTGGAAGATGCGTGTTGAAAGTAGACTATAGACCAAACACGATGGCCACTCAGTACCTCTGTTGCAAACCACAACACCCAAAAGGAGAGAGAGCGCAAAAGGGAATGCCCTGCCATAGAGGCGGGGTGAGGTGGGGGGCATAGGGTCAGGATGGTGGGAGGGAGACAGGGTTCATTGGTGGTGGAGAATGGGCACTGGTGGAGGGATGGGTACTAGAGCACTGTAGGATTGAAACACAAGCACGAAAGTTTTAAATCTGTAACTGTGCCTCACAGTGATTCACTAATAAAAAATTAAAAAAAAAAGAACTTAACTCTTGGTGGGGGTTGGGGGATAAAACCACTCTTGGTGGGGCCTGGGTGGTACCAAGGATCAAACCCAGCTGGGCCGTGTGCAGGTTTAGCACCTTAACCCCTGTACTATCTCCCCGTTCCACTCCCCCTGCCTTTGAATCTCACGCTTTAAGTTATGTTCTTGCCTGTTGTTCTGCAATGTATGAAACTACCCAGAAGGAAAACTGGAAGTAGCAGCTGGCTCCAATTCTTTGTCTCAATACATTTATTGTATCTCAGTGTTGTTTTCTCATGCTGCCTTTATTTTTGAAATATTTTACTATATTAGCCTAGGATTTATTCCAGTAGTACTGTATCTTTGGCTTTTGTAGATAACTGAGAAATTTTGACGTAGTCCTAAAGCTCTAAAGATAATCAAGTTAATTATTTTTTCAGAGGCTTTGGTATATTCTACTACTTATGTAAGGATTGCTGGTTCATTATATGTCTTTAATTTCTAGAAACAGTGTGTTAGGAGCATATTAATTTTTTGAAGGGGAGTACTTACATAGACCATGAAAACTGCTGTATCTTTTGTATGTGCTTAGTAATAATAGTTTGAATTATAGGTGATAATTTGCATAGGATTTTTTTTTTTGGAGGGAAGTTAAGCCATACTGGTGATGTTTAATGGTTATTCCTGGTTCTGCACTCATAAATTACTCCTGGTAGTGCTTGGGATCATATGGGATGCCAGGGATCAAACCTGGATTGGCTGTATTCAAAGCAAGCACCTTACCCACTGTACTGTTTCTCTCGCTCAAGATTTGCATAAAATTTTGTTATTCATATGATGTCTTTTGGGCTATATAAAAATGCTATACCCTTGTCATAAAAATCTTGCTTGGTAAAACTCATTTTTCTTTAGGTTTATGTGCTAAGCTAGAATAATTGCACCTAGGAACTATATATATATATATATATATATATTTTTTTTTTTTTTTTTTTTTTTTAACTAAGTAAAGTAAAAAGTAAAGGCCCTCCCGTTGATCGTCGATTTGCTCGAGCGGGCCCAGTAACGTCTCCATTGGAGACTTTGTTGTTACTGTGTCTGGCATATCGAATACTCTCGGTAGCTTGCCAGGCTCTCCGAGAGGGGCGGAGGAATCGAACTCGGGTCGGCCATGTTGGCTGCGTGTAAGGCAAACGCCCTACCCGCTGTGCTATTGCTCCAGCCCTTTTTAACTAAACTCCCCATCTTTTCATTCATTCTGAGATCAAGGTACTGAATTCCTATTTTTTATGTTTGTTTCAAAATACTAGGTATTATATAAACATTTTCCAAATATTTAGATTGGTTTTTAATGTTGAAGTCTTCAACTTTTGTCAGTCTGTATAGGTAAAGGTAAAGGCCCTCCCGTTGATTGTCGATTTGCTCGAGCGGGCCCAGTAACGTCTCCATTGGAGACTTTGTTGTTACTGTGTCTGGCATATCGAATACTCTCGGTAGCTTGCCGGGCTCTCCGAGAGGGGCGGAGGAATCGAACTCGGGTGGGCCATGTTGGCCGCTTGTAAGGCGAACGCCCTACCTGCTGTGCTATCGCTCCAGCCCAGTATAATTTTTAAAAATGAGGACTGGATAGACAGTACAGTGGAGAAAGCACTTGCCTTGAACACAGTCGATACAGTCAAATCATTTGATCTCTGGTACCACATATGATCCCCTGATCCCTGCCAGGGGTGATCCCTGAGCACAAAGCCAAGAGCACTGCTGGGTATTGTTGGAAGCTAGCCAAAAAAAAAGTTTTTTTTTTAAGTTTTAATTAGTGAAACACCATGAGGTACAGTTGTAGATTTATAAATTTTTTGCTTGGGTTTCAATTATATAATGACCAAGTACCCATCCCTCTACCAGTGCCCATTTTCCACCACCACGGATCCCAGTATCCCTCCGACCCCCATCCCCCCCATCCCACCCTTCCTCTGTGGTAGGGCATTCCCTTTTGTTCTCTCTCTCCGAAAAAAAAGTTCTTTTGAATTGTATGCTTTAGAAATAAAAATTGGTGTTTATTGACTGTTCTTCATTACCTCTTTGAAGTCGTGATCCAAAAAAGTTGTGCAACAAATAATAACTAGCTACTTTGTATTTGCGTTTTTAAGAGGAAGATTGGAAAAAGTGTCGATTTCAGCATCCATCAACTATGCATATATTGCAGCCCATGGATATTCATGTTGAGCTGGCTAAGGCAATGGTAGAGAAAGATACCAGAATGGCCAGGTAATGTATGTCTTTCCTTCTTTCTTTCTTTCTTTCTTTCTTTCTTTCTTTCTTTCTTTCTTTTTTTTCTTTCTTATTTTTTTTTAATGTAGGAGTACTGCTATTTATTCAGTCACTGATTAGCTGATTGAATTGGGCATGAACTCCACCTTACTTTTTTTTTCTTTCGTAGTTTTATTTATTTATTTATTTTTCGTCTTATATTTATTTATTGAATCACTGTGGGAGAAGTTACTAAGCTTTCAGGTTTAAGTCTCGGTCATACAATGATCAGACACCTCTCCCTTCACCAGTACTCATTTTTCCCCACCAAGAACCACAATATGCCCCCCTCCTTATCCCTCCTAATGCCTGTGAGGCAGATAATTTCCACTTAACTCTTCTCTACTTAGATTACATTTATTATTTTGACAAAAGATGTACCCTTATTGTTTAGAATTTCCCCCTCAACAATCAAAATTGCTGAAAAGGCATTGTAAAATACTTTGTTTTCTATAGCTGGTTATGAGAATCATATAGTGCTGCGCGGTCGCTGTTGTGGCCACGCAATTTTGGATTTCTGCAAAGAGCCAGATAATTACGAGATTGGTTTCTGTGCATCTGGTGTTATGGCTGTGCCAGAGAGCCACGTGTGGGGGCCAACTCAGAACCTTGGTAGGGCGTGAAGGATGAGCCGGTACCGCCCCCCTTCCCATGATACTGCAGTTGCCCCATCACCACCGGCTCATACCTGGTTTTCCTATAAGCTCTGAGGTGGCAGCCACCTTGCTGCCAGAGGGGGAAAAGGCAGAAGGGAGCAATACCCTTTACCTCCCAGGGAGGCATCGCACCGTAGTTTAACACATGCTCCATTCACTTTTCTGCCACAAGCTGCTGGGCTTTGGATTAAGTCCTTTTTGCCTCTGGAGCCATGGCTGTGATGCAGTCCAGATGCATTTCTGCCAAAAGCTGCTGGGTTTCAAGATTTGTTTCTGAGTCTCTGGGATCATGGCCATTAATCAGCTTGATCAGGAGCCAGAGAGGCCGTTTATAGGCAGCGAGTGTAGGTCTCGCTGGGATGGGGAGGAAAGGGCCGGTTCCACCCCCATCTGGTGAGGCCCCACGTGTTTCATTACTACAGACCCAGTGGCCTCTGGAGGATGATGATCACTGGGTAGCCAAGGGGAACAGATCAAGGCACGAAACCTATTCCCACCTGGAGTGGCCCTGCCCCAGTAACCTACTGCAGGACGCATTTCTGCCAAAAGCCTTTGGGTTCCGAGATTCGTTTCTGAGTCTCTGGGATCATGGCCGTTAAGCAGTTCAATCAGGAACCAGAGAGGCTATGCCTCCAATTATATAGCTGAGCCGGAGGTGGTTTGTGGTTGTGTCTCCCACATACCTAACTTTTGGCCGTTTACTTTCTTGGTAAACTTTGCCCCAAGTTTTTGGGGTCTGGCCAAAGGCACAGCAGCAATTTTGGGGTATCTGAAAGTCTGATGGTGGCATCAGGCTGCTGATGCACTCGCCTCCCAGGTACAGACTGACCTGCTGGCAGCATCATACCCCCGTATGTGTTTCTTTATATTATAAAATCAGTAATATGAATTTTATCTGTCACAGAAAGCAAGCCATGTTTCTTTTTTGTGTGTGATTTTTTTTAAAATTTTTGCTTTTGGGCCACACTAGTGATTTGAGTTATCTCATATATCTCATAGGCACCTAGAGTTGTAAATTTCCAAAATTTCACTTAGAATTCTGCTTTACTGTACCCTGCACATCTCCATTCTGTATGCTGGGAGCCCCTAAGACTTCACTTATCTGTTTTTCACTTTTCAACTGCCTCTTGTTAACTGATACCTTATATTTTAAAAAACCATTATTTCATATATTTTGTACATGTTTTAGTAACTCTGGGCTGGAGCGATAGTACAGCGGGTAGGGCGTCAGCCTTACAAGCGGCCAACATGGCCGACTCGAGTTCGATTCCTCCGCCCCTCTCGGAGAGCCCGGCAAGCTACCGAGAGTATTCGATATGCCAGACACAGTAACAACAAAGTCTCCAATGGAGACGTTACTGGGCCCGCTCGAGCAAATCGACGATCAACGGGAGGGCCTTTACCTTTACCTTTACCTTAGTAACTCTAGGTTGAAGGTTAATCCAGTTTCTCTAATAGCTATGCTTCAAGTTTTATGTAATGTTTCAGAAATGATAAAAATCGTTTTGTATTCAATGGCTCTGTTCAGTTTACAGAATGCCTTTGCGGTGCATTCATTCATTTCTTTTAGCTAGGAACCAGATTTTTTGTGGTTGACCTTTTGAGACCTGCCCTTTTACTTTTTTTAACACTTAGGATTTGTGCATTATATAGAAAGTTATTCTTTATATATTGATTAGACGTTTGTCTACTTGAGCCATTCATGGCTCAGTTTGGAAGACAAGGATAAAAGAGCTGTCCCTTCCTTCTGTGGTGCTGCTGAGATATGCAGACCTGAGCAGTAAATGAGAATTAATACAGGCACGTTTATGTAGCTCTGACTCCATATAGTCCCTTCTTCATTCCCTCCCCCTTAACCAAAACTTAGAGGTGGGTTTCAAACTTGAATGTTGGTTTCTATATTTAGATTCAAAGTCTCAGGAGGACTTCCTTTGATGCACGTGAGAATTTCTGATCAGAAGATGAAAGATGTGCTATGTTTGATAAACAGTATTCCCTTGCCACAGAAATCATCTGAAAAGTCTCCAGAGAGGCAGGTAAATGGATATTAGAAAATGATCTCTCTCTCCTTCTCCTCCCTCCCCTCTCTCTCTACATATGTATATATACATACATATATGTATATATATATATATATATAGCTTTGTCTTCAGCTTTCCTTGAACTGTTTAACCTCCAAAATCTTTTTAAAATTTTGTTTTTATTAAAAACACTGTGATTTACGAAGTTGTTCACTATATAGTCCTTTTATGTATTTAGTGTTCCAACACCACCAGTGTGAGCTTCCCTCTGCCAAAGTCACCATTACCCCTCCCATTTCTTACCTGCCCCCTTATGTGTTATGCCCTTAGGGGCGTAACACATTTACTTTATATGCCTTGTTTCAACAAAACTTTAAGAAATGACAAATAGAATGATCAGAAAATAGATTAGTGAGAGCGAATTAGTGATTGCTCTACGATTTCAACCTATATAAAGAAGATAGAACCCTTTAATACAATAGAATAAAATGCTTGTTCTCATTTACATAAGCTTTCAACTCTGGAGTCTAAAGTACATTTCATTTAAATTTTATATTTGGATCTCATTATGGTAATAATCGTGCCTTACCTGTCACTGATAAAACTTTTGAAGCAGTTCTGTGCTAATATATTTAGGAATTAACATGAAGTAGGTGAGGCCTACTGATGTAAATTTTCCCCCTACATGTTATATAACATGACCACTATGGTTTGCAAACTTCTTCATGATGATTTGTTTTAGGCATTGAATATTCCAACACTAATCCCACCAGCATTATCACCTTCCCCCCTACCAGTAGCTCCAGTTTTCCCAACCAGCCTTCAAGCCTGCCTGCACCCATGGCAGGTGCTCAGTAACTTATTTTATATTGCTTGTTATCATAAATTGCTAACAGAATGATCAAAAAATATTTTCTTAGAAGAAAATCAGTGTAAATTGTTGTATCTCACTATGGAGACATTAAGTCCTTGTTTGAGGGATCATTAAAATGTCACAAGCTAATCGTTCTGTGTTTCTGTTTGCCTTGTTGAGATTGGTTGCCTTCTGTTACAACCAGCCAGTCTGGTGTGCTACTGATAATTATCCGCGTTGTAGAGTTTGGAGATGTTGACTGGGTGCTCCAGGGTGTCCAGAATTTTTAATGGGGTGGTACAGCTGGAGTTAAATTTTTAACTGAGTGGTGGTTTTGGGGTGCAGTACAGGGAGGTGCAAGGAGGAAGCTCATCCCGACTCTGAGAAAGCTTAGATTTTCAACAGGTTGGGTTCTGGCTGACACTTGGTCCCGAGACAATAGAGTCTGGGCAGAGCATGATGGCAGTTTTGCAGTGTGGGAGTGAGTGGCTGTGGGACTCTCTCTGGGCAGGCACTGTGCTGGCCTGTCCCCCTCCAGATGCCCCGATATCGCAGACATAAGTGACTATCCCCAAAATTTTTAGCCAACTTTTAAAAAACTTTTTTTTTCAAAAATTTAAAAATTTCAAGGACATTTATTTCATGCCCTTTTGAAATTTAATGTGTAATCTATATAAATAAATATTATAATCTATTTTTAGTACTATTATTTAGATGGTAATAGAACATCAGTTTCAGGGAACAAAAGAAAAGAAATGAATGAACAAATGAAACCTAAATGAAAACTAAATGAATAAAAACGAGAGGCAAAAAATATTTTTACAATTTGTGAAACATTAAAAACAATTAAATAAAAATATTTAAAATGTTGCTAAATGAAATTGTCACTGTCACTGTCCTCCCATTCACTGATTTGCTCGAGTGGGCCCAGTAACATCTTCATTGTGACATTTGTTACTGTGTTTGGCATATCGAATACGTCACACGGATAACTTGCCAGGCTCTGCCGTGCGGGCAAGATACTCTTGGTAGCTTGCTGGGCTCTCCTAGAGGGGTGGAGGTATCGAACCTGCGTCGGCCAGGTTGGCCTCATGCAAGGCAAATGCCCTACCCACTGTGCTATTGCTCCAGCCCAATGAAATTATTTATATAAAAATTTCTTGTATAATGGACTTTGAAGTTTTATATCACTTTAACCAGAATTGACCTTAGGAGTAAATAATAAAGGATACATCAGACATAGTATTTTTTTTCTTTTTTTTATTAGTGAAACACCATGAGGTACAGTTGTAGATTTACAATTTTTTGTGCTTGGGTTTGATTATACAATGATCAGATACCCATCCCTCCACCAGTGCCCATTTTCCACCACCATGGATAATATCCCCCCCAACCCCATCCCCCCATCCCCCCCTGCCTCTGTGTCAGGACAATCCCCTGTGTTCTCTCTCTCCTTTTGGGTGTTGTGGTCTGCAAAAGAGGCATTGAGTGGCAATCATGTTCAGTCCATGGTCTACTTTCAACATGCATCACCCCTCCTGGGAGGATCATCCAAACACCCTTTATTTGGTGTTCCCTTCTCTATCTGAGCTGCCCTTTCCTCTAGAATGCCCGACTGGCCACTAAGCTATGGAGTAATCCTCCTGGTGCTGATCTCAGCTATTCTTGGGTATTAATCTCATATTTTGTTACTTTATATCCCCCAGATGAATGCAATCTTTCTATGTCTATCCCTCTCTTTCTGACTCATTTCGCTTAACATGATACTTTCCATGTTGTACCACTTGTATGTAAATTTCATGACTTCATCTTTTCTAACAGCTACATAGTACTCCATTGTATAGATGTACCAAAGTTTCTTTAACCAGTCATCTGTTCTTGGGCGTTCAGGTTTCTTCCAGTTTCTGGCTATTGTAAAGAGTGCTGCAATGAACAAACAAGTGCAGATGACATCAGACATAATATTTGAGAGAACAAATTAATGCTACACTTAGAACCTAAAGTAAAGATGCACAGTTAATACTGTAGTAGAAAGCAAGTAATAAGTGTGCCATCTAGTGTATGTAGCTCTGCTTTGGTAAGAACAGGTGCTAGTCTTTATTATTATTAAACTCCAGTCAGCTATGAGTTGATTATTTTTATTATTTAATTGTAGTATGTGTATGTGTCTTTCCATCTCTCTCTTCCATCAGTATTTTAGTATTTCCCTTATTTTGTGCACTAATGCTTATTGAGCAGTATGTTAAGGAACCTTTTTGTATTTTTTCTAGGTTGCCACAATTCCTGTTATTTCCAGTAACACAAAAGGCCTGCTGGGTACTTCCCTGTTGCTGGATGGAATAGAATCGGGTAAGGGAAGTAATAAATTATGTATAAAGCAAGCCTGTGAATTGGTAAGCACAGAGGAGTCTGGAGGGAACAGAGCCCTTCCGAAGGTGTTACAGTTTAGTTCTCTTTTTTGTGATACTAGGCAGCTGTGTGACTTTGAGTCACTTTTTAAGCCCAGGTTTCTTCATTTGAATGAAAGTATTTTTTATGATAGACTGTGCTTAAAGGACAAAATAATCCACTTTCTAGACCATATCTCTCCCGGATCCTTTTCTTCAATGCTCATCTCACTGATTTTCTTTGATTTTGAGCTAGAGAAGAAGCTTTCTGTAAGCAAACATGTCTCTCCTTATATTCTAGGGTCCTTAATGGCTATTACAGACTAGTAGACAATAGATGGTGTCCATGAATTTTTTGCTGACTATTGAATGACTAAACTATTGAAAATAACTGTACCTATGGAGAAAAAAATAATATGATATTGTCACTGTCCTCCCGTTGTTCATTGATTTTCTCCAGCGGGCCCAGTAACGTTTCCATTGTGACCCTTTGTTGTTACTGTGTTTGACATACCGAGTATGTCACTGGGAGCTTGCAGGCTTTGCTGCACGGGCAAGATACTCTTGGTAGCTTGCCGGGCTCTCTGAGAGGGGCAGAGGAATCGAACTCGGGTCGGCCATGTTTGCCATGTTGGCAAGGCAAACGCCCTGCCCGCTGTGCTATCGCTCCAGTCCATGATGATATTATTTTGTGTTAGTCACATGGCAGGTTTAGAAGCTTTGGGGGGCTAAAAACAACATTGAGAGGAGAGAGGTAGCAGAGAGGGTAGGGTGTTTGACCTACATGTGGCCGACCCATGTTTGATCCCCAGCAGGCAGAGCCAGGAATAACCTCTGAGCATTGCTGGGTGTGACCCAAACACTCCCCCCAAATATTGAAATTATATTTGGAATATTAAAAGGTTATACCTGCCCACATGGCAGAGTCTGGCAAACTCCCTGTGGCGTACCCAATATGCCAAATACCAGTAACAATGATGGGTCTCTTTCTCCTAACCCTGAAAGAGCCTTGAATGTGGCACTTTTTAAAAAATCTCTGGGCTAGGATGAAGAAGACATTACTGGGGCCTGCTCGAGGCAATCAACGAATAACAGGATGGTCCTGATGTGATAGCTCATAAATGAATATTTATAAGATTTAAATGTAAGTGCTTCATGCAGCTTTTACTGTATATTATCTCAAGTCCAAGAAATCTTTTCTTTTTTCAGAGTCGGATGATGAGTATTTTGATGCTGAGGATGGAGAGACTCACGTTGGTGGAAAAAACACAAAGGGGTCAGAGCTGAAGAGAACCCCAGAGCCCCCCAGTGAGGAGCTCATCAACCTTCTGTTAAAGTTTGAAGTTAAAGAGGTGTGTGTACTCGGTCTGCCCATATATGAATAGACTTTTGTTATTGCATATACATTTGATACAGAGTACATTTTGGTGCGTGGTGTGGAGATTATACTCAGAGCCTCTTACTTGTAAGGCAGGTGCCCTGAGTTGTCCATGGCTACTGTACTGTATTTGTAAACTGTCTCATGGCAGCCTGAAACATTAATTATAATAAAAATGTTGTACTCTGTCATCCCTGCTAACCCCCCCGCCCCCCCCAACACTCACATTTCCAAGAAAAAAAGAATGTGTTGTGAAAACTGGTGTATGTATTGAAACTATTCTGGAAAAGCTTTTTACTCAGATTTTTCTTTTCTGTAGAACATTTTCGTGATGCATTTGATTTTTCTTGTTCTTTATTTGTATTGGAGCCACAGCTGGCGGTGGTCAGGGCTTACCCCTGGCTTGGTGCTCAGGGATCACTCCTGGCAGGACTTGGGGGACCATATGTGGTGCCAAAGATGAAACCTGGTCTGCTATGAGCAAGGCACCTTACCCACTATACTATCACTTCTGCCCTTCTTTCAGTTTTAAACTAATTGTATTTATTGTCGTGTTTATAATTTGGAAAGATGTAAAAATTTTAGACCACCAACATATTTTATGATTATTAAATAATAACATGAAATTTTAAATTAGTAAGATATCGCACTATATTAATAACTAATATATTGTTATTTTTTAAATTATTTTTTAAATTTTAAACTTTTCTTTTAAATTGAATCACCATGGAATAGTTGTTTTTTTTTTTTAATTTTATTGAATAACCACGAGATAGTTACAAGCTTTCATGTTTGGGTTACAATCACACAATAATCAAACACCCACCCCTCCACCAGTGCACATTCCCCACCACCAATATCCCCCCCCCTCCTTTCTCCCCTCCCCCTGCCTTCATGGCAGACATCATTCCCCATAATCTCTCTCTACTTTGGGCAGTATGGTTTGAAATACAGACCCTGAGAGATCATCATGTTTCCATCCTGACTGATTCCTCCAGCCATCATTTTCTTAGTGATCCCTTCTCTATTGCATCTGCCTTTCCCCCTCTGCTTATGAGGCAGGCTTCCAGCTATGATGCAGTCCTTCTGTCCCTTGTATCTAATGTCCTTGGGTGTCAGCCTCATGTTATGTTATTCTATACTCCACAAATGAATGCAGTCCTCCTATGTCTGTCCCCCTCTTTCTGACTCATTTCACTTAGCATGATACACCATGAGATATAGTTACAAAGCTTTCATGATCGGGTTTTAGTCATACAGTGTTCCAATGCCTATCCCTTCACCAGTGTGCATTTTCCACTACTAATTATCCCCATCTCCCACCTGTCAGTCTCTGACCCCTGCCCCCACCCCCCCAGCCTGCCTCAATAGCAGGCATTTTTCTTCTTTCTCTCTCTCTGTCTCTCTCACTCTCTCTAGTTTTGGGCATTATGGTTTCCAATACAGATACTTAGAGGCCATCATGTTTGATCCTTTCCCTACTTTCGGCACACCTCTCCCATCCAGAGCTATCCCTTTCAACCATCATTGTCTAATGGTCTCTTCTCTATCCCAACTTTACTCTCCTCCAGTCCTTGAATCAGGCTTCCAACCTTGAACCATCCTCCTGGTCTTTGTATCTACTGTCCTTGCTTGGGTGTTAGTCTCATACTGTGTTTTGTTTTGTTTTGTTTTTTTCTTTTAATATCCCACAGTGTAATAATTCTGCCTGTCCCTCTCCTTCTGAACTATTTCACTCAGCATGATACACTCCATGTCCTTTAATTTATGAACAAATTTCATAACTTAATTTTTTTCCTAACAGCTCTGTAGTATTCCATTGTGTAGATGTACCATAATTTCTTTAACCAGTTGTCTGTTCTTAGGTAGTTGGGTTGTTTACATTATTAAATTTTCACTTAATAAAATGAAAGCTTGGCATATAAAGATGCTCAAATATATCATTTGGAAAAAAGAATTAACACTAAAGACATTCTATTCTATGTAGAAGTGATACAGAGTTTGAGAGTACAGAGGAAAGGTATTTGCCTTGCATGCATTTAACCCCAGTTCAATCCCCAGCATCACATGTGGTCCTCTGTACACTGCCAGGAATGACCTCCTGAGAACAGGACTGGGAGTAAGCCCTGAACACTGCTGGGTATGGTCTCAACCCCCCCCCCCCCCCCCCAACGAAGAAAGAAATTACGCATATAGTAGATGCTTGAGCATCTTTGGGAAGTGTAGCATGTATCTCCATGTAGTGAGATCACATTTTTAACATTCTTCATTCTGGCCTGTTTCTTTCCCCATATATTTTAAATTTTGGAAATGAAGATACATTGCTTTTATAATACATTTCAAAAAGGCTTAAATGATTTTTCTATGATTGCCTGCTATCTAGTCCACTGTTCTAAAGTATATCAGAAATTCCGATTTTGGTGTTTTTTTTTAAAATTAATTAATTAATTAATTTTTTTTAATAATGAGACATCATGAGGTACAGTTGCAGACTTATACATTTTTGTGCTTGGGTTTCAGTTATACAGTGATCAAACACCCATCCCTCTACCAGTGTGTATTTCCCACCACCACGGATCCCAGTATCCCTCCCACTCCCCAGCCCCCATCCCGCCCTGCCTCTGTGGCAGGGCATTTCCCTCTCTCTCCTTTTGAGTGCTGTGGTTTGCAAAAGAGGCATTGAGTGTCAATCATGTTTGGTCGATAGTCTACTTTCTTGTCATATATATTCAACTCTGTCTATGTGTTACTGGTATTCCTTTAACAAAAGGCATGTGTGCTGCCTTTCCCAGGCTTTGGCTTCTTCCTTTCATCCCCCTCTGCACTATCAGAAAGGGGCCGGGCAGGTAGCTCCACAGGCTGGTACACACGCTTTCACTGGGTGAGGCCGAGGTTTAGTCCCCTGCATTGCCAGGGTGCCCCTCTTCTCCTGCAGAGCCATGTTTGCTTCATTCTGTTGGTGAGCATTTGGCAGGTGCCATCCTGTTCTGGTGTCGGCATTGGAGTGACAGCAGTGAGCATGCACCACTCTGGCCTCCTGGAACTTGCACTTCCTTTCTCCCGTCCGTACACCAAGGCAAACTGTTCGTGCTCGCTCCTTGCCTTTTCCCGGAACACACCTTTCCTGCTTGAGCTACTGCTTTGCTTCCTTCAGGTGTTTGCTCATTGTTTTTAGAAAGCTTGGAGATGAACATTGTTATTATATCCATTTTACATCGGAAGAACTAAACTCGGGCATAAATTGGTTATATGATTTACTCAAAGTAAATTCTTAAATTAAAAAAATTTAATTTTATAAATGCTTGAGCAAAGCGTCTACTTTTCTTATGATACATGTGAAGGATTTTCTTAACCTTAATTGTGATTCAAGCTTACCAACTTTTCATTGCTTGTTCCGATTCTCTTAGGTGATTTTAGAATTTACCAAACAACAGAAAGAAGAAGAAACAATTCTAGTATTTAATGTTGCTCAGTTAGGAACAGAAGCGACTGTGAGAACATTTGATTTAACGGCAGTGTCTTATTTAAAGAAAATCAGCTTGGATTACCATGAAATTCAAGGTAATAGCTGTAAAAATAGAGATTATAGTCTATAATGAATACATTAGCATTTTTGAATATTTGAAATATTTCCTCTTATTATATAGAGTATACTAATATATAAATACATGTAATGAGAACTAGCACCATCCCAAGGATTTTACAATCAATAGCTCAGTGCTTGGAGATGAACATTGTTATTATATCCATTTTACATCGGAAGAACTAAACTCGGGCATAAATTGGTTATATGATTTACTCAAAGTAAATTCTTAAATTAAAAAAATTTAATTTTTTAAATTTTTTGCCTTTTGGGTCACACCTGGTGTTGCACAGGGGTCACTCCTGGCTCATGCAATCATTGGCGGTGCTCGGGGGACCATATGGGATGCTGGGAATCGAACCCGGGTGCAAGGCAAATGCCCTACCCGCTGTGCTATTGCTCCAGCCCCTCCAAGTAAATTCTTAGTAAGCTGCTGAAGCATGATTGAAAGCTGGAAGTCTGGCTCTAGGGCTTGTGTTCATGAGGACTCTGGCCTGCTGCCTCTGAGAATCCATATGAATCACCACAAATAAGGAATAGGGTTTCTATTCTGTAAGTGCAGATTAAATGGAGAAGCGGCATACTCAGGACTGTGCGCTATATAAATGGGAAAACTTAAAGTTTACATGTGGCCTTAGATCGATGCTCTGTTCATTCTACTGATTAGTCAGGAATGGCATCAGGTTATAAAACTAAAACATGCTGAGAAGTAAAATTCATTCTTGTATAAGGTCTGTGGCTTGTTAAGTACAGTATATATCTTCTATTTACATTAGAATTTTGAGGAATGAAAAAATGGACATATTAAGATGGCATTTACATGACTGTTTTATATATGTGTTTATAATTTGTATAGTATACATATTTAATAGGCTTGGCAAGCGTGTTTCCTTTGAGAGATGTATGACTTGGAAGCAAGGGGCAGTTCTGAGAGGCCTCAGAAGCAGGGACTCTAGAATCACAAAGGGTAGAATGGGATGAGTCTTGCTTCCCCTGGAGACAGTCTCTGGTGCATCTCCCTTGGTAAATATCTGTTGTTTTTAACATTTCCCCTTTCTTTAAAAAAACAAAATAAAACAAACCCTTCTCTTCTGTGTTGGGCCGTCTCTGTTGGGCTAACCTGAGGAGATTCTTCCTTCCAAAGGCTATTGATAGTGGATATTGATAGTGTCATTGTGGGACCGTGCAGCACAGAATAGGGACCATGGGAGCTAGAGGCGGGCTGGGCTGCGGCACCATGGGCCAGGCCAGCCAGGCAGAACAGTGTTTCCTCTTTCATCATTCTTCTGCTCTTCCCTTGCCTATCTGCCCTCCCTCCCTCCCTCCCTCCCTCCCTCCTCGCACTACCCCCTCTTTCTCTGCCTCCCCCTTTTCTTTTATTTCTTCTTCCACTGCTTCAGTCAGACTAACTGCAGTGCCAGGTGTGTGTTGGTTGTCTCCTGGGCAGGGATTGTGGCAGTATGTGAAGCCATGCAATGCAACTTTTCTACCACTGAGCCTCATTTCCATGCCTGATAAAGAGAGAAAAATAACTTAAAAAAAAAAGAAATATATTTATATATATGTTATATATACATAGATATGTATATAACTGAAATATTTGTTGTAGATTTTTTAGGGCTCACTAAGATACTACATTTTTTTCTTTATTTCTCTTCCTTTCCCCTCATCCCCCTTTTAATGGGTCATACCCAATGTTTCTCAGGACTTACTACTGGCCCTGTGCTCAGGGGTCACTTCTGGCAGGACTCGGGACCATCTGTGATGACAGGGATTGAGACTAGGGTGGACAGTTGCAAGGCAAATCCTTACTGGCTGTGCTCTCTCGGGCCCACGGCATGTTTTTCAAATCAAGCCTTTATGTGACAATAGTTCAGAAAATTAAGGTTTTATAGCTTTTTCTTCTGGTAGAGATGACTTAGAATTCAGATTTCTTGAACCTTGTAACTGTCACCTATCTGCTGCTCTGCAAATGCACACCTGGTCTTTAAAATCCCCAGATAATTTTTAAATTATTTTGAACAGAGAAAATAAAAAAATCAACTGAAGACAAATATACATGCTGTTAAGTAAGTTGAATATCAAAAGTAAGGCAAGGATTCAAATTGATTTATTTCTTTATTCCTTAATATTTGATAATCACAAAAACATATATATGGGCTGTTATGTCTTAATTAACATATAAAACAGAAATCTATAAAATTTAAATCTTATAAAAGAACACTTCCCCCCCCCCCCCTTTTCTTTATTCAAGGATCCAAAAAGAAGCCTCTTCACTTGATTAGCTCTTCTGACAAACCTGGATTAGATTTATTAAAAGTGGAGTATATTAAGGTAAGGATTAGGGAAAATTTATATACTTACTGTTTACTACAATCTAACTTCTAGAAAGAAAAAGATGACCAGTTGTGTATCATAGGTTTGAATCTCAGGGCTGCATCATTAGGAGTACCTGCTTTTTGTCTGTCTTTTTCCTATTCTATTTAAGCAGAGGACTAGGACATTGCAAAGCCACCAAAGATGGAAGCTGGAGTGAGGTCAGTCCCACTCCTGCTTTCTGGTCCGTCTGTACCTGCTCTTGCTCCTGCATGTGCAGGTGACATTTGACTGTCCTTCACGAAAGGGATTGGTCGCATTGGACTGTGCTTGGAGGAGAGCTGCCAGGATTGAGAAAGGACCCAAAATATTGGATAGGAGCAGTCAGCAAGGAACTTGGCTTTGTTTGAGATTCATTGACTGTTGATAGCATAGATAACCATTTATTGAATGTCTTTGTACGTTGGCCTTTCTTTGGGACTTGGAACACATAGATAAAAAGAAGTCCCCGTTCCCCATTCTCAAGGACATCTTTGACTGGTAGGAAGATTAACCAGTAGACGATTTCACACTGGGATTTATTCTTGAGTTTGGAAGAGCATCATTACAGCAGGTGGCAGGATGATGGCCTGGCCAGAAAGAGCCTTTCAAAGACTGAAATCGGAACTTATTGCTTCTTTCCCCAAGGTCTGAGCTTGATGAACTGATGGGAAATTACCAAGGGATGCAGATGTTTGGGGCGCGGGGGGAGGGTCTCTCAAAAGTGCTCATGGCCAGGTGGTCCTGCAGTACATGGTAGAAAACATGGTCCAGTAGTGCTGGGACAACTGTGGTCTCTGCTGAGCCACTGGGGCTCTGGTCTCAGGAATTAAACTTGGAGTCTCTGCCAGTCATGTGCTTGAAGCCCAGGAGACAGACTGACTTAGTGGAAGATCTCTTCAGTTCAGGGTTCACTGAAGATTGGAGTTTTTAAGAAAACTAGGATATTTCTAAAGTAGACTTTTTTGACAAAGACTAAAAAGAGATTCAAGTACTAGGTGGTAGGAAGGTGACCTATTCTCACTGTAAGAATTTTTCATTCTGATCTCTAACTGCAAAATCCCAGAAGTGAATGTTACATGCTCTCCCATATTTAAATGGAGAAGAATTCTCTTAAGTTTTTATATATAAGGTAATGATAATAAGATCAATACATAGCAATATGGTTATACTTAAATATAAATAAAATAACCAGAAGTTATAAATAAGTTATTTATTTACTGTTTTAATCCATTCTTCATGCTCTTGGCTTCTATTTTTCAGGCTGATAAAAATGGACCTAGTTTTCAAACTACTTTTGAAAAAACTGAGCAAACACTTAAGGTAAAAAATTCTTCAGGTAAAGAATGTTTTATTTTTGAGGTGGGAGAGATCTCAGTGGCAGAGTGCATGCCTGTCACATGCTTTGCCTTGGTTTGAGCCTGAAATTGCCAGGAAAAAAAAAAGATTTTGTGTTAGGCCAGGGGTTGGCTCAGTGGGCAATTGTGTGCCATGGTGCATGAGACATGGGCTCAGTATCCTATTGAAAGTGGCCCACTTGAGTATATCAAATCACCTTTGATGAATATTGGTTATTTGCTGAAATAATAAGGAACTAGAAAAATTCTGAATTTAACCTCATAATGCCTATTATGATTTTTAAAAATGATTCAGAATAGTGAAATGTTATAGACAACCATTTGGTTTTTAAACAAACCACAGTAGATCTATGTTTTAATGTAGAGATGAGAAAGTTTGAACTTCTAGAAGAGATGAGTATTTCTGGACTCATACTAAAAGAGTAAAGTAGAGGAAGAAAATAGGAAATGTAGATTCAAGCTGTGTTGAAAGGAAAAGCAGAGAAATGAGTTTTTGGTTTTCTTTTGAGAGATGAAGACTCGAATGTTGTGGACATTTTATAATTTTTATGTCCACTTAGTGTTTTGAGACAATGAAAAGAAATGCATTCTCATGAACAGAGTTTTAAAAATAATGTTATTAAAAGCTACATATTTTTCTTTGTGTGTTTGGGGAGGGGGCACATACTCGGCAGTGCTCATGGGCTGTTCCCTCCTTGCTTGGGGTTGCTCCCAGCAGTGCTCAGGGGACCATGTTTTGCTGGGGTTTTAGGCACAGGTCTCAGTGCTTAGATCTTTGAGTTCTCGCTCCTGCACAGGGAGCTCCATGTTCTTAAAAGCAACTTGTGTTGTTCTCTTAGTTTCTGAGTTGCTGTTTATAATGTAATGTACTTCTCCCACAAGTCAAATTTATGTACACACAACATATTTAAACAATGGTTATGATTTTAGGAGTTTAGTTACTGAGATCTCATAACTGTTCATTTTATATTTAAATGTCATGAGTGTTGCATCTGAAATCATTTATAGACCTAACAAGTGATTGTGGAGCTTAATGCTCTAACTCATGTTTTATATCATAATAAACAAGCCCATTTATGATTCAAAGCCAGGTGTATGCTAGTCATCACGGGCAGCTTATGGGCTCTCTAATCATTGTGCTTGGCAATCAAAGTCCTTAGATTATTTGCTATGCAGACACACCTCCTAAAGTGTGTATTACTTGTTTTCCTCATATGTCCCCTGCTGAGGAAGTCTAGCTTGGGAGTTTTCTTCTTCCTTCGTCCAGGCTGTGTAAACAAGTAGTACAAGTCTCCTTCGAAGCGTCTGAAGTCCATTGTAGAGACTATGAAAAGTTCAGCCTAAGAAGCTCAATTCCTCTTAAATACATTTTTCTAGGTGGCTTTTTCATCTTTAAATTTGTTACTGCAAACACAAGCTCTTCTCTCGTCAATTAACTACCTGACAGCCATTGCTCCATCACATGCTCAAGATGTAGGTGATACCAAGGAAGTGCAAATTTCGGCTGGCAAGCAACCAAAATCTTCAACCCTGCAGAAAGGTATGAAAAAGACCCCTTAGTTCTTGTGAGGAAGGGTTATAATTTTAGAGCTAAGTGGGGAATCTTAGAGATGATCTGTTTTTGTCATTTACATGTGATTTTTCCTCATTGCTTCAGATTATATCATATGAAGCTGATATATAAGGCAAGTGTCCATAATGGGGAACGAAGTGTTTCGCTTTCACCTGGAATTGTATCCCAGCGCCACCGAGGGGGTTCCTACATGGACATATCCAAAGAAATAAGGCCAATAAATGAGCTTGTATAGCTGAGCCACAGGTGGTTTGTGAGCATGGCTTCCACATACCTAAATTTGGCCATTTAATTTCTTGGTAAACTTGCTCCCAGGTTGTTGGGGTTGTTCGGCCAAAGGCACAGCGGCAATTTGGGAGTGTCAGGAAGCCTGAAGACACCATCAGGCTGCTGATGCCCTCACCTCGCAGGAACAGGTTGACCTGTTGGTGGCATCATACCCCCAAAAGTATTTGTTTTATTTTCTACTTAGATGGTGGTGGGGGTGATTTTTGAGGCAAATAGTGTGGGGGGGGGTTCTCTATTTGTGTTGAGTTCTTTTTGCCTGTCCAGGGCTTCTGAAGTTGCACTTAGTCGCCTTAGCCTTATCTTCTATTTCACAAGTGAAGAACTCAGGTTCTGAGCTGGAGTGCAGGCTTTGCATGTGGGAGCCCTGGGTTCCAGCTCAGCACTCCTGAGTTCCGAGCTGGGGGGCCAAGAATAAGTGAAACACAAATCCTGTCTCAGCTCCTTAAATTATGTGCCTGCCAGACATTTAACTTTCCTGTTTTGTTGTCCTTATTTATTTTTCTTGCTTTAGAATTTTAAGAGTAAAATTAATCACTCATATTTTATCTTGAGACCAAACCTAGTCTTACTAAGTGGGATTGCTCTAGACAGGTTCAGGGGTGTCTATTGTCCTAGGAATTGAACCCAGGCTTCCTGCTTGCAAAACATGTGCTCAGCCCATCTTGAGTTATCTCTCCCACACACAACTCACTAGTAAACATGCAAACCACAGGAGCCAGAGAGATAATACAGGGCATGCAACCAAATTGTGTTCTGTTCCCAGCATCCCTTATGGGCCAGGAATAATTCCCAAGTGCAGAGCCAGGAATGACCCCCTGAACAATGCCAGCCAGGTATGGCACAAAAAAACAAAAACAAAAAAACACGCAAACCACAACAAAATAGAAACTCAGCAGTATATTGAAAGTGAGGATGTACTTGAATTCTTTAGGAACTTGAAAATTCTATATTTCAAAAGTGAAATAAAACTGTGGTTAACATAAGAAAGCAATCTTATAGAGTGTAGGTTAATAGAATCACACTTTTATACTTTTCTTTTATTTTTAGTGATTGTTTCCTCTAAAGATAGTGACATTATTGACTTCAAGCTCTTTGCCAAATTGAATGCTTTCTCTGTCTTTGTTTGTGATGAGAAGAACAATATTGCTGAAATCAAGATTCAAGGTAAAATTGATCATGGCAGTGCAATTTATTTACAAGATAGATATCTCTTTTTTTACATTCTGAATTAATGTACTGTGATTTACAGAGTTAATTTGCTTTTAGTGCTAAAAGAGTAAATGGAAGGTTCTGCACTATGAAAACTACTCATTTTTTTTAACGTACCAGACTGTGTATGGTGTGTGTGTGTGTGTGTGTGTGTGTGTGTGTGTGTGTGTGTGTGTCTGTGTTTTAACCTTCTTGGGATAGTAGTTTTACTTTTTTTTTGTTAGAAGCTTGTAATAAAATTCAATCAAATTGGTATTTTGAACCTTTTTCAGAGTTATTTCAGCTGTGAGAGGGATACTTGATGTTACTGTTGGGATGCTGTGGGTAGGATGGAGTAAATGTTCATCCACAATTTGGGTTAATTTCTATGAACATGCTTTCTACTAGTACAAATGCAAGAAAAGTAAACTTTTAAGGCAAAAATAATCTGTGAGCCATTATGTTCTGCTAGGAAAAGGTTGCTAAAACTATTCTAGTTTTTTATTTGATTCTATGTGTCTGCCAGCTTACTGTAAAGATAAAGAATATGCTTAAGGAAATTCGTAAGGAACTGAAAAAGCCAGCCAAGAAGTTTTTTCTTTGATCTTTTTTTCCAAAAAGAAAGTACATTCACTCATTGGAATTTGATTCATGAGAACTTTTGTAGTTTCTATGTAAAAAGCCAAGCATCTGCTAAATTCTTATGATAATTGTAATACATCTCTTTTTGAAAGAAGATTGAGAATTCAAATATTTTTAGTGAATTTATACATTTCTTATTTATAAAATTAAAAATGTCTAATTTCACAATTTATCAGTGGGTATTCACATATTACTAAGTTTTAAAAATATATTACCCCAAAGGAAACAATGTGATGGGAAAAGACATCTACTATGATCTGTCTCTAGGAACTCTAGTAATATAACTTTTTATTTTTTCAGGCCTTGATTCCTCTCTTTCTCTTCAGTCAAAGAAACAATCCCTTTTTGCCAGACTGGAGAATATTATTGTCACAGATGTTGATCCTAAGACAATTCATAAAAAGGTAGGGAACAGTGAATAGCTAATATTTCCTGCTGGTTGAGATTTTATTTTTAAATTCATTTTATTTAGAAAACAATGAAATATACTTTGATGAAACTCTACTTATTCCTACAAAGATTATTATGAGTGAGATTGCTTTTTGAGTGGGATTTTATTTTGTCACAATATCCTCTTGCATGAGAGTCTATTTCAATCTGTGCTTTTCAGGCGGTGTCAATAATGGGGAACGAAGTGTTTCGCTTTCACCTGGAATTGTATCCGGACGCCACCGAGGGGGCTTCCTACACGGACATGTCCAAAGTGGACTGCATGGTGTCCCTGCAAGTCGGTTGCATTCAGATCGTCTACCTCCAGAAATTCCTCCACTCACTTCTGGTAAGGTTGCTGCTTCACACACCGATTGGCAACAAGGAAAAACTTAATGAGATCTCATAGCTGTCACTGAAAATATCTCAGACTTAGGGGTTTCCAGGCACGCAATTGTTTCAATTTGCCACTGGTCTAGGAAATGATGTAGAGGTTGAACCAGAATCATGGACTGAATCTGCCCTGAGCTCTGCTGAGCTGCAGCCCATGACTGCCGGTGTAGGGCAGAGCCTTTGCTCTGCTCTGCAGCTCTCGGCCTGGACTGCAGGGGATGGGGCACAGGTGGGCACTGCAGGAAACCCCTACCTGCCGAAAGGGGACTCCCCCGGTGTGCCCCGTCTTGGCCTGATTCTCTCTCTCATTGTTCCCAGAACTTCCTGAACAACTTCCAGACGGCCAAAGCGGCAGTGGGCGCCGCCACTGCGCAGGCAGCTGAGCGAGCCGCCAGCAGCGTGCGTGGCCTGGCCCAGAGGAGCTTCCGCGCGGCCATCGCCGTGGACCTCAAGGCGCCCGTCCTGGTCATCCCGCAGTCGTCCGTCTCCACGGACGCAGTCGTGGTCGACCTTGGCCTGATCCGGGTTAAGAACTGCTTCCAGCTCGTGCCCGGGGAAGGTGAGGAGAACCCGCCCGTGATTGACAGGATGGATGTGCAGCTGACCGAGCTCACGCTCTCCAGGTATGTCCTGGAGCCCAAGGGTCCCTGGAGATTTCCCGTGGACTTGTACGAGTTCAGAGCTGACACACCTACATTATGCAGACCATTGTAATTTTTAGTGAGCGTTTTATGACGACTTGAAGGGTTTGAGACTTAGAGAAAAATGACCAAAAGTACCATACATGCACCTGTACTTTTTCTCTTTTATTCACCAATTTGCATTTGCTTTACTACCTATATATATGTTATGGTCTAAAGCTTAAACATTTTATTTATTTATTTATTTTAATTTTTTTTTCTTTTTGGGTCACATCTGGCTTTGTACAGGCTATTGGCTTTGTACAGGTTATTGTATAGGCTATCAGCTTTGCACTCAGGAATTACTCCTGGCAGTGCTCAGGGACCATGTGGAATGCTGGGAATCAAACGGAGGTTGGCCGTGTGCAAGACAAATGCCCTACTCACTGTGCTATCACTCCAGCCCTAGCTTAAACTATTTAATTTTATTATAATTGACTTATAACTTATAGGCTTCAGTTGTACAGCCAGATGGTTTGATTTGTTTTTGTATATGTGAAATGTTCACCACAGTAGATCTAATTAGCATCTACCTTTCTATACAGCTGCGAAAACTTTTCTTGCATTGAGAACTTACATGATCTACTTTCTTAGTAAATCAAAAAATCAAATGTCAAGACAGTGTTATTTGATCTTAGTCATTATGCTGAATATTACACAAAATCACAAACAAATCATCCTGTTGATCGTCGATTGCCTCGAGCAGGCCCCAGTAACGTCTCCTTCATCCTAGCCCTGAGATTATATTCAAGGCTCTTTAGGAGAATGAGACCCATCATTGTTACTGGTATTTGGCATATTGGGTATGCCACGGGGAGTTTGCCAGACTCTGCCGTGTGGGCAGGCTACATTTGGTAGCCTGCCAGTTTGTCCAAAGTAGGAATGAGATAATAAGATGTCATAATAAGATGTCGCGCGGTTCCGGGAGCTGGTTTTTATAGTCTCTGAGTCTTGGCCGCTGATGGGATTACACGGCGCCAGGGGGCCAGTTGGTGGGTGTGACCCCCGCCTACTGGAATTTGGAGGATCTGGGTGGAGGATGCTCGGCCCAAATCCGAGTACGTTTGCAGATCTCGGCCCCGGAAACCGCGTGACTTTGTCCCTCTGCCAGTACCTTTATGTGTACGGAGAGTGGTCTCAGCATGGTGGTGGCTGGTCCTGGAGGTCTTTGGCTGCCGGAGCCCTGGTCGGGGCGGGGAGGAAAGCAATCCTCCAATATTACATCACCAGACTATTTTGTAGCTAGAAGTTAAAATGCGACACCAATATGCTAACCCATTTGAGAATAGAATCTTTGCTCCTTAAATACTGGCTATACTTCCTAAGAATAAGTGCATTCATTCTTTTACATAAACACATTCAATTATCAAAATCTTAGGAAAAATTTGATACAATAGTTATTATACCGTCAACATTGAGATGTTATTTTATCAATGAATTTTATAGTAACTTTCCTTCTGAACCAGAATCATATATAATGTTTAATGATAATCTTATATTGTTGAGGGAATTTCTATACTGATAGAATTTATATTGGGATAATTTTTAAGACTTTTAAGATGATGAGTTTTGGGGTTTTTTTTTTTTTTGGTTTTGGTTTTTGGTTTTTGGATCATACCCAGACAATGCACAGGGCACTCCTGGCTCTACACTCAGAAATTACTCCTGGCGGTACTCGGGACCATATGGGATGCTGGGAGTCGAACCCAGGTCTTCTGTGTGCTAGGCAAATGCTCTACCTGCTGTGCTATCGCTCCAGCCCCACAAGATAATGAGTTTTGTAGTTGTTGCTTGAAATGTCTCTTAATTTTTTTATTTTATCTGGAATTCCTTATGATTTAATTGGGCTTACACAGTTTTGGCAGAAATACTATGTATTGATATATAGTATTGATCTCAAACCAGTGACAAGTGAAAATCTTATATAATTATTCAACCTATTAATTTTATTTGGTTTTGGGTCACACCTGATGGTGTTCAGGGCTTACTCCTGGCTCTGTGCTCAGGGGTCACTCCTGGTGAGGCTCAGGGGACCTATGGGATGCTGGGAATCGAACCTGATTCAGCCACATGCAAAGAGCACCCTGTCCTCTATACTGTCACTCTGGCTTACTATGTAATTTATTTAAAATTCTGCTCAATCCGAGAAGATTTAATCATCCTGAATTAAAAAAAAAATAATAGGCAAACCCAAAAATAATTCTGTGGAAAAATCCTATGAAATATTTAGGAAACACTAGCTGATCATCTTTTCATTTTTTAAAATTCATATATCAGTGTTTGATCCTCATTTGGAACAATAAGAATTAAAAAAAATACTTTTTGTCAGCTAAGAGCTCTTTTTTTTTTTTTTTTTTTTTTTGCTGGCATTGGGGTGAGGGGCACATCCAGTGATGCTCAGGAACTATTCCTGGCTCTGTTTTAATGAGTGACACTTGGCAGTGCTCATATGTGGTACCATGGATTGAATTAGAGTTGGGCAAAGCTGCCTGATGTCAGCAAGTGTCTTCCCTCCTGCACTGTCACTGACTCCCAGAACTTTTATTTTTTAAGAAAAGAGTACTTAATTGCTAATTGTTGTATATCATGTATTTTAATCTGGCCCTCATAACTATCAGAATTTAAAAAAGCAGAGTGCTTTTTTAGTGCTTAGAACAGCAGCTGTTGACTCTTTGCAATGATGTTTTTTTCTGTGCACATTTATTGGTCATTCTTTGTAGGACGGTAATTCAGCCGGGTGTCTCCCAGCCTGACATTCAGCTATTGCAGCCAATTAACTTGGAGTTTTCTGTAAATCGAAATCTAGCTGCTTCATGGTACCACAAAGTCCCTGTTGTGGAGATTAAGGGACATCTTGAGTCAATGAATGTAAGTATGAGTCATAAATGAAGAGAAGCTTTACCATTGTAATTTTACTCTGAAGACATTTTCATTGAATTCAAATGAAATGTGCAATTTTTTATTTTCCTGATCTGAATGGGGGGGGGGGGACCGTACAGTGAGATGTTATTTATTATTTTTAGTTGGAATAATCTTCATTTAAGTGCTAGTCACCTTTAGTATTTATTTTTGGATTTTGGGTCACACCCTGTTGTGGTATGCAGGGCTTACTCCTGGCTCTCTGTTAAGGGATCTCTTCTTGGTGGTACTTGTGGACCATATGGGATGTGGGGATGGTAACTGCATCAGCTACTTGCTGAGCAAGCACCTTAACTAACCCCTGTCTCTCTCTAGCCTAGATAGAGGCAACTTTTGATTTTCTCTGTGTACACATTATATCAGGGGCCTGTATGTAAATGTTTTTTGTTTGTTTTGAGGATTTTTGTTCTGTTTTGGTTTTGGGGCCATATCCAGCTATCCTCTGGGCTTATTCTTGGCTCTGTGCCATATCAGGTGTCAGGGATCAAACCCATGCCAACTGCATGCAAGACAAATACCCTACATGCTGTACTATTGCTCCATTCCCATGAAATGATTTAATATACTAAATTCATCTCATGTATTATATTATTAGTGTATTATTATGCATGTCTGATTTTAGAGGTAGCTAAACTATCCTTTAAGATAATTATAGCAATTAGGGAAAAACCTTTATTTATTTATTTATTTTTATTAGTGATATACCATGAGGTACAGTTGTTGACTTACAAACTTTAATGCTTGTGTTTCAGTTATACAATGATTGGATAACCATCCCTCCTCCTGTGCCCGTTTTCCACTACCAATGGACCCAGTATCCACCACCACCCCCACCCCCCCGTACCCGCCCCACCTCTGTGGCAGGGCATTCCCTTTTGCTCTCTCTCTGCTTTCGGGTAGTGTGGGAAAACCCTTTTTTTTTTTAAAAAAATACATTCAAGACCCTTTTTAGTTATTGATATAGCTATTGTTTAAAAAGTGGAATTTTATATACTTTCTGGATTTGTCACTTGAAAATGATTTGATTAGGTCAGTGTTATGATTGTTTTGTCCTTCAACTTTTGTTACTAGAAATTTATTTTCTATATTTAGATGATTTTAATTGAAATAAAACATATTTATCTTTTTATTTTAACGTAATATTTCACAGGTTATTCTAAATCAAGAAGATCTTAATCTTTTATTTAAAATACTAGCAGAAAATCTTGGTGAGGCTACTGAAGATACAAATAAAGCAAAGCCAGGGCTACAGAAGACAGGTAAGCACTGACAGGGCTGCGCTGATCCATGCCTCTCCTGGGCACACAATTTAGTGGGGAAGCATGATGCAAAGGAGGGCAGCACGATTGATTAGATTTAGATTAATCATCTAAATTACGATTAACATTGCCAAGAAAACATAGTGCCTTAGAATAAAGCAGTAGCTTGAGCTGATGAACTTTGAGCAGGAATCGGGTTAGAGTGTACAGTGTCAAGCTTTTGTTCTACGTTGCTTTCATTAATTAGGAAGAAGCCATAGCGCAGGGTCTCACCCCTGTATTCCCAGAGTAATTGGCAAATCTGCACGTAGGGAAAAACGACTCTGAAAGGCAGCACTAGTTAGGCGCGTATACTTGATCTGATTTTTACAAGAGCCCAGTAGTGGAATATGTGTAAGAATGAAAGTAGTTGATGAATAAACACATAAGAGGAGTACTGGAGTGCACTGCACTAACAGCACTAAGAGGGCAATCGTCATTCGCTCTGCAAGTCTTGCTCTTTGCCAGCGCTGTTCTCACTGCGGGGGGTGCCGTGAGCAGGGGGCACACACTTCCCTGGCCTTGCTGCTCTGGGGCACAGAGTTAGGGATGTGTTTCTCACACGAATTCTCAGTTGTAGTGTTCGCTGTGGGTCACCCCCTTTTTGTGCTTGCATGCACCTGGCTGTGACCTAGATTCAGACCACCTTGTTTTTTTTGCTTTTCCACATTTTCCTGAGGAGAGTTGGCTCCTTGTAGTGAATTTCAGGTTACTATTTGAGATAATTATTTTTGAAAATTCTGTGAAAGAATCTTTGTTTATCCCAGGGCTTCTTTTGTAAGAGCAGAATATTCGATGAATATTTTCTCCTGGATCATATGTCTAGAACATGTGAAATAAGGTTATAGTTAATAAATGTTACTTGATCTCTGAAACGCTTTTACAAAGGTTATAATCATTCCAGTGCTTTTTTCATGTTGATTTTGGGTACGGTTCATTCTGTAGGCTCCAGTGTAATATGTTAGTGATCATAGATGATGAAAATGCAATTCTGTTAATAACAAAGGCAGTGGTATTGAGGATCAGAAGAGAAGGAAGCCTATAATGTCAGATCTATGACCTTCAACTCCAGCATTTGCCTGTGTGACATTGGCAAGGTACTGCATCTCCCAGGACCTCAGTTTGTTCTTCTATGAAATGAGGACAGTGAAGTTTTGTTTTTGTCTAATGGTCGCAGAGATTGTTGTATAAAATAGTGAGACAAGCCCTTAACAGTGTCTAGCAGAGAGGTAAGGTAAGCACTTAGCAAGGACTAGCTGTTACTAGGCTTTTATATTCCAGTTGGTAAGTCCTGTGTTCATTTCAGGGCAACACCATCATGTTCACATAGCTCTCCTTTTGCCTCGTGGTGGAGTTTATGAGACACTAACCATTGCCCCCTCCTTTTAGAGATTTAGCCATGTCAAATGACTGTTTCCAAAATCTGTTGTGGTGTAATTATCTCTCTGGTTTTTCACAATCTCTTGTTCCTGGAATCTTTCTGCCTTAGGCAATAATTCAGCTGCACATACATGACTCCCCTAGGGAGCAAGGCTTTTTCTAGTCTATATTTTGTATGTTATATTGTGTTTTAATATGTGTCTACTTAATGGGACTAGGTGCAACTGGCTTATTTTGTTTATTTGCATTTTGAATGAAAGTCAGCAAGTCATGGTTAATTTGACTAGTTATTACTGGTTTATTATTATTATTTTATTGTTGTTGTTGCTATCATTTTGCATTTTAAATGGAGGCCAGTAAACTGTGGTTAACTTTACCTGGTGGTGCTCAAAGGATCACCTGTGGTACTGGGGATTGAGCAGGATGCAAGGTGAGGGCTTACCTTCTGTTCTAGCTCTCTGGCTCTGTCATGACTAACTTTCTAAAGACTGGAGCTGTGCTTTAATGAATTGTGGATTTTAAGTACCTGCACCACTCAGGTGTACTCATGTAAGTACTAACTGGACTTTTGAGAAGCAAATTGTGAATGAATAGAAATTAATGGATTTCTTTTAAACATCTCCAGGTCAAACTAAAGAGCTCCTTGAAATATCTGCATTACAAGATGTACATGCTTCACAAGATACATTAACAGATGGAGTGGAAGAAGTTAGATCTGTAGACATCATTAATATTCTTTTGAATTTTGAAATCAAAGAGGTGTGTAGCTTTCATCTTATTTTTGTGGAGTGAAGTGAATAAATAATGGATATTTTCAATTGCCTCTACTAAAATATATTTGTGGATTATAGTTGTGGGTTACATACCCTTATATTGGCTTCTTACATTATGTGGCAGTAATGTAAAGAAATTTTAGTTTGCTAGTGAGGTATATTTGAGGAACATAGTACTCTGTAGACATAATATTAGGATATTCCATTGCCTGTTTTACAAAGGATTTTCGGAGCATTGGAATGAAACTGGCTTTGGTTTTTTTTTTATATAGGAAAGGTAGGAAAGGGAAACAGCAAGAGAGGAATCAGTTGCAAGTTTCAGAAAACCTTAGTAGAATAAAATACATTATGACTACATAAATAATGACTCTGGTACTTATGTCTGTCTTTTGATTGTTGAGGAAAGATCACATGGACTTTACCTCTTCAGCATTTATAATTTCAACAAATCCTAAGTACTGAAGATAGTGGTTAGTGATTCAGGCTCTGAACTCAAGCAAATAATTAAACCTTAAAGTACTTTCTGAATCCTTTTCGGAAACCGGCTTGCTCACATGGTTGTCCTTCATCTAGTGTTCTGCCAATCCTATTCAGGATGACTCGAGTGAACAGCTTGTAGATGACAGACAACAGGCAGATCGGGTGATAGTTGCCAATGTCGTGGATGTCTCCCTTCTTGTACAGTAGTACAGTCCTGCTGGTTTTCCATTGGGACGGGACCTTCCATTCAGACAGGTAGTGTGTGGAGAGCCGAGTCAGTGTATTGATGAGTACTGACGGCAGGTTCTTCAGGTATTCAGGTCTGACCTTGTCTGGGCTGGGTGCTGTTCGCTTCTTTACTGACCAAATGGCGTGTTGGATTTTGAAAGGGAGAACATTGGGAATAACATATCCATCCTGCGGAATTTGATATGTGGGCAGGTGGATGTGGCTATTGAAGAGATCTGAGTAGAAGTCATGGATAATCTTCTCCATTGCCCTTCTGGAAGATGTGAGAGATCCATCAGGATGTTGGAGGGCAGTCATTTTGGTCTTGTAGTTGGCGAAGGACAGGCGGGCGTTGAGAATGCTTTTCCCGGCTTCTGCCCTATCTGCCAGTGAGTGTGGAAAGGTCAGACTATAGCTGAATCTCACGAAGACAATGTTTATGAGAAATGGTCTTGTTTCTGACGTTCCATTCACTCTCAATGGAACAAACATCTCTGAATGCAACAATTAGGTGTACCTAGGTCGAGAAGTCAACATGACAAATGACCTGGCACTGAGTTACGCAGGAGGAAGAGAGCGGGTTGGAATGCCTTCAGGAGCATTGAAGAAATAGCTAAGAGGATGAAGAACCTCTGGCACTGGGCACATCTCTTAGATTCCACTGTTCTTCCTGTTCTCCACTGTTCTTAACATATGCCTCAGAGACCTGGGCCCTACGAAAACAGGATGAGAACGCTATTCAGGTCTCCCAAAGAAGAACTGAAAGAGCTATGCTTGGAGTATCACGCTTCACTCAAGTGAGAAAAAGAATCCAGAGTTCCGACCTCCATGGTTGATTGTTGATTGAGAATCAGGGACGCTGCCTTGTTTGCCAAGGTGTCAAAAATCAGATGGGCTGGACACGTAATGTGATTTGGAGATGACCACTGGACTAGAGCCGTTACCAACTGGATTCCATGGGACGTCAAAAGATCGCATGACTGCCCACCTACGAGATGGTCAGACTTCTTCGTCAAGATCCTGAACGATCGATTTGAGGCTCTTCGTGTTCCTAGAACAAGCAGATGCCGTTGGGCTACGCTAGCATGCAACAGGGACGAATGGTGATGTTACTGGAGCCTGCTTGAGCAAATCAATGAGTAACGGGATGTCAAGTGATCAAGTGAAAGTACTTGAGTTAAAAATATGTCCAGGGTACTTTTGAAATTAGGCACAGTGAAGACAGTTAATTTGAGAGCAAATCCTCCAGATTTCCTGGGAGAAACAGTCTTTGGATTGACTTTTTCAAGAAGAGTAAGTGCTGATCAGAGATGGGGGTTCGGGACAGTGTAGAGAGAGAAACAGCTGTAAAGATCTGAATAGTGAAGCAGCATAGAAGATGGAAGTTTGCAAGAACTAACACCATTGTTTTCAAATAGTTGAAGAGGTTATATATGTATTTATTAAGTTTAAAGAAATAAAGTTTTAATGAAGTATTGGTTTGAAATACATCCATCAAAGGTAATTTCTTTCATGTCAAAGTCCTGCTGTTTTTCACCTCAGTAGCAGAGTAATTCAAAATTTTAAGTATTTGGTAATTGAAGTGTTGATGTGCTAATCATTCTCTTTGTAAATGGTTCACTGATAATTACACAGAGAAGCCCCATGCCCTTTTCATCATCATTTGTATGACATGTTGCTTAGTTCCTGTGCCCTGAAATAGTGACTGGGTTGGAGAAAGCACTTCACATCCTTCCCAGGCCTTCATTTGGCATCATCAAAGATACTTTGGTTGTCACTGGTGAGAGGATCTCTGTCACCAGTGCTGAGAATCCAGGCTTGTCACAGGCTCATCTTGTGCCCTGGACTGACCCTTCTGAGAAAACGTGACCCAGTCTAAAGCTTTGGTGATGCTAAGGCTGAAAAACCTTTCCCGAGGTGCAGCATAATACCTGCTCTGTAATCTCATAGGCTTTTAGGTGAAAGGCTTTTTATCAGACTAAGACTTAGGGAATTTGGTAGAATCCCCCACCCCACCCCATTCTGCCTTTATTGTAACCCAGTAGAGCAGCATGAAGATACTTAAGAGGTCTGAACGAGTAAATATCCTTTCCAAAATAAATGACATGAGGGGATGTTCAGGTGAAAATAGAAAAAAACATCTTCATATCTAAAATTTAGGAGTATTTCTCTGGATGCTTATTGAATTGATGTTCTAAGATGTATGTTCATTGTGGTAATTTTGATACCTTTATCTAGGTCGTACTTACTCTGATGAAGAAAGCAGAAGGCAAAGGAAGGCCTGTGCATGAGCTAAATGTCCTGCAGCTTGGAATGGAAGCTAGAGTTAAAGCCTATGACTTGACAGCTAATGCTTATCTGAAAAAAGTTAGCATGAAATGCTTTGAGTTTACTGGTAAGTGGGGCATTCGAAATGTGAGAATTATTTAAGTAATGGGCCAATGTCCTTCTCTCTTTTTTTAAATCAACATTAAAAATATCTATTGGTGTCTTTAAAAGTACATATTTAGATAAGATTTACTGCATTTATACAAAGAAATGTGATTATTGAGAAATGTATTATATAGTTATTCATAAATTAAGAATATACTTACATATTTAGCACAGTGTAATTTATCTACAAGATAAAGCAGGACTTCAGTCTACATATATTACTTTAGTACTTATATAAAGTTATTATTCCTTATTAGAAATAGTTTTAAAATTTATATCTATATCTTTATATCTATCTATATCATCTATCAATATATCTTAGAACTAAGAATCCAAATATACTTTCTATCTAGAGAATTCAAGTATGCTTTTAAAAAAACTTATATATTTTTATTTGGTCAGAACTCAGAACCCAAGTGTACCGTCTAGGTATAAAACCCATATATGCTTTAAAAAGCAACAAAATGGGAGACGAACACCCAGGAGTGGCTGAGATTAGTACCAGGAATTTTGCTTCATGACTTGGAGGCCAGCCATAAGTGCTAGGGAAAAAGGAAGCACAGATAGAGAAGAGAGCACCAAATAAAGGGTATTGTGAGGATCCTCCCAGGGTGGGAGAAGCATGCTGAAAGTAGACTATAGACCAAACATGATTGCTACTCAGTGCCTCTCTTGCAAAACACAGGACCCAAAAGAAGAGAGGGGGGAATGCCCTGCCACAGAGGCAGGGTGGGATGGGGGGATGGGGGGTGGGAGGGATGCTGGGACCCGTAGTGGTGGAGGATGGGCGCTGGTGGAGGGATGGGTACTTGATCATTGTATAACTGAAAGCCAAGCACAAAAATTTGTAAGTCTATAACTGTACCTCATGGTGTTTCACTAACAAATTAAAAAAAACATTTATTATTATTCAATCTCTGTGAAATTACAATGTTATTCAAGATTGGGTTTCAGGCACACAATGTTTTAACACCAGCCCCTTCACCAGTGTCCACTTCCCGCCACCTCCACTTACCTCCCTCCCACGAGTCTGCTCCTACGAGAGTACTTTATTTATTTATTTATTTTTAGAGATGTTTTTGCATTGTGACTTACAGTACTGCGACTGATAGGGTTTCATGCGCAACACTATTTTGACAAACTTTTCCGTAACTGGCTGTTCTGTTTGAATAACTGCTTGACCTGCTTAAAATTGTTCATCAATCTCCCCTGTCTTTTTCTCTTTTAGACTCAAAAGGAGACCCTCTTCACATTATTAACTCTTATAATGTGACTGATGAACCCCTTCTGAAAATGTTGTTCACCAAGGTACTTCCTGCATCTTTAGGGTCCTCTACTAGTTTTCCCTTCAAGGTTATATAATTCTCCATGTTTAATATTTGAATTGTTGTCCCTAAAATTATTAAACTTCCCTGTTATATAATTATATGAATTTTTCATGCTTCTTGACAGTCTTGCATAGTTTCAGTAACTTTTTAGTTCATCGTCACTGTCACTGCCCTCCCGTTGTTCATCAGTTTGCTTGAGCAGGCCCAATAACGTCTCCATCATGAGACTTGTTGTTACTGTGTTTGGCATATTGAATATGTCACGGGTAGCTTACCAGGCTTTGCTATGCGGACAAGATACTCTCGGTAGCTTGCCGGGCTCTCTGAGAGGGGCGGAGGAATCGAACCTGGCTCAGCCAGTCAGCTGCGTGCAAGGCAAACACCCTACCGCTGTGCTATCGCTCCAGTTATCCTGTATTATAGAGTAAGGGAGAGAATACAAAGTTTTCTTGTAATTGGAAGTTAATCTTTTGTAATAAGATATTCTTTTTTTTTGGTAATAAGATATTCTACCATTTTCCTAATCTTTAGCATTTCCCTCCAAGTGGGAGGACTGTCTTCTGCTAGCACGCTTATTGCTTTTTTACACCTTTCCTTGAAAAACAAAGAATGATTTTTAGTGTACGAATTTTCACTCTTCTCAACCCAGTGTGTCCACCCTCCACTCTGCAGGCAGACAGTGATGGGCCAGAATTTAAAACTGTTTATGAAAACACCAAACAGAGACTGAAGGTAAGTCTTTTTTAATTTGCTGTGAAATTTGATTTTATAAATGATTATATTTTGTTCACAGGCATCTTCAGTTTGAGAGAATTTTAGAATGAATAAAAAGAGGCCAATAATGATCGATATCATCTTTAGGTATACAGATTGTACACAGATTTGAAATAATTTTGCAAACTTTTGATTTGATATCCTAAAAGATTGACTCTAGTATATGAATGAAAGGTTATATTTTAAGCACATAACACTATAATTGTTCTAGTTTGTTTTAGGGGGTTGCACATGGCAGTGCTTAGGGAGGGGTCATTCCTGGCAGCTCTCAGGAGAGCACTTTATGCTGGAGATCATACCTAGATCTTTACACACAGTGTTTGTTCTTCTGTCCTTTGAGCCATCTCATTGGCCCAACATACATCTTTTAGGGAATTCTGCTCCCTGTAGTGATTGTACTGGGAGTTGATAAAATATTTGAATTATATGTTGACTTCTAGGTTAGAATAAAACTAAGGGACAAGACTGAAAATGGCCTAGTGCAGACATTCTCACGTTCCTTTGACTGTGTTTGGTCTGCCTTGGAGGCATATGAAATGTGATGGAATTAAGGTCCAATAACTCATTCTGTATCTTTACTTAAAGGCTGTAAGTTCTTTTGTGGTTAGAACTACATTAGGAATAAGTAAAATGGTAGAATATTGTCTGCTAAGGACTAACATTGTGATGGTGAACTCTTTCCTGTAAGACATGAGGGGAAGATCATTCATGTCACTGCTCTTATGCTGTTTGTGTGCATTACCGTTCTGAAACCCACTTTTCTAATGGTTTATTGTTTTAGGTTTCATTTTCATCATTAGACTTAGTACTTCACTTGGAAGCGTTGTTGTCCTTCATGGACTTTGTGTCATTTGCCGTCCCGTCCTCCGGATCTCCTGAGAAGGAGCCTGACCTGAAGCACCCTGTGGGCGAGTCCAGGAGTACCCTTGTCCCAGCCGGTATTTAATCTTCAGTCACAGCCTACTATTTTGTTTAAGCCTTAACGTTCATACTCTGTTTTTTTTTACAATATCACAAATTTTATTTTTTATTTTAATTTTTTTATATTTTTATTAGTGAGACGTTATGAGGTACAGTTGTAGACTTACAGATTTTTGTGCTTGGGTTTCAGTTATACAATGATCAAATACCCATCCCTCCACCAGTGCCCATTTCCCACCGCCACGGATCCCACTCTGTTTTTGAGCAGAGATAAACATTTAGCATCTTGAATATGCAGTTGAGGTTCAAAGAACAGATTTGCTTAGTTTTAAAAAAGAAGGCCAATTTTATCCCAGTATCAGAGTCTGAAAGCGAAGGTTGTCTATTCATCCTGTTTTTCTGTTTGATTTTATGGTCTAGACTGTGGGTGTACATTTTTAGTGATGCCTCATGGCAGTCTTTACTAAAATGAACATGTGAAAGGAGGGAATTCAAACACAAATACAGTAACACATAGCAGAGAAGGTCTGTTTCACTGGGTTGTTTACAATATCTGGGGAAGGGCCCTTTGGTACTGTGTGGCAGTGCCCAGTGACTGGGTCCACACAGCCAGTGGCCCAGGGACCCCTCCCCTCCCCCAGATAACCAGGAAGCAGAAGAATACTTTTGCTATAAACTAGAGAAAAGAGTTTTTTTTTTTTGACAAAACTGTTTTTCTTCAGTAAACTTACATATACCAATAAGATATGCAATTGAATAAACAAAACAAATAGTCTTAAAGATCACAATAAACCATACAAAATACATATATAGTTATCTTCCAGTTATGCTCTATAGTTGTTTTTTATAATTTATGTATATTCCTTTAAATATAAAGGATAAAATTGTTTATTAATAGTTTGTTTATTAAGGATTGATGAAACCTGCTTTTTAAAAGACTGTGGTAAAATATGAATGATATAAAATTGGCTGTCAATTTTGAAAGTGTGTGTGTGTGTGTTTTTGTGTAGTATTGGTGTAGGTGATTGTAGTCCCAGTGCTGTAGTACAGTCATATATGTAGTTTGTTCTATAACTGCAAGATTATTTCTCTTGTTCCCTCATGCCCGTTTCACCAGCTTCTCTTCTTCCTCTGGACCACCAACTCATCCTCTGTATCTATAAGTTTTACTTGTTCTCTGTTTCAGGTTTCACATACAAGTGAGATTATGCAATATTTGTCTGAAATGTCCCCAAGCACTTAGAGAGTTTTACTGAAAAAGATCTTAGGCAAGACAGATCTCTAGGAAAATGTCCCTAAATTCATCCTCCCAGACCTGCCCTAAGTGGCTTGAGGGGATCCAGTGGGTTGTGACTTCTTATACACCTGGCTACACAATTAGCAATATGTTCTGGGTATTTTTTCACTTTATGCTCATTTATCATAGGATTTGTTTTATAAATCTTTTATAACAGGATACAATGTAGAGAAATTTGTTTTACAGTTAATAATGTTTGTAAGCAAGGTTGTTAATAGGTATTTTATTACTTATTCAGAAGTTTCAGGTTGTTATAAGCTATTTTTTGATGTAATATATTATGCTGAAAGGAATTCAAAACCAAAATGTGGTATAAGAATTCTAGGATTCCAATATAGAGGATTTTTTTTTCCCCATAAGAAAGATTTTTCTTTCCATGTTTCCATTTACTTCAACTTTCTATTGCAAACTGCCCTTATTCTTAATTTGAAGTGGTGCATGGTAGTTTTTATTTACATTTGAAAAAGGATAAGGATACTTATTAGTTGTATATAAGTTGATTTACATTTGAAAAAGGATAAGGATACTTATTAGTTGTATATAAGCTTAATGACTATGGTTTTGGCTCATCATGGTTCATAATGTATGAAGTAAGTGAATTTTAGTGAATTTGTGATTTTTCTTTTATTATAGTATTGTTCTTCACTCATCAAAGTATTTCTATTATTTTTCAGCATCTAGCAGCTCATCTCAAGATGATGTGTTTGATTTAAAAATCATAGCTGAATTAAATGCATTCAATGTCTTTGTCTGTGATCAGAAATGTAATATTGCTGATATTAAAATACACGGTAAGTAACAATTTCTTGGGGTAGGCACTTTTGTTCTTTATGTAGAAAGAATGAATGGTGCATGCTGCCAAGAGCCATGTTTAATTTACTTATATGAAAGATGTGGGCCCAGCAGGAGAAGGGAGGGAGGAGAGCGAGGACCCCCAGCGAGCCCAAGCCCCAGCGCGCGTCCAGAGCCGGAGCCCCGCGCGGCAGCACACCGGCCCCTCCCATCCAGGTGGGTCGGAGGACCCGAGCGGAGCCCCGCCCCTGAACCCGGACGCGCGGCCCGCGGAGCGAGCCCTGCCAGAGAACAGCGCGGATCCCAGGATCCTGGGAGGGAGTGGCCTGGGATTATCTAGGGGCGTGGCCTCTAAGAAGGGGGCGTGGCCTAAAAGTGGGCGTGGCCTACTTCCGGGCGGGCGGCCGCTTACGCGGCCGCAGGTATATCACTCACTTCAATCAACTTGGACCTGCATCCTTTCATCCTTTACATCAACTTGTTACCTAATACCAAACAAAATTTCTCACCTCTTCCACTACAATTCAACAAAATCCCACTCGCCTACTCCATTTCCAACAAAAGTTCAGTTCGAAAACAGCTATACAAGTTCAGTAATAAATAGTAACGCCTCTAAAAGTTTCACTCAATGTCAGTTATAAAACAAAGAATAACGCCTGATTGAGAAGAAGGTCAGACTCAGAAAGGTAAAGAGGCGCATCTAGCAGCAACAAAGCTGGACGGCTCCTGGCAGCCTCTCCTCACTCAACTAGAACAGTAACAGCGAGTGTGACGGACCAAACCACACTGGTCACAATGGTAAAGCAACGCAAAAGTCCACCAAACTTTCTTATTCACGAGGCTAGCCCAGATGACACCAACAGTACTATAGCGATAGACAACCTCTCTGACAAGGAATTCAGAATGGAGCTACTCAGGATGCTTAGGGAACTAAAAGAAACAATGGAAACCAATGCCAATAAAAGACAAGAGGATTTGAAGGCAGAAATGAGGAAAATGCAATCGGAAATGTCGGACCTGAAAAACCTGGTAGCCGAATTGAAAACCTCAGTGGAAGGCCTCAGCAGCAGAGTAACAGCGGCTGAGAACAGAATCAGTGAGCTCGAAGATCAAGTTCAGAGTCTTGTCAGAAAAGAGCAGAAAATGGAAAAGAGACTCACAGTTCGAGAACAGATGGCAAGAGAAGATCGTGATGAAGCCAAGAGGGGTAACATAAGAATTATTGGAGTCCCAGAGGGACGGGAAGAAAACCTTGATGAAGAAGAAACTGTCAAAGAAATCATTGCTACAGCGTTTCCAGAGCTGAAGAAAACTTGTGACCACATCCAGGAGGCCCGAAGGGTACCGGCTAGAAGAAATCCGAATAAAAATACCCCAAGACACATCCTGATCAAAATGACCAAAACTTTAGACAGAGACAAAATTCTGAAAGCAGCAAGATCGAAGAAAGAAATCTCTTACAAAGGAGCATCCTTAAAATTCACTGCTGATTTTTCTGATGAAACCCTCAGGGCCCGAAAACAGTGGTGGGACATAGTGAAAAAACTCAATGAAATAAATGCTTCTCCAAAAATACTTTACCCAGCGAGACTCTCATTCATAATAGAAGGAACAACACACAGTTTCACGGACAAACAACAGCTCAGGAACTTCATAGACTCAAAACCATGGTTACAAATACAACTAAATGGGCTACTTTAAGGCAAGACAGACCTCTCAAATACACCAAATTTCAACAGAACAATGGGACAAAATCCCATAACAATAATCTCTCTCAATGTCAATGGGCTAAACGCACCAATTAAAAGACATAGAGTGGCAGGATGGATTAGAAAATTGAACCCAACATTCTGCTGCCTGCAAGAAACGCATCTCAATAGTCAAAGCAAACACAGACTCAGAGTCAAAGGCTGGAAAACAATCCTACAGGCAAACAGCTCCCAGAAAAAAGCTGGGGTAGCTATCCTAATATCAGACCACATCGATTTCAGAGTGAAGAAGGTCATAAGAGACAGTGAAGGCCATTTCCTATTGACCAAAGGATCTGTACAACAGGAAGAACTTACAATAATAAATGTATATGCACCTAATGAGAGACCAGCAAAGTACTTAAAACAATTACTCATAGATTTGGAAAAAGACATCGATAGCAACACAATACTAGTGGGAGACCTCAACACCGCTTTGTCACCTCTTGATAGATCAACCAGACTCAAGCTTAGCAAGGACATACTTCATCTGAGGGAAACAATGGAAGAAAGGGGCTTAGTAGATATATACAGGACACTTCATCCACAAAAAGCTCAATACACATTCTTTTCAAGCGTACATGGAACGTTCTCCAAGATAGACCACATGCTGAGCCACAAAACATGCCTCCATAAAATTAAGAAGATAGAGATTATATCAACAATCTTCTCAGACCATAATGCGCTGAAATTAGAAGTAAATCACACACAAAAACAGAAAACTAAATTAAACACATGGAAATTAAACAGTGCGCTATTAAACAACGAGTGGCTTAGAAAGGAAATTAAAGAGGAAATCAAAAGATTCCTAGAAACGAATGAAAATGAGGACACGAGTTACCAAAACCTATGGGACACAGCAAAAGCAGTCTTAAGAGGAAAATTTATAGCTCTACAAGCATTCCTCAGGAAGGAGGAGCGAGCCCACATAAATAAACTAACCTCACAGCTTAAGAACTTGGAGAAGGACCAACAAAAGGAGCACAACCCTAACAGGAGGAAGGAAATAATAAAACTCAGAGCAGAGATTAACGAGATGGAAACCCAGAAAACAATCCGAAAGATCAATGAAACCAAGAGCTGGTTCTTTGAGAAAATTAACAAAATCGATAAGCCCCTAGCAAAACTCACAAAGAAAGGGAGAGAGAAAACCCTAATAAACCGAATCAGAAATGAAAAGGGGGTCATTACAACAGAAACCACAGAAATTCAAAGGGTCCTCAGGGAGTACTTTGAAAAGCTTTATGCCACAGAACATCAAAACCTCGAGGAAATGGATAAATTCCTAGACTCCTACAGACTCCCAAGGCTGAACCAAGAAGACCTGGAATACCTGAACAGACCTATCACCATCAAGGAAATTGAAATGGTAATAAAAAGTCTCCCCAAGCACAAAAGCCCTGGCCCGGATGGATTCACCAGTGAATTCTTCCAAATCTTTAAAGAAGACTTACTCCCAATCCTCTTTAAGCTTTTCCAAGAAATTGAAATATCAAACACACTTCCGAACAGCTTCTATGAAGCAAATATCACACTGATACCAAAAGCAGACAGAGATAACACAAAGAAAGAGAACTACAGGCCGATATCCCTGATGAACACAGATGCAAAGATCCTCAACAAACTACTAGCAAATAGAATCCAACTACTCATCAAAAAGATCATACACCATGACCAAGTAGGATTCATCCCAGGGATGCAAGGATGGTTCAACATTCGGAAATCAATCAACATAATCCATCATATCAACAAAAGAAAAGATAAAAAGCATATGATCATATCAATAGATGCAGAGAAAGCATTTGACAAGATCCAGCACCCCTTTATGATGAAAACCCTAGCCAAAATGGGCATAGAGGGGACTTTCCTCAACATAGTTAAAGCCATCTACCACAAGCCTACAGCAAGCATCATCCTCAATGGGGAAAAACTGAGAGCCTTCCCTCTAAGATCAGGGACGAGACAAGGATGCCCACTCTCTCCACTGCTGTTCAATATAGTACTGGAAGTACTTGCAATAGCAATTAGGCAAGAAAAAGACATTAAGGGCATTCAGGTAGGAAAGGAAGAAATAAAGCTCTCACTATTCGCAGATGATATGATACTATACTTAGAGAACCCAATAACCTCCACCAAAAAACTCCTAGAAACAATAGACTTGTATAGTAAAGTTGCAGGTTATAAAATCAATACCCAAAAGTCCATGGCTTTCCTATATGCAAACAGTGAGAGAGAGGAAAGCTACATGAAAAAATCAATCCCGTTCACAATTGTGCCCCAGAAAATCAAGTACCTAGGAATCAGCCTAACTAAGGAAGTAAAGGACCTGTACAAAGAAAACTACAAAACGCTACTTCAGGAAATAAAAGAGGACATGAGGAAATGGAAAGACATCCCCTGCTCATGGGTCGGAAGACTGAACATTGTCAAAATGGCAATACTACCGAAAGCACTGTACAAATTCAATGCAATCCCTATAAGGATACCCATGACGTTCTTCAAAGAAATGGAGAAAACACTCCTGAAATTTATATGGAACAATAAACCCCCACGAATAGCTAAAGCAATTCTGGGGAAAAAGAAAATGGGTGGAATCAACCTCCCGAACTTCAGACTTTACTACAAAGCGGTAATAATCAAAACAGCATGGTACTGGAACAAAGGCAGAACTACAGACCAATGGAACAGAGTTGAATACACTGACATCACCCCCCAATCATATGATCATCTAATCTTTGATAAAGGTGCAAGAAATGTGAAGTGGAGTAAGGAAAGCCTCTTTAACAAATTGTGCTGGCATCACTGGACGGCTACATGCAAAAAAATGGGCTCAGAACTCTACCTAACACCATGTACAAAGGTAAGATCAAAATGGATTAAAGACCTCAACATCAGACCAGAAACCATAAGATACATTGAAGACAAAGTTGGCAAAACCCTCCATGACATTGAGGCTAATGGTATGTTCAAAGATGACACGCCACTGGCTGAGCAAGTGAAAACAGAGATAGATAAATGGGACTATCTTAAACTAAGAAGCTTCTGTACCTCCAAAGAAACAGTGACCAAAATACAAAGACGGCCTACAGAATGGGAAAGAATATTCGCCGAATACACATCTGACAAGGGATTGATATCAAGGATATACAAAATACTGGTTGAACTCCACAAGAAGAAAACATCCAACCCCATCAAAAAATGGGGCAATGAAATGAACAGAAACTTTCTCAAAGAAGAAATCCGAATGGCAAAAAAGCACATGAGAAAATGCTCTACATCATTAATCATCAGGGAGATGCAGATCAAAACCACAATGAGATACCATCTCACACCTCAGAGACTGGCCCACATTCAAAAGAACAAAAGCAACCGTTGCTGGCGCGGATGTGGCGAGAAAGGGACACTCCTTCACTGTTGGTGGGAATGTCCACTAGTTCAGCCCTTCTGGAAAACAGTATGGACGTTCCTCAAAAAATTAGAAATTGAGCTCCCATTTGACCCAGCGATACCACTCCTGGGAATATATCCCAGAGAGGCAAAAACGTGTAGCCGAAGTGACATCTGCACTTGTTTGTTCATTGCAGCACTCTTTACAGTAGCCAGAAACTGGAAGAGACCTGAGTGCCCAAGAACAGATGACTGGTTAAAGAAACTTTGGTACATCTACACAATGGAGTACTATGTGGCTCTTAGAAAAAATGAAGTCATGAACTTTACATACAAGTGGTACAATATGGAAAGTATCATGCTAAGCGAAATGAGTCAGAAAGAGAGGGATAGACATAGAAAGATAGCATTCATCTGGGGGATATAAAATAATAAAATATGAGATTAATACCCAAGAATAGCTGAGAGCAACACCAGGAGAATTACTCCATAACTTAGAGGCCAGCTGGGTATTCTAGGGGAAAGGACAATTCAGATAGAAAGGGGAACACCAAGTGGAGGGTGTTTGGAGGATCCTCCCAGGAGGGGAGATGCAGGTTGAAAGTAGACTGGGCTGAACATGTTCGCCACTCAATGCCTCTTTGGCTGATCACAGCGCCCAGGAGGAGAGAGAGAACAGGGGGGAATGCCCTGCCACAGTGGCAGGGGGGGATGGGGGGATGGGAGGATGGGGGGGGAGGGATATTATCCTGGTGGTGGAAAATGGGCACTGGTGGAGGGATGGGTATTTGATCGGGGTATGACCGAGATCCAAGCACAAAAATTTGTAAATCTACAACTGTACCTCATGTCGTTTCACTAATAAAAAAGAAAAAAAAAAAAAAAAAAAAAAAAAAAGAAAGATGTGAACATTTTGAAAACATATATTTTGAAATGTTAAAAGAAAATTATTCACATTCATGTCTGACATGAGTTATCCTTTACGTATTTAAAAATTCTTACATATTTACAAATTCTAGGGTAAGTCTTAGGCTTAGTATCTTACTATTATGTTTGCATTTCTAGAATAATGTTCTTAATTAAACTGAGAAATGAATAGCATCTCATGGAGTAAAGAAAATACACTATATTCTCATTTTTTATGTTGTTTGTGCAGAGTTAGCATCAAGCCTTATCCATTTTTGGCTTGATATAACAAGGAGATGGTGTGGTTTAGGGATTCAGATTAAGCAATGGGTTCTACAGTCTACCAAGGGGCAAATTTCATCTTTAGCATTTACTCGCTGGCCTCGAGCAAATGTAGTTTTGTCCTTGAGTTCCCTCTTCTGTAAGATGGAGATATTTTTAATAATTATTGGGGGTTTGTTGTGAGTAGTAATTTTGTACATGTACTTGTATTTAGAAAAGTGGTTCTTAATAAACAGTTATAAAAGGGCTGATGAATCACTTTTATTTAACATATTTTACTTTATATATATGAAACCAAATCTCAATACATATATTGATAATATATATAATTTCATACAGACATATACATAGACAAATATATGCATATATATATTGTATGTATATACCCAGTGGAGCCATATTCCTGGCTCTGCACTCAGTAATTGTCCTGATGGGCTCAGGGAACCAGTGACCATGACAGGGATCTAACTGAGGTTGACCCACGTGCAAGACAAACCTTAGCTTCTGTGCCTTCTCTCTTGGTCTAACTAATTTATGGTGGCATGGGTATGAGTTGGGCTCGTTGCAGAGGCTCAGCTTCTGTCATCCATTCTGTACTTCAGAATAAATAAGAAATTAGCCTTTAGAAATTATGATAATGACAAAATAATTAAGAGAATGTATATATATTTTAGATATAAGAAGTATAAATTTCAGATGTGCAGAATTTAGCTACTTTTTTGTGTTCACAACTATTATATGTGAGATGTCTGTAGCACTTAAAAATACTATCATCTTGCTTTCACATCTCACTGTAGGACCTCTAGGTTTAATTCGTCTAATCGTCACTTTCACTCATGTTTTACTTGGGTGCTATCTGATTGAACTTAAATGCCACTGAATTGAATTGTTGGGTTTGGGTGAAATATTTTTCTATTTTATATTTCCCGTAGGTATGGATGCTTCGATTTCAGTGAAGCCAAAGGAGACTGATGTGTTTGCCAGACTTAAGGATATCATAGTTAAAAATGTTGACTTAGTGTCCATTCACAAAAAGGTAATTTAAAAAAGAGGTTTCTGTATTGAGATTTTATTTCTTATATGTACCATTATTCATTTGTTCAGTGGTTAGCTTCTAACTCTATATGTGTGCCAAGCTTTTTTTCAGGATTGGACATAAATATTACTGTGTTTTCATATGGTATACAGACTAGGTGATTTCTGAAAGTTTCTTCTGACCAATTAAGTGATTGCCATTTCTGTTCATAAACTGATTTTTATGGAAAGAGGGGAACTCATTACATTTCAGTGTTGCCTTTTTTAATATCAGGGATTCTGTAATGAGGAAACTGATTTGTAATTCAGCAATAATGGCTACGCAGCTCTTTTGATGTAATAACCAATTGATTTTATACATTTCAGGCTGTCTCTATTTTGGGAGATGAAGTCTTCAGGTTCCAAATGACCCTTTATCCACAAGCCACAGAAGGAAAGGCCTATGCTGATATGTCTAAAGTAGATGGCAAGCTTAGTCTCAAAGTGGGTTGTATTCAGATTGTTTATGTACATAAATTCTTCATGTCTCTTTTGGTAAGTTTACTTTCAAAACCTTGGTACATTGGTGTACGGGTGATTGGTGTGGTGTTAGACAACCATATGTTAGGAACTCTGTTGTTAATTCTATTATAGATCACAGGGCCTCATAAAAATTGGAAAACTATCTGCACCGCACTGTAGCACTGTCGTCCATTTGTTCATCGATTTGCTCGAGTGGGCACCAGTAATGTCTCCATTGTGAGACTTGTTGTTACTGTTTTTGGTATATCGAATACGCCATGGGGAGCTTACCAGACTCTGCCATGCGGGCGGGATACTCTCAGTAGCTTGCTGGGCTCTCCAAGAGGGATGGAGGAATTGAATCCAGGTCAGCTGTGGGCAAGGCAAACACTTTACCTGCTGTGCTATCTATTTGTATTTATTGCTAATTGAAACCTAAATGTCTTAGCCCACATAACAACCTAGAGTGTCAAAATCTTTACCAGTAATGCAGTATGTTAAATTTCCAAATGCTGAAGTGTCATTTGGAAATGTGTCATGCTAAAAGTGTCATGCTACATTGAGGAAATTCTGAGTACATGATGAATAACCAAATCAATTTTTGTTATTAGTTTTGAACAAATAAATTGAGTTTATTAAACATTTCCATAGTTCTACACTTTATTTCTTTATCTATTGTTCTTGGAGCCATGCTTATGCTCCATCTCTACCAACCATCTCCTCAGTCCAAAAGTCATATGTTTTAAAAAGTATCTTTGATATTTCATTTTTAGCTTTTCAGTGATTTTTTTTAATAAAATGGGCTGGAGCGATAGCACAGCAGTAGGGCATTTGTCTTGTACACGGCTGGCCTGGTTGACCTGGGTTCAATTCCTCTGCCCCTCTCGGAGAGCCCAGCAAGCTACCAAGAGTATCTTGCCCGCACGGCAAAGCCTGGCAAGCTCCCCGTGACGTATTCCATATGCCAAACACAGTAACAACAAGTCTCACACTGGAGACGTTACTAGGCCCACTCGAGCAAATCGATGAACAACAGTGAACAACGGAAGGACAGTGCTACAGTGCTACAGTGCTCTTGAAGATAAAATTTAAGAGTTGAAGGTGCTCTTATACATTTAAAGGACTAATATTGGAACTTGGAGATTTTGATTATAATTGTAATCAATAGGCTACTACATTTTTTAAAATTTTCATTTCTTTGTGTTATGTAGCCAAGCCCCTTGGCAGTGATGTTTGTCAAAGCTTAGGGCAAGAATTTCTACCTCAATCATCATTTCTTATTTTTCTGGGAAATATTTTTTTTCAATGATGAACGTTTAAGTTACTTTATATTAGTAACAGATCCACATTGAAGTACTGCTTTTGATACATCGTCTTTGCTGAGGAAAACCTCTGTTTTTAGTTCCTTTTTAGAAATTTGGGTCAATGATTCAAAGTCTGTAGCTGTTTTAAGCATCTCTTTTTGTATTTGAATATGCTTAAAATATCTTCAGAAATAAACTGACAAAACTTTAGTTTCTAAGAATAAACTTTTTTGCTGTGACGTACAGCTGTAGAACTGAACCTACTTTGGGAGAAGTAAGGTGCTTTCTTTCATCCTGCCTTCACTGAATTTCCGTTCACATTTCCAACATTTACAAGTAAAAAAAAAAAAAAGACTCAAATTTGTCATAAAAGTAAAAAAAATCTGAAATTAAGGAAATAAACGTTAAAACACTCTGCCTAGTGATAATTTTTGTCAGTACTTCAATATATCTTAATAGACTACTCTCTTTGCATACCCTTTCACACTATCACTTACTTAGTTTTTCTTTTTAAGTAAATGCCTTTTGCACCTTGTTGTCTGGAAACTCTCTATATATTATCTTTCCCAACAGAACTTCCTCAACAATTTCCAAGCTGCCAAAGAAGCTTTGAGCTCAGCCACAGCCCAGGCTGCCGAGAGAGCCGCCTCAGGCATGAGAGACTTGGCTCAGAAGAGCTTCCGCCTCTCCATGGACGTGGACTTGAAGGCGCCAGTGATCATTGTCCCTCAGTCCTCCGTGTCACCTAATGCCATTATAGCAGATCTGGGTTTGATCAGAGTTGAGAACAAATTTAGCTTAGTTCCTGCGGAACGTGATTCTCTTCCACCAGTTATTGACAAAATGAACATACAACTTACTCAGTTGAAGCTGTCCAGGTATTAATATCAACTCTTTTTATTTATTTATTTATTTATTTTATAATGTAGAAGCACTGCTATTTATTCAGCCATTGAGAAAGCTTTTTGAATCAGGCATGAATTTCACATTACTTTTTTTTTTTTAAATTTTTTAATTTTATAAGTTAGTTCACAATGTTTGATTACATTCAATATTCAAACACCAGTCCCACAGCCATTATGTCTTCCCACCACCAAATTTGGCATGTTTTCATCCCAAACCCCAATCCCTGTCCCAAAACACAATCAATGTAATATATTTCGTATTGTCTGTTATGAAGGACTGCTGAACATGCTTACAAAAAAGTGTTCATACAGGAAACAGTGTGAAGATTGTTCTCTTTTGGCAGGAGCCATTAAGACATTCTATAGGATATCACTCACGTGTTGTTAAGGTTTGGGTGATTTGAGCTTTGGCATATATATCTGAAAATATGTATATATGCATATGTATATATATTTCCCTCTATGGTTTGTTGCCTACTATCTGAACCCCATCAAATGTGGTGTGGTAATTATGGAGAATGGGTAGGGAGTGTTTTATGATGTGTCGTGAGGCCACTTTTGTGGCTGCGCTGTCCAGGAATATGTTTACTCATATATGAGGCTAGGCCCTAGCACGTGGGACGTGGCCTTGAGCATGGCAGCAGTTGGGTTGTGGAGGTTTTTGACTGCCATAGCTGGGTTCCTTGGGGCAGGGAGGGCTCTCACCTGCCACCCCCCCCCCCCCGGGGTGCCCAGGTAAAGATAGCCTGGCACAGGGTCAGAGCATTCTGCAGTGTTCTCTTTCCCGAGTTTTAGTTTATAGTCTCTGGTCCTTGACTGTTGATGAGATTACATGGCTCCAGGGGCAGTTTGTGGGTGTGACTGCCAAGCTACTGAGAAACTGGGAACCTGGGGGGAGGAGGAAGCCCAATCCCAATCCAAGCGGGCATGGACCTCTCAGTCATGGGTTCCCGCCTACCTCTGTGCTCCAGGCCCTAACTGCATCCTTCGATTTCTTTTGAGATTTATGGATCTCTGGAAGAAGGCCAATAAATGAGCTTATGTAACTGAGCGGGAGGTGGTTTGTGGGTCTGTCTCCCACATACCTAACTTTTGGCCATTTACTTTCTTGGTAAACTTTGCTCCAAGTTGTTGGTGTCTGGCCAAAGGCACAGCAGCAATTTTGGGGTATCTGGAAGTCTGAAGGCGCCATCAGACTGCTGATGCACTCACCCTACTGATATAGGTCAACCTGCTGGCAGCACCACACCTCCATTAATATCAATTCTTTACTGTACACTGCTTACCAGAAAGGGATATGTTTTCAATTATAAACAGCTCTATTGCATATTATGTGTGCATCATTGAAAATCAGCACATGTGTATATGATTTCAATTTTTGACCAACAGTTCAGTTCTTATCCTTTACCATATTCAGAAACAGAATCTTTTTAGACACTTTGCTGGAATTGAATATTCTGGTGGTTTGTATTTCTAATCCTTTATTTCTTCCAATTATGAAAATTTGACCATTGGGTAAGTAGGCCATCTCATAGTATCTTCGTTGTTTTTCTTGGGGTGGTGAAGGCACATCCAGTGATGCTTAGGGGTTATGCTTTTTTTTTTTTAATTTATTTTTTATTAGTGAAACACCATGAATGTACAGTTGTAGATTTACAAACTTTTGTGCTTGGATTTCGGTCATACCATGATCAAATACCCATCCCTCCACTAGTGCCCATTTTCCACCACCAGGATAATATCCCTCCCCCCATCCCCCCCATCCCCCCCTGCCACTGTGGCAGGGCATTCTTAGGGGTTACTCTTGATCCTGCACTCAGGAATTACTCCTTGTAATGCTGGAGGACCATTTAATGCTGGGGATTGGACCCAGGTTAGCTGTGTGCAGGGCAAGAGCCCTACTTGCTGTCCTATCTCTCCAGCCTCCGGAAAGTACATTTTGTCTTGCCTAATTTATAATGTGATTTTGTGGGGTAGTGTGGGGCACACCCAGTGGTGCTCAGGCTCTGTGCTAATATTTCTTTTCTCATTCTATAAAAATTTCCTAGTATACAAGAAAGTTTACTCAGTAATAAATTTAATTTAATTTTTTTAAATTTTTTTGACTTGGCGCAGTTGGATGTATGGGGGGAGAAGCTTCCAAAAATATAATAAAATTTAAGATTTATTTCTCATTTCCTAACTTTGTCATATTTGGGGATTCTCATCGAGACATCTAAAGGATTTTTGGATACAGATGGGGAAGTGTCGGCTCTGTTGGATGACAAGAGAAATTACTGATTGCAGATGGTTGTTAGCAGAGAGCAGAGTTAACTACTGTGTGTAGTTGGTCTCGAGAATAGAGAAGCTTCTCCTTTTAAGTCTGGAGCAGTAACATAAAATTCAGGGTTGTGTAGGCTGTTGCTTTGATGACTTTAGGAGGAAGCAACTTTTGTTAGTTTGACATCACATTAGTTGCGACTGTCAGTCTTTGTGAAAGAGTCAAGCAATGAATACCCTCATCAGGCTAGACCAAACTTGTATCTTTGAAATCAGCATGATGGAGACTTTGATTTTGGGAACTCTTCATAAGAACCCAGGCTATTCAGATTCAGAACAGGCTTTGAAAATGCTGAGTGCAGCCATACTGCTTAGGACAATGCGAGATGCGCATGGTCACAGAAGGCAGCATTTTTTCCCGATTTTTCAGTGTAGATTACAAACAACATCAAATCAGTTCTCATTTCTCTTTCAGGACAATATTGCAGGCCACCTCGCCCCAACATGATGTTGAGATTTTGAAACCAGTCAACATGCTCTTGTCCGTACAGCGAAACTTAGCAGCAGCGTGGTATGTGCAGATCCCAGGGATGGAGATAAAGGGGAAACTACAGCCTATGCAAGTGAGTATGCCTAGGAAGGACGGGGAGCCTGCTGGCTGTCCCTTCTGTAGCCTAGGAAGGATGGGGAGCTTGCCGGCTGACCCTCCTGTACTGGTTGCTGTGCAGTCCTAGTACACATAGAAATGACAGGATGAGGAAGTAAAAAGAATTTCTGTGTTTACCGAAACTGAGGCCATGAGACAGGCAATAGTAAGTGTGAGAAGAGGACTCTTGCAAAACTGGAGAATTCCATTGTTCTAAGGCAGTTTAAGAAAGGCAGTTTACAGGTGCTTTTTTTTTTTTTTTTTTTTTTTTAGTGTATAGGGATATTCTCTTAGAAATGAAAAAGTGTGTTCTCTTTGGGTGGAGTCACGCCTCAGATGCCTGGGTGCTCAGGAGATCTTGTGATGCCAGGGATTGAACCTGGAGCTCCAGCCTACTGGAACCTCTCCCTGGCAGGCTCTCTCACCTGTCAAAAACCCTTCCCAGTCTTTGTTTCTTTGTAAGATAGCGCTTTTTTTTTGGGGGGGGGGGGGGGCGGATAGGCTCAGGGCCAGAAATCATACAGCTTGGACAGTGTTAGCTGTGCTGATTTTGTGTCGGGATGATGTCGGCACATGTGTCGGGATGGGCTGTTACTGGCTGAGGAGAGAAAAAGATGGGCCGGAAATGGGGAGCTAGGAAGCGGGCTGATAGGACAGGTCCAAGATAGATTGTTACATAGACTCTAACAGAGAGTGATGGAACCCTTAGTCAGGGATTGGATGTGGTGGAGGCAGAAGTAGGTCCACTCACTTGGAGCGTGTCTCACATGATACAAATTAATACTTCTTTCTTGTTACTTATGATTCTCTCTCTCTCAGTTCTGTGTTTGTGTGGTGTGTGTGTGTGTGTGTGTGTGTGTGTGTGTGTGTGTATGTGTGTGTGTCTGTCTGTCTTCTTGGTGAAGCAAGGTAGGGTTTATTGAAACTTTATTTAAAATGTCAGGGGAGAGAGGATGAAGTGTATGTTCAAGAGAGGGAGCCTTTCTAGAGTGGAAATAGGCAAGCAAAGAAACATTGAGACAAGCAAGTAAGATTAAGTGTTCAAGGGGGACATGGGTTTGAAAAGCAAGCCTCTCTTTCTCTGTGTATTTCTCTCTTTCTTTCTCTTTCCCTCCTTCCCTCTCTTTCTCCCTTCCTTTCTTCTATTGATTATCTGAGAACCCAAAAATTGAGACATAGATATTATAATCTATATTTTTATTGCAACAGTTATAATAAATAGCTTATTGTTGGTTCCTTATTATGATCTATTTTTTTATTATATCAGCTATAATAAAAAACTTACTGTTGGTTCCTAGGTTGCTCTCAGTGAAGATGACCTAACAGTTTTAATGAAAATTTTGCTGGAAAATCTTGGAGAAGCATCTTCACAGCCAAGCCCCACGCAACCCACCCATGAGGCTGGGAGAGTAAGAAAAGATGTTCTGAGTAGAACTGATCACCTTAGAGGTATAAACTGATAAAAGAAAAAATGTTCTGCTTTCCTGAGAGAGTAAAAGAAATGTTATTTACTAGCTTTTTCTTCAACAAGACATTTTATGTTTCTCTGCTTCCAATAATCTGTTGTCAATGGCTTATACCCAGTGAATTAAAATGCTTTGCTAATTAAAAACAATTCAGAAATAAGACGTCTTATACCAGAATGGCTTTTAAAAGAAAGCTATCTCAATACTTTTTGCACAGCCCCCTTCCTACCATAGAGAATCTGCCTCTCTTGCTTTGCCCTGTACTAAATTTATATGGAGCAAATCATTGCCATTTTTATTGTCTCATAGTAATGCAGTAAAAAAGCCCTGTAAAGTAAGACATAAACTTAGAATAATAAATTGGCCTAGATTTAAATATGTAAAAAGTATATGCCTGATGATTTATAATTTTCATATTTGTGTTTGATCAGAACAAGATCTGGCAGACTCACCACTCTCCATGGTTCAGAGTGTTACTCTCCACTTTGACTTTCATTTTGAATCACTTTCCGTTATCCTCTATAATAATGATAGCCACCAGGTATGTGCTAAACTTCTGTTATTGTATGGTACTGCTTAGCTCCTAATTTTAAGCCGTAGATATTTGTCAATTTTTGATAGTACCACTTATTTAAAGAGTTGGTATGTCCATTTCATTCTGTTTGGCTTGCAGACTATGCTGGGGTCTTCCCTCGTCCCCACTATGGATTGGTTCTGCTCTTACCATATTAAGGAAAAGATAATTGATTTTTTTTAATCAAAAGGTTTATTGATAGAAATTCTATGGTTTACAGTAATGGATTTAAAAAAAATTTTTATTCATTGAGACTGTGGTTTCTCATGCACATAATTCCAACACCACACCCATCACCAGTGAACCCACCTCCCTTCCCAATTGAGTGGTGTGGACCAGTTCTTCTGGAGCATTTCCTTTGGCCCTTTATTGCTTCCTTGTTGTGTATGTTTGAGTCCCACATATGAGAGAGATCATTCTGTAGCTGGCCCTTTTTTTCTCACTGGTTTTGCGGAGCAGAACCATATCTTCTAGTTCCATCCATATTGCTGAAGATTATGTGATTTGCTGTTTCTTAGAGCTGAAAGGTATTCCATTGCATATATATATATCACAACTTATTGATTGAATGGATCAAAATACTCCTTTTTTAAAGTGATGTCTATATTATAGTAGGTTTACCTTGTACATAAAAGGTCTCCTGAACACTGCTAGGAGTGACTCCTGAGCACACAGCCAGGGTAGCACTGTAGCACTGTCCTCCCATTGTTCATCGATTTGCTTGAGCACACCAGTAACGTCTCACAACAAATTGTGAGATTTGTTGTTACTGTGTTTGGCATATCGACTATGTCATGGGTAGCTCGCCAGGCTTTGCTGTGCAGGCGAGATACTCTTGGTAGCTTGCCAGGCTCTCCGAGAAGGGCGGAGGAATTGAAACTGGGTTGGCCACGCCACGTGCAAGGCAGACGCCCTACGTGCTGTGCTATTGCTCCAGCCCACAGCCCAGGGTAGTTCCCAAGAATTTCAGGATATGGTCCCCAAATGAAAGTAACAATAATGTAAGTAATAAAAAAATAAATTGTAGGAAGCACACAAAAAGAAAGAGGGTTGTAATTACAAATGACAAGGAAAGAGTATTATGTGTTGTATAATGTCAGATGGTCTCTATGTGTGAACCCACTTTTTTCTCCTTCCGTAACCAAGTTTTGTCTCATACTCTCCATCATTCTCTCTGCCTTATATTCATTTCTAGTAGAATTTTATATGAATGTTTAATTATATGTGTGATTTTGATATTTAGCTACATATATATGCATATAAATGTAGCTATTTGAGAAATATTTTAAGGTTAGAACCTTAAATGATTGTTTTATAATTCATAATTATATATGAACATGAATCTTGTTTCTGTTGAATAAATGTTACATATAGTAGATAAAATTAAGGTACTAATGATCAAAGAACCAAAGACTAAGGTTATTTTAAGGCAAGCTAGGTAGTATATTACTGGTATTTTATAATTATGTAGTTTCACTTAATAATTTTATTGTATCAATGAATTGTACTATAACATTGTCATGTTTGTCATATAATAGCCATAACCCATGTATATTTAATTTAGTATCAATTTATGTGTTGTCCTTTATCTCATACACTGTTGCTTTTGATCCTTAGACCAATATCTGTCACTTGTGCAGTGAGCTGCCTTAGTTTCTAATATTAATGAAAGCATTAGAAAATTACTATATGTAAAATGTGTTCCTAATACATAGTATGTGAAATAGTCTTCATTCCACCTGAAGTATCATTAATCTACTGGTTCTAGACTTAAAGTCTCAGTGTCTTCTTTTATTTCCTCTTTTTTTGGACTAATTTATTCATTTCTATGCTGTCAGTTGCTTCTCTGAGTGAATGTTTGTTCTTTTCTGGTGTTTTTCACTGCTGGTGTATTTGACAGGTAGCTCATACTTACTGCAAGGTGGAAGACTCCTTTTTTGCCTTTTTCTTTGCATGTATCCTAGACAGTGGTACAAGTTCCATTTCTTAAATCAGTATCTGGTGTCACTTAAAACTTCTCACTTTATTCAAGAAATATTCACAGTTGTGTGACTTCTGCCTTAATAGAAAGCTCTCAATGGTCTCAGTTTTTCTCCTTCTGTAACTGGTCCGCAAGCACTTACATATCTCATGTGTCACAGGTCATGTCTAGTAATAGTTTTTCAGAACAGAAGTTTATGAGTTGTTTGTAGTGTTATAAATGAAAGACGTTACGAGTTTGTCATGATCATGCCATTCTGACCCATGATGTGCACTGCACTTCACAAGTGACCAGAGATATGCAGCTGTCTTGTGTGCCAGGAGACACACATACTTGTCCCCTTCTTTCTCATTCCACAGCTATCCTGAGCAGTTATGACTGACGTTCTTGACCTCAATATGTTTTTGTTGACTGGTTTATTGCTTGGGCTTTGCTTTCTTGTAAAGTCTAGGAATACTTAAAGGATTTGAAGCTATGTGTTTATAATAATAATAATAAAATAATAATAATAACTTCCTATTAAGAAAAGTTTCAGTTTTTTTGTTATTACTGTGTTCTCTCTTGAGGACTTGAAGGCTTGATTTAGTCGCTCTGTTTGTTTCTAGTTTTTATTGTCTCATATTCTTTAATTCAATTCTAAAAGTCTAGGTTGCCTTTTCCTAGTTTGCTCAGAACTTCCATCTGAAATGGTTTGCTCATATACCTTTCCCCTCCAGAATGCCTCCTGTAAGGATAACAAGTCCTCACCTTCTCCTGGGATGTTCTCCTAGCCCACAAAAAGTGATCTCATCGAGCCTCAAGTTTTTCCTCTTTATATTATTTAAAAATTTTTTTTATTATTGAACCATTATTTGCAAAGTTGTTCATAGTTGCATTTCAGGAATACAGTGTGCCAGCCCCAGTACCATCACGAGTGTCAGCTTCCCCCACCAATGTCCGAGGCCCCCCCACCCCTCAAGCCTCTCTCCTTAATATGACAGGCATATTAAGTCATTATTATTATTATTACTAATTATTTAAAGTTTTGATCCTCTGCTTTCCATATGTTGTTGACTTTATGGTTACTTATATAGACATATCTTGTCTCTACTCCACTGATGTACCTGGGCCCTTGCCAGGACCCGGTTACTCCCCACCCATCTCTTTTTCCTTCCTACCTTCTCTGTCCTTCTGTGTTCTGGGATGGAAGATGATCTCAGTATTCCCCCTTTAATACTTTGCTTCATCTTGTTATTCTAGATTCTATAGATAAGTGAGATCATTCTCTTCTTGTCCTTCTGACTTAGTTTACTTGGTATTATATCTTCCAGTTCGTCTAAGTAGCAGTGAATTGCATGATTTCATTGTTCTTACAGCTGCATAATATTCCATTTTGTATCTATACCACATCTTCATAATCCTCTCATCTGTTCTTGACATCTAGGTTGATTCTGTGGCCTAGCTGTTATACTAAGCCGCAATGAATAATGCTGTGGTATATCCTTTTGAATGAATGTTTTGTATGCTGGGGTAGATGCCCAGTGGGAAGTTGGCTTCTATAGTTATTCTTACTTTTCTGAGAAATATCCATACTGTTCTTCTAGGTGTCGAGCTAGACAACTGTCTTTTACCAACCAGCACTGGACGAGTATTTCTGTGTTTCTTTTTCACTGCATCATCACCAATACAGATTGCTTAATTTTTTTTTTTGTATATGTACCATTCTAACTGGCATGAAATAATATCTCATTGTCATCTTGATTTGGGTTTCTTTGATAATTAATGATGATGAGCACTTTTTTATGTGCCTATTGGCGATCCATCTGTTTTATTCAGAGAAGTGTTCGTTCTTTTCCTTTTCCCATTTTTGGTAGGGTTTTTGGATTTTTTTAAATTGATTTTTGTGAATATGTTATATATCAGATATCAATCCTTTATCTAGATACATTTTATGTAAGTATTTTCCCCTATTCATTTGGGGATTTTTAGTTTTAACCCATCTATCTTTTCCCATACATAAATTCTTTCATTTGTTGTGGTATATTTTTATTTTTTATTCTGTTGCCTTCACCACTGGATTGGTATCGTAGAAAACACCTCCGAGATCCAGAAATGGAGCATTCAGCTTATATTTTCCTCAGTGTATTTTATGGATCCTCGTTCGATCTCAAGATAATTTGATCCACTTTAATTGACTTTTGTGGTGTGAGATATGGATTCAACTTTTTAGGGTTTTTTCATGTGGTTATCCAGTTTTCTTAACACCATTTGTTGAAGAGACTGTCTTTACTCTGTTTTGTGTACCCATCTCCTTTGTTAACAATTAGTTAACCATGGATTTGGAGATATGTTTCTGGAGACCTGATTCTAACCCATTGGTCAGAGAGTCTGTCCTTATTCTAGTACCATGCTGTTTTGATGGCTATAGCTTTATAGTATAGTTTCAAGTTAGGTAATGAGATATCTCTTAATTTCTTATTTTTTACTATAGCTTTGGCTACTTGGGGTAATTTTATGATTTCATATGAACTTTGGTATTTGTGCAGAACTCTCACTCCAGAGGATAGAGAAGTTCTCAGTTATTTCTCCTACCAGTTGTTCTTTCTCTTTCCCCCCTCATTCTGGTATTCTTACAATTCAGAAATGATTCTTCTTGCTGTTATCCATCAAGGCTCTTGTATTGTATTCCATTCACTTGTTTCTCTTTTCCTTTTCCACTTCGTTATGCCACTGGCTTGAATTTTGTCTCCAACTTCACTGATACAGTTCTCTGCATTCTGAAATCTGTTGCTGTGGCTTGTTAATATATCCTCTAGCTCCTTCGATTCCATTTATATGATACTTTCGTACTCTAAATCAAGTCTCCTTTGAGTTGTTTTATATTATTTTGATATTATTAAAACTTTTTATATTATTTAAACATTTTTTATTATTGAACCATTATTTGCAAAGTTGTTCATAGTTGCATTTCAGGAATACAGTGTGCCAGCCCCAGTACCATCACGAGTGTCAGAGATTGCTTGATTCCAAAGATTGCTTCATTTTTGTTGCCATTGTGTGGACTATTGATTTGACGGGTCCCGAGAATTTTCCTGAGCTCAAGGACTAGCCTGAACTCTGTCCCCATTTACAAGTACAGCCGAGTTCTTCTACTTCCCTGTTGTCCTTAGAGATTTTGTGGGTGCTGACAGTTGAGTTTTAGATTCTGGACTGAGTACTGATCTGATTTGTTACTTTTTGCTGAGGGACTACTGCTTATGGTTATGGTCTGTTGTTCTGAGTATTTCCATGACTGCCTATCCGTGGGTCAGGCAGTTGTAGATCTAGTTAATCCTGTTTAGATACCAGGAATTTTGTGGAGGGAGGTACTTTGGGACAGAATTAAGAACCTGCAGTTCCCTACTTGCCCTTATCGAGTCTGGGGTGGCTGGAGTAGTATAGTCACGTGGGTGTGTTAGCATCTGCACAGCTCCAGATGTCAAAGGGACCCCTGGGACCACATGGTGCACCTAATTGAATTTAAATAAGACCTTGGGTTGTTTGGGTCCCTTGCGCTGACAGGGTAGTGAAAGGCTGAGCACAGAGATTTTTTTATATTTCTTACCTTATCATTTGGTATTCAATAAGAATATTAGAAGACATAGTATTGCACTTTTTGATCATTAATAGCATAACGTTTCCCTGCAATACTCCTTATGATATATTTATAATATTTTTTTTCAGTTCGAGTAAAAAGTTCACTGATCACCTACTGCTGTATCTTTCTCATAAATTCCTTACTTTGGGCAGTAAATTTTACAAGTCCTCATTAAATATTAATAATACAAAAATCATGGTCACGGTCCTCCATTGTTCATCAATTTGCTTGAGTGGGCCCAGTAACATCTGCATCATGAGACTTCTTGTTACTGTGTTTGGCATATTGAATACGTCATGGTTAGCTTGCCAGGCTTTGCAGTGTGGGCAAGACACTCTCAGTAGCTTGCTGGGCTCTCTGAGAGGGGCGGAGGAATCGAACCCGGCTTAGCCGGGCCAACTGCGTGCAAGGCAAATGCCCTACAGCTGTGCTATTGCTTCAGCCCAATACAAACATATTTCACTGATTATATTTGTCTCACCTCAACATCCCAAAGTTAATATATTAAACATACTTGAATATCAACATACACATGTATGTGTTTGTTTGTACTTGCACACTCAAAAATATTTATTCTCTTCAATTTTTGTGTTCTGACAGCAAGACTTTAAAAATGTATCAGATAGATTTATCTTTAAAAACAGAGTTAAGAAATATATTTAAATGTAATTGTATACTATTTAGAGATGATTCTTTGTTTGAAAACTCTGCCACAGGAGTCCAAACTTGCGTTTCACAATGACAGTTTCCGAATCGGTGAACTCAGACTACATCTTCTGGCGTCCACGGGAACAATGTTTAAGGATGGTTCAGTGAGTGTCAGCTTGAAACTGAATACCTGCACCCTGGATGATCTCCGAGAAGGCATTGAGAGAGCAACATCAAGGTTTGTTCTTTTGAATTTGCTGTGCCTGCTTAGACCTGTCATTCCTAGCTACATTGGTCATGAGATTCTGTTTTGCTTTTTGGGGCCACACTCAGCTGTGCACAGGACTTATTCCTGGCTCTGCTCTCACGTATCACCCCTGGTGGGCTTGGGGGACCATATTTGGTCCTGGAGATCTAACCCATGGAGCTATGTGCAAGGCAAGCGCTCTGCCTGCTGTATCATCTCTGCAAGACTTCCCTTGGGATCATTTGTCTTTGACAAATCATTCTTCCATAAATGGTGCTGATATCAGATTCAGCTGCTTTAAAGTATAAATGAAAAAAAAGTATAGCGATAAGTTGGAAAACTCTCTTAAAAGAGGGAATGAAGAGCATAAGATATCTTTTCTACCTTATATAAAAGAGACAAAAGCTTTAATAGTTCCACATGAGGTGGTTTGTTGGTAACTTTCCTTTCTGGCACTGTAGCACTGTCCTCCCGTTGTTCATTGATTTGCTCGAGCAGGCCCAGTAACGTCTCCATCGTGAGACTTGTTGTTACTGTGTTTGGCATATCGAACACATCATGAGTAGCTTGCCAGGCTTTGCCATGAGGGTGAAATACTCTCGGTAGCTTGCCGGGCACTCCAAGAGGGGCGGAGGAATCGAACCCGGGTTGCCCAGGTCAGCCGTGTGCAAGGCAAACACCCTACCTGCTGTGCCATCGCTCTACCCTTCCATAGTAGGCACCATATTTTTTTTGGTTGGTTCTTGTTTTTTTAATATTCTGAGCTTTTAGAACACACTCTTCTGTAGTATTCAAGTAATTTCTTACCACCCTTGTACTTAAACACACACACACACACACACACGCACACACACACACACACACACTTTTTCCTCCCCCTTCCACCCCGAAAATTTTTCTGAAATGTTTCGAGTTGTGATTTTTTTGTTTGCTTTATACTGTTTTAAAAATTAGTTTGGGGACTGGAGAGATGGTCAAGGATTAAGTGCGTGTTTGGAAAGCAGGAAGCCTGGGTTCGATCCAAGCACTGCATGGTTCTCTGACCTTCATTGGGATAGACTCTCCCCCCCCCCCCCCGCCCCATACACACATAGCTATGTGGAATCCATGAGTATTGTAGGGTTACAGTGTAATCTACATCCTCCCAATGAAGATAAATGTTCTGGGAAATTTCTTAATATAGTTTTAATAGAACTGAAGCTCCTAGCATTATAAAAATTATCAGCTTATTTTTGAAAGATTAACTTGTATCAGTCCAGTCTAGGACAAATGAGGTAATGCAGAGTTTCATTGTATTTTTTACTTATTTCCCAAATATTGATACACGGTGTTTTTGAGGAAAACTGTGCTGTATTTGTACTCTAGATTCTGTGCTGGATATGTTTAAGCCATTTATTGTTTTCTGAGATAAAAATAATGAATGAAAAGTGCTGTCACTACCTCAACTTTTCTAGTTTGCACATGTTGTGTTCAAAGCTGTCAAAATAAGGAGGATAAAAGCCATTGTGTTTGGAGCCCTTTTCTTTCTTTCTTTCTTTCTTTCCTTTCCATTTGTTTTTTTTTTTGCGGGCCATACCTGGCGATGCTCAGGACTTACTCCTGGCTTTGTGCTCAAGGATTACTCATGGCAGGGCTCAGGGACCATATGGAGTGCCATGGATCAAACCTATGTTGATGAATGCCAGGCAAGCACCTTACCCACTGTACTGTTTCTCCAGCCTCTTTCATGCCCCTTTCTTTCTTGTCCACATAGGAATGTGTGGGGACTGTCATTGCAGGGAGCCATTCATTTAAGTTGCATTAAATACTGTTAGGACTCAAATTGATGATCTGTGGAGATTAATCTTCCAGCAGGTTTTGTTTATCAAAGAATGTAAAGAAGTTTTGTTTGGACAGTTGTTCAACTAATTGTCCAATATTTTTAGCACTGATTTTCTATTCTAACACAACATTTTAGTTATAAAATATTCTGTAATTGCATTAACATGAGTTTCATTCTGGAGTTTGGAAAGCCATATCTTGATTGCTAATTTGGCTACTACTGTATAGAAACATGTTTATCTTTTAAATTATTTTGGTAGTATTAAAATAATGGTTTTTTGGGTTTTTTTTTCAGAATGATTGATAAGAAGAATGACCAAGATAATAATAATTCCATGATTGATATAAGTTACAAGCAAGACAAAAATGGAAGTCATATTGATGCTGTTCTTGATAAGCTGTATGTATGTGCGAGTGTGGAATTTCTGATGACCGTGGCAGATTTCTTTATCAAAGCTGTGCCTCAGAGTCCAGAAAACCCAACAAGGGAAGTTCAGGTTCCACTCCGACAGACTGCCACAGCAAAAATCAAGACTGAGAAAGGTTAGCAGAATTTGTCTTTGTTAGATGACAGCTTGTCATTAAAATCAGAAAAAGGAGAGCAAGGTATTTTAATAACCTAAGGTCACTCTTTTAGATTCATCCACATTGTGTAGAAAAACCAAAGTAAGAACAGGGTCTAAAGGTAAGGAGGAAATGGAGTGGGAGGAGGAGGAGGAGAAGGAGAAGAGATAAATAATGAATTCCGTCCAGGAAAGCTCTGATTTGGTTCCATCATTCACATGAGCATTTCTTGACACATGCAGAGATAGAGTGGGGTGTTCTGGGACTATTGATGATACCTGTTTTGTAGAAGGGGAATCTTTATTCTAAGACAAGTATTTACAGGCATCTGGCATGGTGGTGATCAGTTTAACAGATGACAGCTGAAGGTCAGGGACCTAGCCGGCCTGGCAGGATCCCTTGCTTTAGATCGGTTGGCAAATGTCTGATCTAGTGTATGTGATGCCACTTCCCTACACTTTGAGCATTTCCACGATTACCAAAGTTGAGGCAGTGGTTTTTTTTGTATGTGTGTTAAATTACAATTGTCAAAGTTCTGGCATTTTAATCCCTCTAATGTCTAACTGAATAAGTTTGGAGGGCCAGAGAGAGAGTACAGGTAGTATAGAGGGCCAGGCACTTGCATTGCAAATGGCCAGGTCAGGCTTGATTCCCTGCATCACAGATGGTGCCCTGAGTCCTGCCAGGAGTGATCCCCGAGCACCCCTGAGTGTGGCCGAAAATCCAAAACCAAAAAATTAAAAAAAGAAAAAGATTGGACATCTACTACTTATTGGCAGTATTAAATTCTAATTTACCTTTAATGCTTTTAAAATAGAAACTTAGTTATATTTAAGAGCTCTGTTTAATGTATTCCTTGATTTCCATGATCCATTACATTGTAGACTCTAGTGAAATCACAGTGAACAGCTGATCACAGTGTGCATCTTCACAGGGCCTCTCCTTCTCCTTCTGGTCCCTTAACTCTTCTCCCTGCCTTGCCTCTGCTGCTGATGTTCATGGGATGTGATTCTGACAGGAAGAACTCTAAAACAGCATTATCCCTGCTATGGCACAGAGGGAATAATTTTCTTATGATGGGGATAAGGTGGTATTATCCCCTATAATTTAGATTTGTTCATTATTTGCTATTGTTGTTAATCAGTCATTCATCCTGCTTTCACCTTTTCTGTTACAGAAGGATACTGGAAATGACTGAGTAGAGATTCGGTTTAAAACATTTTTGATTCCTATTTCTGATTCTTTTTACAGATGACTCTGTCAGGCCAAATATGACTTTGAAGGCCAAGGTCACAGACCCAGAAGTGGTATTTGTAGCCAATTTGACAAAGGCTGATGCACCTGCCCTGTCAGCTTCCTTCCAGTGCAACCTCTCTCTGTCAACATCCAAACTCGAGCAGATGATGGAGGCCTCTGTGAGGGACCTTAAAGTGCTCGCCTGCCCTTTTCTCCGAGAAAAGCGAGGGAAAAGCATTACAACAGTAAGAGTCACCTTACATTTAAACTTGAAGTGGAGAATAACGGAAATGATTGATTCCTAGAACCCTGGAATGTGGTAGTCCTGTGGGACTCTAGAGCTTATTTATGATCACAAATTTGATATTTTACGGATGAAAATGTTGAGTTTCAGTGATGTTGAGTGATTGTGATAAAGATGCTGGTGACAGGCTAGGATTGCCTTCAGATTAGATTTATTTTGGTTTCATGATTTTCTTAGTTGTAATTCAAATGAATGTTCACTTTAGTGATTGCATTCACCTATATATTCAATGAATGAGTAAATTAATAAATATTAAATCTGTAAACTTAGAACGAAGAAATTTAAAGATAATGTCTTAATATTATTAAAATTTGACTTCCATTATGTTTTTCAGTATTGCTAAGAAATATATTTGAGGACTGCAGAGGCAGACCGAGGTTTTGTTGACATGCTCTGCAGGGGGGCTGCAGCTTTGATTGGCAGCAGCATAAGGTCCCCAGGAGCTGGAGCAGCTCAGTGCTGTGCTGCTGTGCTCAGGAGTGACCCCTGGCGGTGCTCTGGGAGCCATAGGCAGTGCGGGGGATGGAAGTGGGTTGGCAGCGTTCAGGGCAATAACCTAACTGCCCATACTCTCTCTTCTCTCCTTAAGAGACATTTTTTTCTTTCCTTTTTTTAAGTTGAATTACCCCTGACTTACAAAAATATTTATGATTGAGTTTTAGGCATAGGTTGTTCCCACACCAATCCTTTCACCAGTGTTCCCAGCTTCCCTCCCCGTGCTCAGCTGCCTCTGTGCCAGACACTTTCCCCCTCCCCATTGTCCTGGTGTTCCTTTCCCTAACTGATCCTCCCGCCCCACCCCTGCCCCATGCCAAACTTCCGATGAAGACCAGTTCTCTGGCTTTTCCTTTCTGTTGCTATGGGCATTTGATATTCCCCTACAAAGTTTCTTTCCATTCCTCATATGAGAGAGATCATCCTGCGTCTGTTCCTCTCCCTCTGGCTGACTTCACCCAACATGACGCTCTCTATATCTGCTCAAGCTGCAGCAAACTACCTATGCAGCACTGTAGCACTGTCACTGTCCTCCCGTTGTTCATTGATTTGCTCGAGCGGGCACCAGTAATGTCTCCATTGTGAGACTTGTTACTGTGTTTGGCATATCGAATACACCACAAGGAGCTTGCCAAGCTCTGCCGTGTGGGCGAGATACTCTCAATAGCTTGCCGGGCTCTCTGAGAGGGGCAGAGGAATCGAACCTGGCTTGGCCAGGCCAGCTGCGAGCAAGGCGAACGCCTTACCACTGTGCTATCTCTCCAGCCCTACATATGCAGAATCATTTTAAATTGAAAAAAAAAAAAACCTGTGTGGACAGAATGATTTGCACAAAGAAATGCAGACCTAGGCGTCATCTGTACTTTGTCATGGAATATTCTTTACCAGGATCATCATCTTTGATATGTCACAGAAAGATTATATTACCTGCTGAATTAAAAATTCATTCCTTTCTTAATTATTTAAAAATGGCTTATTTTGAGCCAGTGACTTTATGCATGCAGAGCATGTCATATACTGCTGAGCTGTCCCTGGCCCTCCAGTATTTTTTTTGATGTAGTTACGCAGTGCAGATTCCTCCTTTCAATTCAGCTGCAAGATTATTTTTTGTAATTATATATGAGAATATAGGCTTCATAGGTTTACTGGAGCGATAGCACAGCGGGTAGGGCGTTTGCCTTACAAGCGGCCAACATGGCCGACCCGAGTTCGATTCCTCCGCCCCTCTCGGAGAGCCCGGCAAGCTACCGAGAGTATTCGATATGCCAGACACAGTAACAACAAAGTCTCCAATGGAGACGTTACTGGGCCCGCTCGAGCAAATCGACGATCAACGGGAGGGCCTTTACCTTTACCTTTACCTTAGGTTTACTCATCTGGTTGTAAGATTTGACATTTATTCTAATAGGGCCTTTCATCTGGACATTGTTCATTTACATATTTTACCTTGGTCTTTAGTTACATTTTACATGTCTTAGCAGCATATTTTACATAGAGGACTATTTAAAGATTTTCCTTTTGCAAAAGGAAAAACTTTGAACTTTGGATAGTAAATGAACATCATTACATTAGGATTGGCATAAAGACATTGATGAGAAATATATCACAGACCTGTCATAGTTCAGAGAATCTTCACAAACAATTCTCTACTAATTTAGTTTACTTTGCGTGCTTTTAGTAGTAGTTCTGTAAAGATCTCCAAGTAAAATATGGTATTGTCAGTATATGTCTCACATAAACTAAGAAAATATGAAATAAAACCAAGAAAATATGAAATTTAACTTATTGGCTCTAGGTCTTGCAGCCCTGCTCTTTATTTATGGAGAAATGTGCCTGGACTTCAGGAAAACAAAATATAAATATTAAAATTGAAGAATTTATAGTTAAGGTAAGCGTATCTCAATATTTGGGTAAAATTGAATTCTCAATGGAGTTGTAGTATTGAGAACTCTGTCTATATGTGACAACATAAGGCAAGGGGAAAAAAGAATCAGTTGACAGGTAAGTTTTGGGGAGCAATATATATTTACCTTTGGGGGGATTATTCATCTTTTCAGTCAATTAAGGTGGCAAGGGTTATACACTTATGTGTTATCATAATTATTGACATTTGGGTAACACTGACTGAATACATGATTGCCCATCAAGTCATAAAGAGTTTTGTGTTGTAAGCTAAAGAGTTTGATTTTATCTTTAAAATTATGGCAAGATGAATATTTTAAACATAGAAGTGGCATGCCAAGATTAGCATTTCAGAAGTTCACACTGGCAGTGTGGTGGGCAGGCTAGAGGGTGCTGCCTGGGCATAGGACCCCATTGTTGGGGAACTGTGGCATGGTAGTGGGCTGGAGGACGTGCTATGCTAGGCTAGTGAGAGGGGAATGTGCAGATCTTGAGGTAAGGGATGGGGTTCAGGGGAGAATTTTAGACTTCATGATTCAACAGGACAAATGAAAACCAGGCATATATATCTTAGCAAGTATTACAGAGTTGGGTGTAGTAAATGCAACTGGTGGAAAAATGAAAATTTTAGATTTGCATTATTTTTTTCTGTTCATAGAAAACTCTTCTCTGTGTATTAATTCAAATTTGGTCTTTCACAGTTGACATGTTATGACCTTAGCTACTTAATTCCAGAGTAACCTGAGCAGAAATCAGTGTCTTGAAGACATTTGACATGAAACATGATTTTTTGGTGTCGTCTCTTACTTCCTTAGTTACAAATTTAATATATTAAAAGTTTTAAGTGGTTTTTTTAAACTTTTATTTATTTATTTATTTTTATGTAGGAGTATTGCTATTTAGTTAGCCATTGATTAGGCCAACTGAATTGGGCATGTACTCCTCCCCACTTTTTTTCCCTTTTTTATAATTTTATTTCTTGAATCACTGTGAGAGTAGCCACACAGCTTTTGAGTTTAAGTCTCGGTCACACAATGAAACACCCATCCCTTCACCAGTGCCCATTCTCCACCACCAAAACCCCAGTATACCCTCATCCCACACCCTCCCCCAACCTGTGAGGCAAGCAGTCTCCACATTACTCTCTCCCTACTTTGATTACATTCAATATTTTGATACCAGACCCACCTTTTTATTTGGGATTTTACCCCGACACTCAGATCTGCCAAAAAGGCAACAATAGACAATTTGTTTTTTATTGATGATTATGAATAACATATGATGTGCGGCCGCGGTATCTTGGGATCATGGACATTAAGCAGCTTGATCAAGAGCCAGAGAGGCCATTCATGGGCAGCGACTCGGGGTCTCGTTGGAGTGGGAGGAAAGGGTTAGATCTACTCCCATCCCGCGAGGCTCTGTGTGTCTTGTCACTGTGGGCTCAAACGTGACTGTCCAATGGCCTCTGGAAGATGGGAGCCACTGAGTTCCAAGGGGTGCAGGCGAAGGGACAACACCCGTTCCCTCCTGGGGTGGTCTGGCACTGGTAGCCCATTGCAGGGACCAGAGGCATCCTGAGTCTCTGGGATCATGGCTGTTAAGCAGTTCGGTTAGGAACCAGAGAGGCCTTGCCTCCAGTTATATAGCTGAACCAGAGGTGATATGTGGGTGTGTCTCCCACATACCTAACTTTCGGCCGTTTACTTTCTTGACTAAACTTGGCCCCAAGATTTTGGGGTCTGGCCAAAGGCACAGCAGCAATTTTGGGGTATCTGGAAGTCTGAAGGCGCCATCAGTCAGTGGATGCACTCGCCTCACAGGTACAGATTGACCTGCTGGCGGCACCATACCCCCTCTTTTAAGCTTTTATATATTATGTATTCTCATCTGTGAAAGAAGTTATTCTAAAGAATTTTCTTTCTTTCTTTTTTTAAAGATTTCACCCATAATTCTTAACACCGTGATGACAATTATGGCTGCTATGACTCCAAAGACGAAAGAAGATGAATCCAAAGATACATCCAAGGAAATGGAAAATCTTTGGGGAATCAAATCTATTAATGATTATAATTCGTGGTTTCTTGGTGTTGATATGGCCACAGAAATAACTGAAAATTTCAAGGATGCGGAACAGAAATTGATAGAAGAAAATTGTGCTTTTACTATGGAATCAGTTCAAGTAACCCTAGAGTGTGGCCTTGGACACAGAACAATACCATTGTTATTGGCAGAGTCGAAGCTCTCAGGGACTGTTAAAAACTGGACTTCACTCATGGCTGCTTCTGCCCACATGACCCTGGAGGTAGGCCTGTTCCCCGACTGCCCCAGAGCAACTTTGAAAGTACAATCGGAGGTGTCAGATAGGCGTGGCCCCAACAATGGCCATGTGAATTGATGATGCATTTTATTTGTTCACATGCTATTTTTAATCTTTATTTATGGATTTAATTTTTTGGGGGGTGGGGGCATGCCATATCTGTTGTGCTAGGGCTTACTCCTGGCTCTGTGCTCAGGGATTGTCCCTGGTGGTGCTTGAGGAACCATATTTGGTGCCAGCGATCAAATCTGTGTTGGCTGTGTGAAAGGCAAATGCTTTACTGACTATGCCAACTCTCTTCCCCGATACGTGTCCAAAGATCCGGATCTACATACCTTTTTTTTAAAAAAAAAATTTTGGGACATACCCAGCTGTGCTTAGGGTTTACTCCTGTTCTGTGCTCAGGGATTACTTCTGATAGTGCTAAGAATATAGGATTCTGGGAACAGAAACTGGGTTGATTGTGTGCAAGGCCAGCTCCTTACCCACTATATTGTCTGGCCCCTCTTTTTGAAAGAATTTTTTGGTACTGTTGTCGTTATCACCAAAGTATCTTTGGTGATAAGGTGAGTAAAGTGACAAGCATATTAAAAAAATTTTCCTTGTGCCTTCAGATGTGTTTTTTAAAGGACTGTTGACTTCTAGTTAATATTTTATTGACTATAGAAATGTATAATTAAAATGGAATGACTCAGAATTCTCTGTCTATCCAGGTCCATTACTACAATGAAGTCCATGCTGTTTGGGAACCACTGATTGAAAGAGTGGCGGGGAAGAGACAGTGGAATTTAACACTTAACGTAAGGAAACCGTAAGCACATTAAACATGTACATGCATGTACACAACATGTACACACATCTCCTCACATATAGTTTATGTACATACATGTGCATGCATTGTATTTATGTACTTCCTAAGATGTGTTCCAAGATCCTTAAATTTTTTTCAGAGTCCATAGAATAAAAACAAAACAACCCCCCCAACCCAAATCACAACCTTTTAATAGTATTCTCTGATACATATTTTTTTTCATAACTTTTCTCAGAAGAGTACAATGGGATTTTACAGCAGTCATTTGATACTGTGGAAGAATGAATGCAGAAACAAGAGTAAAAATCATTCTGTCTTTTCTTAAGGCCAGCACTAAGGAGATATGTAAACGATCCTCCTTTCACTGGGCACTTCATATATTTATTTAATATTTTTTACTCTGGGTGTGGGCCACACAAGAGAAAACGTGTTGCTTTTTTTTTTTTAATACTTTGTAACATGGTATGAACATTTCACCTTGATAAGAAATATTTGAGGAATCTCAATGTAAATAGATTGCTCTAGGATAATTACATTTGATCTAGTGTATTACAATTTTAACAATAACTGGCCAAAAACATGTCTTTTACTTTTATTATTTTTTTATGTAGGAGTCCTGCTATTTATTCAGCCATTGATTATGCTGATTGAATTGGGCATGAACTCCACATTACTTTTTTTTTATTCAGAATGTTAATTATATTTTATTATTTTTTTATTATTGTTTTTTTTAATCACCATGAGATAGTTACAAAGGTTTCCTGTTTTAGTCATACTATGATCGAACACCCAACCCTCCACCAGTGCACATCTTCCATTACCAACAACCCCAGTATCCCCCCATCCCAACCCTTCCCCTGCCTCTGTGGCAGACAATCTCCCCATACTCTCTTTTGTATTGCTTGTTATGAATAGCATAAGATGTTGTGCTGCTGCAAGATTGGCCACATGTTCCTGGAACTCCAAAATTCCAGATAATTAGGATCTGGAGAAATCTTTGAAGCAAGCTGACAGGTTCAGAGATTCTTTTGTATGTCCCTGAATCATGGTCACCAAGGAAATTAAGTAGCAGCCAGAGGCAGTTTGTGGGTGTGACCTCCAGGGTCCCATGGGGACAGGGAGGAGTGGGGTGGAGGGTTGAAGGGAGAGGAGTGAGGGGGCTGAGAAGACCGGCCCATCCCCTATCCCTATCCCTTGAGGCCTGGAGTTTGCAGTCACTAAACCCATGTATCTGCACTTCTCATTGGGTTCTGAAAGTTGGCGGCCACTGGAGTTTTTAGGGGACAGGTGGAGGGAAGACACGTGCCCCTGTCTGAGGCACCCCGGTGAAGTCAGCCTGGCTCTAAGTCCAGAGACATCTCTGCAGTGAGCTGTTTGATTCAGAGATTCTTTTGTGACTCTCTGGATCATGGCCATAAAGGAACTTAAGTAGCAGCAGGAGGCATTTGTGGCTGTGACCTCCAGGGTCCCATGGGGATGGGGGGCGGGGGGAGATGAGAAGGACCAGCCCATCCCTTATCCCTTGAGGCCTGGAGTTTGTCATCACTGAATCTGTCTACCTGCGCTTCTCATTGGGTTCTGGAAGTTGGCCACTGGGGGGAAAGGCATAGCTTTTAACTGATTGTTTTTGTCTTTGTAGGTGAAAAAGAACCCAGTCCAGGACAAAGGTTTGATGCCTGGAGATGATTTTATTTATCTTCCCGAGCCACAAACAGCAGTTCATATTTCTTCAGGAGATACAATGAATATAACAATATCCAAAAGTTGCCTTAATGTTTTCAGCAATTTAGCAAAAGTACGTTCGATTCTCGTTTGGTATATTTCAAATGGCATTTTTAAGTTGACAAAAAATGTATGAATTATTTTTGCCCCCAGAACAAGGTTCTAGAAAATGTGTAGGTGTTGGTTGGAGCCTTGAGAAGTGGGCATTGCAAACATGCATTGTGCTGTGTTCCCTTGCAGGGTTTCTCCGAGGGTACTGCCATGACTTTTGACTACTCTTTGAAAGACAAGGCCCCATTCACTGTACGGAACGCTTTGGGGGTTCCTGCTAAGGTCCAGCCAAATCACAATCTCAGGGTGATGGGTTCTCCTGAGAAATGTGATCTTTATGACGTGGATGCTGGCCAGAACCTGGAGCTGGAATATGCCAGTCTAGAACCATCCGGTCCAGGGAAGCGGTCCATGCTGAGCCGCCAGGAAAGCACCTTCTTCACTCTGACCTTTGGTACGTTTTGTTTATTTGAATGGAATCTTTGGAATTGTTGGTGTGGGGTGATTTTTTTTTGTTGTTGTTTTGATAAAACATAAAAATACATTATCCCAGATAGCTTGAGGTACATTTCCAAAGATTTGAGCACGTAGTTGGTACATTCTTGTCTGTTTTCTTTCACATTAAGGAAACTATACTTCATTGATTTAAAAAGTACCTTAGAAAACCAGATTATCTCTATCCCTTAGAAAATTCAATTTATGGTGTGTTTCACAATAGGCCTGGCATTCTATGAGAAGGAAAAATAAATATAATCAGAAGGCCTAGAATATTGACAGTAGATATAACTATCACTGTTACCAAAAAGAATTTCCAGGCCTAAGAGACTGTACAGGGGTGAAGGCTCTTGCCTTGTGTGCGGCCAACCATGGTTCCATCCCTGCCACCACATCTGACCTTTTGAGCACCTCCAGGAGTGATGCCTGAACCCAGAGGCAGGAGTAAGCCCTGAGTACTGCTCTCCGATGTGGCTCAAAACCAAACCAAAACAAAAGAATCACTGTCACTGTCACTGTTCTCCCGTTGTTCATCGATCTGCTTGAGCGGGCCCAGTAACGTCTCCATTGTGACACTTGTTACTGTGTTTGGCATATCGAATACATCACGGGGAGCTTTCCAGGCTTTGCCGTGCGAGTGAGATACTCTCGGTAGCTTGCTGGGCTCTCCGAGAGGGATGGGATGGAGGACTCGAACCTGGGTCCGCTGGGTCAGCCGCATTCAAGGCAAATGCCCTACCTGCTGTGCTGTTGCTCTAAGAGAAATGAAAAAACATTCAATTTTGCTTACCACATTTAAAATACTAAACAAAAATGGGGGGTATAATTTTTTTTTAATAACTGGTTTCCTTTCCTCATTAGTCCCTGTGTCTTAGAACAGCATTTTGTGTCTTTGTCTAGGGATGTGGAAGCATAGAGTTGACATTATTTTGAAGTACTAAGGATTACTCTGTTTAGGAAAATGTGGGTGAATATTTATTAGCGTTTGTCACCTGTGCTCTGCTTCAGTGCCTCATGGATACACAGAAGTAGCAAAAGTCCCTGTTTCGAGACCTGGACGACAGCTGTATAATGTACGAAACCCCAGTGCGACCCATTCTGACTCAGTCTTGGTGCAGGTTGATGCAACTGAAGGGAATAAAGTGATTACCTTGCGTTCTCCTCTGCAGGTAATGTGTTGCTGTGGTGTTTTGTCTTCATATATATTTAGAGATATTAAATAAGTTAACTGAGTTTAAGGGATAGAGGAAAACTTGATTAGTCTATTACCCATTTTATTTGTGAGTGGTTTCTTTTCTTTATACAACTTGTTTTTCTTGTTAAAGACCTTTTATGTTGTCTCCTGAGTTTAAAATTTATGAATCTTTTTGTTTATTACTTTAAGGACTCAGAATTGAAGAATATAAAATGGTTGGTTGTCAAATAAGATATCCATTATCTTTGTTTATCCCTTAGGAGTATAGTTTTCAAATATGTATAAAGAGATATCAAAGTGTTTTCCATGGAAAAAAATTTAGCATTTATCTGTAGGTTTTCCTTCTTACCTTTAACATTTTTTCCATTTTCTATTCTCCTATAAATTAACACAGGTTTCTGTATATGTAAATTAACACAGGTTTCTGTATATGTAAGCAAAAGAATGTAAATTCTTAGGACATTGAAATGACAAAGAAAAGAAAATTTTCAATTAGCATCTGCTTGTATTACATTATAATCAAGAAGAGAATTGCACTTCTAATCATATTTCCATTGCTATTTTTATTCTTAATCATATAATCTATTGAGTAAAAGCTATATAAGAGAAAATGACTAAAACCATGAAAAATTAATTCATATTTGAAGAAATATACTAACAGTTGATACCCTTGATCTGAGTATGTGATTATCCTAATAATTTTAACTGCCATTTTAACATTAAGCTAAATATATACATATGTATATGTAGCATTTATAGATATATATATTCAGCAAGTAAATGTAAAAATATGAATTGTCAATAAAAATGTCTTATTAGGTTTGAAATTTTTTAGATCTAAAAATAATAGTTCACAGTTTTCTTTTGGACTTCTTATTTATTTTTAACAATTTGTATGTCTTTTTGTCCAACAGATTAAAAACCATTTCTCTATTGCGTTTAAAATTTATAAATATGTAAAGACTGTTAAGCTCTTGGAGTGCATTGGAGTCGCCAGACCTGAGGAAGAATTCCATGTCCCCTTAGATTCCTATAGGTAGATACTTCTTTAAATACACTAAGTTTCAAAATGTTCATAAAATGTATTTTTGAATCTGAAAATTGGAGACCTATATTCTAGAAAAGTAGTTCCATGCTTATATTTAAAAATTGGAAAAGTCCCAAGTCCCAGTTTAAGAATTGTGCACAAATATATTATCTTTGAATTTTCCAAATGAGATATTTTTGTGGTAAAGTTAAGCTCTTAATTAATGGCTTTTGAATTTTCTGTTACATTGCTTTTTTATTTGAAATAAACATGTTTTTTGTTTTTTGTTTTTTTTTTCCAAAAAGTTATTGTTTAGCAAGTGTTTTCCTTTTTTTGACCAGTAGTTTCTCTGTGACTTAGCTACTCCCTCCCTCCCTTCCTGCTTCCCGTTTAAGACCATATTGGGCGCCCAGGATGGAACCCTGGTCACTCATGTGCAAGGCAAGCGCTGTACTCACTTTATGATCTCTCGAACCTACGTGTCTAGTTGTTTCTTAACCTTTCTTAGCTTTGGGCCCTCATCTGTAAAGACCAGGGGAAATTGCTTGCCTTGTAGAATCAAGAAGATTTCACTCAACCCTAAGCTCCTCCATAAGCTCTTTCCCTGCCTGCTTCCCCCACCTGTAGGTGTCAGCTCTTCATCCAGCCAGCTGCTGGCCTGGAGAAGCAGTACAAGGAGTCCACCACTTACATTTCCTGGAGGGAGCAGCTGCACAGGAGCACGGAGGTCAGGTGCATGCTCCAGTGTCCATCTATGACCGTCAACTACTTGCCTCTCATAGTGAACACCGTTGCTCAGCCTGACGAGCTCAGCTACATCTGTACACACGGGGAGGAGTGGGACCCCGCGTACGTCATCCATCTTCACCCTCCCCTCACTCTGCGCAATCTCCTCCCGTACTCGCTGAGATACTTACTGGAGGTATGGCTCTTGCATGTCTCGCTGCTACAGAGTAGGAACAGTTCCAGGGTGCTTTTGTTTTGATGGTGTTTTTAGTTAAGGTTGGTGTTTCAGATAGCATACTTTAGTAGCTTCAATCATGGAGCAAATGCTGATCTGGTTTCTAATCTCTGCCAATCACTGTCCCTGTATTTCATCTCTGTTAATGTTTTTGACTTGCACATTGTCCTCCTGAGGACAGTTACTGCTGTTAGGCCCTTCTTACAGATGAGGAAGGTGAGTCATGAGTAGCCGGCTCTGTAACTCAGCTTCCTTAGTAAGTGATAAGTGATGAATGATAGGGGTTGGACTGGCAGTTGAAACTAGACAATTTCATACCTTGCTCTAGACCACCAAATCCTGCTTAAAGACCAGAACAGTCTTTTAAAGTAAAATTCCATAAACTGAGGGATAAAGGAAAGTCAATGCAAAGATTATTTATTCTAAAATTTTTATTTTACTCTTATTATTATGATTACTTGTTTATATTTATATTAAATTTAAAAAATAATTGCAATTTTAAGAAATAATAGGACATTTTCTAGGAATAAAGCATAATATATATATATTTTTTTGAGGGGGAAGGTCACACCCGGAGATGCACAGGGGTTACTCCTGGCTCTGCACTCAGAAATTACTCCTGACAGTGATCAGGGGACCATATGGGATGCTGGGAATCAAACCTGGGTCGGCTGCATGCAAGGCAAACGCCCAACCCACTGTACTATTGCTCCAGCACCAGCACAATGAATATTTTTAAATCTCTTCCTGCTACACCATTTCAAAAAAAATCTGGAAAGTGTTTGAAACATGTATTATTTCTTTACTTTGTCTGAGAATGAGCCATGCCTGAGTTATTAAAGTAACTAAATGAACAAAATAGGTTTTGTCCTAGTTGTGCTTTTAGTAAAGAAGCCTGATTTATCTTGTGGCTTTTACTTATTTTTAAACTTGTCTGACCTTGCTGAAATGACCTGTGAGAATAGTTCTGTCATCTCCCTTATCTCTTTACCGAGGGCTTTTATGTATAGCATGTGACTGGAGAAGAGGCCATTAAGTGTCTTATTCGATTATGTACTTCTGATGGACAGCAAGAAGGACCACCCCAGGTCTATCCTGTTGTTCTCAGCATAGATAATGACTTTATTTTTCAGAATTAATGATCATTGGTTTACCAATGTCCAAGACACCATCTACCTGTGTGTCTGTGAGAGTGTTTTTGTAGTTCTTAGTGATGATTGAACTTTCCTAATAAGCAGGCTTGCCTTCATTGAAGTCTTGGTGCTTAATGAATTTGGTGGCTTGTTTGTAGATTTTAGAAATTTGCTAAGCAGTTTTTTGTTATTGTTGTTGTTTGTTGCTTTTTAGGGAACAGCAGAAGCTCGTGAGCTGGCAGAAGGCAGTGTGGCTGATGTGCTGCATTCACGAATCAGTGGGGAAATAATGGAATTGGTTCTGATAAAATACCAGGGCAGGAACTGGAACGGCCATTTCCGTGTCTGTGACTCACTACCTGAATTCTTCCTGGTGTGTTTTTCTTCTGATTCCACCGAAGTGATGACCTTGGACCTGTCTGTCCACGTCCGGCGGCTGGGCAGTCGCATGGTTCTATCTGTTTTCAGTCCCTACTGGCTGATCAATAAGACGTCCCGAGTTCTCCAGTACCGCTCAGAAGATATTCACGTGAAGCATCCGGCTGATTTCCGGGACATTATTTTATTTTCTTTCAAGAAGAAGAACATTTTCAGTAAAAACAAGGTATATGTTTGTCAGTATAACACAGCAAAATGCATTTCTGCTCCGGAGGCCAATGTGGGTGCCATCAGTCTCTCCTAAGCCACACGACACTGCTTGCTAAGTTGCTGATTGGTATAAATTAGGTCCAAGAGAAGCTTAAAGGGAAATGTAATCAAGTGGAATATTGTGAACTAGTAAGAACAATTTCCTGACTTAGAATTATTACTGTTCTTAAAGTACCTTGTGCCTAGTAGAAATCTTTACTTTGTGCCAGGGATAAGATGGTCTTTCTGCATGTGGCATAGCTGCATTTGGCTCTCTGAGTGAAGCCTGAGGCCAGGCTTTTGGGGAGAAGTCTCAGGCCTCGAGCTGCCACTGTGTGCTCTGATCCTCCTTCCTTCTCAGCCCTGTCCTGGGGATACTGGCCACAGGCCTCACCTGTCTAACCTCTGTGTCTCTGACAGCATTTGCATTTCTTAATCGAAAGAGGTCATGAGTGGAAAGGGAAAAAAATCCTGATCCAGAGAACTTATAAAGCAAATCGCTCGCGGTCAATGATGTAGCTTGGTAAAGCAATTTCCTGTGTCACACCCCAAAAAGCAAATTTCTGGGTCATTTGCCCATAGTTTGATTCAAAAGGTCTGGGCTCGGTAGGGTTTGAGAATTTTAATTTCTAACAGCTCCTAGGAGATGTAAGTGTTTATCTGGGGACTATGATTTGAGAACTGCTATATTAGAGTGTTGATTAATACGTGGCTTTGTAATGTTTATTTGTATGACATGCTATCTCCAGCTTAACATACTTGGCTCATCTATAAACCTCTTCGTGGGCTGAAGACATAACATAGCACGGGGAATAAGCACGTGCCTACACGTGGCCAACCCAGTTTGATCTTTGGCCCAAATCCTGCTATGGGTGATCTCTGAGCAGAGAGCCAGAAGTAAGCCCTTAGCACAGCCATGTGCAGCTCAAAAATAAACAAACAAAAAATCCCTAAAAAACAAAAACAACCTCTGTGTGGATTCTGTAACCAGAAATAAATGTTTTTGCCTTTTGCTAGGAACTGTATACTGAGTCAAATTGTGCCTTGCATCTTAATCACTATAGCTTGTATCTCCCATCTCCTTTTCCAGTTGGAGTTCATTGCAGAGAGGAACTGAGTGCTATTTCCTTCCTTTGTCTTCTTAGAGTGCCTTTTATCTACCACTGACTGAACAATGTTACACACAGAGATACAACCTTTTTATACCTGCAGCACAGTACTGATTCCTCCTGAACTAAAACTGCTGTTCTTTGAGTGACTTTGGAAGTTGACTATTTCTCTAACACTAGGAGATATAACTTTATATGATACGTAATTGTGTTTAAAACAACGCTGTGTCTCATTGATATCTATCCTTACATGCACTATATTCACCATGTATTTCTTTTGTTGTATTGATCCCTGTGGTTTTCTGTGATTCTCAGTTTGCAGTTTGGTTTTATGTTTTCTGTACTCTATGATAATACATAAATTTGGTGGCCCATACCTCTCTATTTAATAGAATGGATATAGTTCCTTTAGATTTCTTACATGATGATATGTGTTCTTTTATAGGTACAACTAAAAATTTCAACTAGTTCCTGGTCCAATAGTTTCTCCTTGGACACAGTGGGAAGTTACGGGTGTGTCAAATGTCCTGCCAACAATATGGAATTCCTGGTAAGAGTCTGATTATTTTGGCTTCATTAAGACTTTCTGAATTACACTAAACTAATACACCCCTAAGTCCTTAGAAAATAACAGAAATTTGAACTCAAAATTTTGGGTGAAAAGTAGTTATCACCTCTATAAATTTCTGTGGATTCCAGTAGCAAAGCAGAATCTGAATTTGTAAAATATTAAGACACTGAGTTTATTTTTACCAATGTTTACCAATATTTGTAAATATCCCAAGAGTACTGGGATCTTCAGTCCATGTCACATCCCTATCTGATATTTCTCACATCTTAAGTTTGCCTGAAAACTTTGAGTAATCCATTACTAGTTTACATGGGGTTGTACCACTTGAATGTTTTTACCCTTTTAATAGTAGAAATAATAAGGCCATTGCACCCGAGCCTTAAATTGATTGCAAAAACAGTTTGTGCTTCAAATATTAGAAAGTAATGACTACAAGTAAAATCTGTTATGACAAGCCATCATTCAGTTCATTAGTGATTGATATTTCCTGAATTGATTTCTGATGGTGTCAAAAACTGAGGTAGCAAGATTTTTCTTCTTAGTGAGAAATATGACATAGTAATCATTTATTATAGTAATTGTAATTAGTAAATACAGCAATACTATTTTTAAATATTTTATGAAGTCTCTAAAATGATGTGTATATCTGCAGGTGTTTTTCAAGTGTGTTGTATAAAGAAAACTAGAAACTGATAAGTTTGTTTCCTCCTCATAGGTTGGTGTTAGTATCAAAATGAGCAGTTTCAATCTTACTCGAGTAGTTACTCTGACTCCCTTCTGTACCATTGCAAACAAATCATCTTTAGAACTTGAAGTAGGTGAAATTGCATCTGATGGCTCCATACCAACAAATAAGTGGAACTACATTGCTTCTTCAGAGGTGAAATTCTCTAATTTTAAATTTATAAAAATAAGGCATATAAAGGAGAACGGTATATATTTCTCTGTTAAATTCACTTTCATACTATAATTGTGTATTAAAATGTGACAGCCAATTTTGAAAGACTTTTCTCAAGTTTATAATCTTGTTGTAGACCTTTTAGACTCATTTAAGGTAGCAGATGGAGGGGAAAGATAATATATGCCAAATGTGGGTGAGTACAAAATTTCTGAATAAGATGGCTGGAGAAATATGATACAGTAATTATTATGGTAACTAGAATTAGTAAACACAATAATATTTTAAGATATATTAAGTCCCTAAAATGGTGTGTATCTTTGCTCATACATACACAGTCTCTAAAACTTTCCGGAAATTCAAGTGCACACTTAATAGAGAAGCAAATAAATCTTGTAACATTAGATCAGTACTGTCATTGGAGGTTGAGATCATTGTGCTGTCAACCTAAAGGAAAAATTTAAATGATGGGCCTGAGAGATACTACAGGGTCTTGTACACAAGTGACTCAAGTTGAATCACCTATACCTCATGTCTCCCAAGCACTGCTAGAGTCATCCAAGACCATGGAACCAGATGTAAGCTCTGAGCAAGGCGGGGGTGGGGGGGGGCTGGCGGGGGGGCAACCGTCCCACCAAAAACAAGTGAAAAAACAAAAAAACCTTCCTCACCACCCCAAAAAAGAAAGAAAAAAATTTAAATTTAAATGAGATATGTAAAGAGTCAGTGTCATTAAGATTGCAGTTTTAAAATGTTTTAGGTTTTAGATGCTGTCCTAATTCACCAAGTAGACTCTTTTTTTTCTTCCAGTGTTACTTTTCTAGAAGTATAGCCCAGAAGTTCTATATTTCTCTAATGGTTTTTGGGGTTTTTTTTTTTTATAAATTACCATTATTTAGTATTCCTAAAATGACACATTGAGATGATATTTTAGAGAAATTTAGTGCCAGTTATGCCACAATCAGTTTTGGAATTGAAGCTTTAATTAGCTGCAGTATGTGCACTACAGTGCTGTTTTAAAACTGATGCTAACTTTCATATTTTCAGTGCCTTCCATTTTGGCCGGAAAACTTGTCAGGCAAACTTTGTGTAAGAGTGGTGGGCTGTGAAGGCTCTTCCAGACCGTTCTTTTACAACAGACAGGACAATGGCACCTTATTGAACCTAGAAAATCTGGTAAGTTTGCTTGTGTATCAGTAAAACATCTATGATTTTTAAATTCACTTTAAAATATCTTATTTAAAATATGCTATAATATCTGGTAATGACTGGAAGGTGCCACTGTCTCAGCATATAGCATGTATTTTGTGTCAGTATAATTTTAAAGCTCCAAATGTAAGTACAGGTTAAGCTAGTACTTCAAACACACCCCTTTCTTCCTACAGCAGAATGGGGGTATACTGGTGGATGTCAACATTGCTGAACATTCAACTGTCATAACCTTTTCTGACTACCACGAGGGATCAGCGCCTGCTCTAATAATGAACCACACACCGTGGGACGTCCTCACCTACAAGCAGAGGTATGGTAGAAGGGTGTGTGGCAGACTCGAGTTGCTCCCATTGGTCCACAGACAGGCCCTTGGAACTAAATGGTTTCAGGTTTGGGAAAGATAACATGGAACATGGTGTTCAGTACTAAGACCCTCAAGTATTTAATATTCTAGTATCACATTAGTTCAGTTCAGGTTTTCCTGCCAATAGCCAAAGTCACAGAAAGATATTTGGACTTTCAGAGTATTAGACATTTCAGAATTGTATATAATGGGTAGTGATCTGGTGGACCATTATCATTTGTCAGTGATTGCCTGTGCTTAGTAAACTTCCCCTGTCAATCTTTCTCTGGTGTTTGGAGTCAGACTAGTTTGACAGTGAACAAGAGCACAGCTCTGGTGCCAGGCTGCCTGCCCGCTGTAAGTGGGTCATGTCCTGGTGTTCTTGCTCTGTGGCCACTGGCTTCCATGACATCACTTAATGATGTCATAGATGATTTTAAACCTTAAAATAGATGATGTGATGCATTTGAAAAGAATTAAGTGTGCAGGAAACTGTAGCACTTCACTTAAATAAATATTTTTTTTTACTTTTATGTTTCAGAATGACATAATTCATTGTGATTAACCACTCTCAAGTACTGAATCCATTGAGATATTCTAAAGTATATATTTGGATTAAAATCTAGTTTGTTTATACATATTTATTTTTGTTCTCTGGGAAGTATTTTGTATCACATTGGAATGATGAACTTTAATTTAATTTTAATTGAGTCACTGTGAGACACACAGTTACAAAGCTGTTCATGATCGAGTTTCAGTCATGCAATGAGAATCATCAATTTTTTAAAACCTGGAAACCTTAGTCTGATTTAGTGGGTTTTAAGTGCAGCCAGAACTTTGTGTTTCCAGCGAGCCCAGATCATGCTTTAAGAAGCAACACTATGAACCCAGGTTGCTTTTTGTATCTGGGACTCGTGTTTCTGAGGCGTTGTATTTGATTTAAAAACTGACTGAAGTTTTTCTGCTACTAAAATGCATACCAGTGACAGTATTTTCTACAGTTGCACTCTGGCATTCAGTATTTTTTTCTTTTGTGTGTGCTTGTAGTAAAGTAAGATGGTTATAATAGTGTTAACTTTTACAGTCTTGACATACAAGATCTCTGTAGTTTCACTAACAACAACAACATGCCCAAGATTCTCCACCATTATCCTTAAGTAACTTCTTTTTTAAATATTACATATTATTTTCTTATTTAATTTTTTAAATTGAATCACAGTGAGATATACAGTTACAATGTTGTTCACAATTGGGTTTCAGTCATTCAATGTTCCAACACTGGTCCCTTCAGCAGTGTAGTTTTCCTACCACCAATGTCCCCAGTTCCCCTCTCACTCCACCCACCTCTCTCTCTCTCTCTCTCTCTCTCTCTCTCTCTCTCACACACACACACACACACACACACACACACACACACACACCTTATGGGCATTATGGTTTGCAGAACAGGTACTGAAAGGTTATGTATATCTCTTTACCTACTTTCAATATATAGTTCTTGTCCAGAGCGGTCATTTCTATCCTTATGTAACCTCTAGTCCTTTTCTTCCTCCCCCAACTGCTTTGGTAAGCTCAGGCCAACCAACAATTCAAGGCCATGGGTCTGCCATCATGTGATGCCATCTATTCCCTTGTTTTCTCTCTGTATTCCGCGGATGAGTGACATCATCTGGTGTTTGTTACTGTCCCTCTGACTTACTTCCATTAATATGATGGCACGTTGTTTGCTGTAATGTATTCTGTTGGTGTGATCTTACCTAGATGATTGACGCCATAATGCAATTTCATAAAGGGCAAAGTTCTATTCCCTCAGGCCCCCAAATGATTTGTTCTCTGAATTTGGGGGGTACTTTGAGTTGTGTTTTATTAGCAAAGGCAGTTTTGCTAGGTTTCTGTGCTAAGCTCTTTCTCAGTTCAACCACAGGTCTGAATTTTTCAAGTCCAAACAATTTTTTAAGTGTGTGTGTGTGTGTGTGTGTGTGTGTTGGGGTGAGGGTGTTACTTGTCTCTGTGCTTGGGAGTTGCTCCTGGCAGTGCTCGGGGACTGTGGTGGGGGGCATTGAACCTGGGCTTCCTGCACGAGGAGCCTGACTTGGCCTGTGGAGTGGCTCTCCCGCCCCAGGCCATGGTATTTTCAACTTCTTTCTACTGACTGTGTTTCAGTGGGTCACAGGAAGAAATGGTTTTGCTACCAAGACAAGCTCGACTTTTTGCCTGGGAAGATCCAACTGGCACCAGAAAGCTGTCGTGGATGTACGCGGAGAACGTCGGGGAGCATGACCTGTTGAAGGTGCGGCTGCCTGGTGCGAGGGCAGTGGGGGCAGATGGGCAGGCAGGCTCTGAGTGGAAAGGGAGCCCGAGTATCTTCTGAAATGTTGGTTTGGACGTTAGATGGCAGATGGCTTATGCCATTGCTTTCTAAAGCTTTCTTGGCTTTTGCTCTGAAATGGTTCACTAACCAACAGTGACTGACTCACCTTCTCTCAGATTCCCCTGAAACACTCACAAAGACTGGCTTATCCACTCATGGGGAAAATGAAGCTGAGGATTTCTTGGCCATGTGGTTCTTTGCCCTGGTGGGGAGGCCCTGTTTGCAGTGTTCTGGGACCTGGAGGTTATCTAGCAATTGAGAGCCCCAGATTTAAGTACTTGGGCCAGGTGGGTGCTGGGAGCGTCCAGAGTTATACCTGGTAGAACTTAGAGTCCAGGACATGCTGGGAATCAAACAGGGAGCCTCATCCAACTATTCCTTTGCTCTTGGTTGCATCTTTATTTATTTGAGTTGGAAAGTTGCTGTGAAGCACAGACTGAGGTTGAAATAAATTGTTTGATGTCTGAGTCAGGACAACAAGAGGATCTCCCTTGGGTGCATGGGCACTTCCCAAGCAATGCTCAGGGCACCCAGGAATCACTCCTGGCATGACCTAGCCAGCCATGCATCCCAGAGCAGTGCAGGGCCAGGCAACATGCTCCTTAGTCCAGCCATGTTGGGGGCCCAACCAGTGCTGGACTGGGCAGTGCTCGGATGCACGTGCCACCTAGAAGTAGACTTGGTCCCTCCTTGTGCAGACCATATGCTCTAGCCCCTTGTCTCCTCCACATCCCCAGGCAGGCGTCATTCTGAGCTCTTGCAGCAGAGCAAAGCAGGCTGGGTTCTGTGAGAACTTCAACAAAGGGCTGAAACAGCACCTCAGCGAGCCAGCACAAACCTGTCACCTTAGTCTGGGTATTCAACCACATGATTCATATGTATTTAAATCACTTTTATTTTGGGGAATTTTGGACCACACCTGGTGATGCCCAGGGTTGACTCCTTGCTCTGTACTCAGGGATCATGCCTGGTGGTACTCAGGTGTGCTAGGTTGGAACCCAGTACGCTCCATGCAAGACAGGTACCTTACCTGCTGTACTGTCTCTGCAGTTCCAAAAATTATTAAAGAAGAAACATAAATTAGGCTAGGTTTTTGTTTGTTTTCAGGGCTGTGGGATGGGGTGGAGTCCTGTGGTGCTCAGAACACTTCTGGAGGAACTGCACAGTGCTGGAGTAGAATGAGGTTTGGCTGTGTGTAAGGCAAGCACCATCTTCCCAGTTGTACTCTCTCTTTGGCACCTAAATTAAGTTAGTTTTATCAGAAACTTCTGATAAAACTAATGAACTGAACCACTAGGTTTTCTACTAGGTTCTCCATCTTGGAGTCAAATATCTTAGAGCAGCGGTGCCATCAGAATACTTTGTCTTTGATAAAGGCTCCTTAAGCATTAAGTAGGTAAATTGGGATATCAAAAGTTAGCACTCTAACACTGTCTCCCATTGTTCATCAATTTGCTCGAGAGGGCCCAGTAACATTGTGAGACTTATTGTTACTATGTTTGGCATATCGAATATGTCACGGGTAGCTTGCCAGGCTTTGCCATGTGGAGAGATACTCTCAGTAGCTTCCCAGGCTCTCCGAGAGGGAAGGAAGGAATCGAACTGGGGTTGGCCGACCTAGCGTGTGCAAGGCAAACAGCCTACCCACTGTGCTATCGCTCCAGCCCATCAAAAGTTAACAGTGGCTAATCTATTGTTTGAGAAAAACAGCATTTCTATAACCAGGTCATAATTTTTATTTTGTTTTGATTGCTAGAAATTTTCCAGTTTGCAGTCATACTTTTTTAAAAAAAATTTTTTATTAGTGAATCACCGTGAGGTATAGTTACAGACTTACAAACTTTCGTGCTTGCATTTCTGTTATACAATGGTCAAGGGATGGGCATGAAGCCATTGCAGTAATACTTTTAAGTACTTCTCTGACCTGTCTCAGTTATTGTAATTTAACTTTAATAAAAATGTGTAGCTTATGGTTTTAATATAAAGTCTCTTTTACACCCAGGACGAATGTGGGCAGTTCCCGTATGATGCAAACAACCAAGTGCACTGGGTGTCCTTCTTGGATGGGCGCCAAAGGGTCCTGCTGTTCACGGATGATGTTGCCTTGGTCTCCAAGGCCTTGCAGGCAGAAGAAATGGAGCAGGCTGATCACGAGCTCACCCTGTCACTCCACAGCCTTGGGCTCTCACTAGTCAACAATGAAAATAAGCAGGAAGTTTCGTATATTGGGATAACCAGGTATGAAAGTACAACAAATATAAGGTATCAGAAATATTTTTTTAATAAATCGGGGGGGGTGGCCGTTGGGCCATACCCATACTTGGGCCTTACTGCTCGCTCTTGTGCTCAGGGATCACTACTGACAGTGCTCAGAGGACCCTGGTGAGTACCAGGAACTGAACACAAGGCAAGCACTTTAATTTCTGTATGATTTCTCCAGCCCAAAGACGTCAAAAATCTTAAATGGATATTTAAGTACACAGTACCAATGTGTGGAGAATACATAGTATTGGTTCTTTGGGATTTGGTGTATTGTTGATTCTTTTGGTGAAATCTAGTGAGTGTGATTTCACTGCTAGTGGAAAAACCTCTTTTGTAGAAAGTTGGAGAAAAATAGTATTTTTGCTCTAGTAGTGTCCACCATCAGCAGATAGGGAAAAAAGAGACCTATCATTTTGTTGCTTCTGTGTGTTTTAAAAAGTGAGTCATAAAAGCTGAGATGGTCCACAGAGACTTACCACGCACAGACTTGGGAAGGCAGGTGGACGCAGTCGCTATTTTACATACTCAGGGCTAGAAAGACGAGCCTGCGTCAGGGACAGCCAGCAGCAGCGGCCGGAGAGATCTGAGAAAAAGTTCATGCATGAGGCAGTGTTTAACATGGGCACATTATTTTTCATGGGTGGCTACTAGCTTTTTTAAAATAGTGACAAGACATTGTTTCTCTGGTTCTCTTTATACCTGTGGGGAAAAAAATGTTTAAATTTATTTATTTTGCCTTAAAAATCATACGAGCTTTGGTAAAAGACTCATTCTGTTTTGGAGACCGCCGAGTGAAATGTTTCACATGTAGCTGCAGTAGTTCTGTGCTTTGCACTCTTGAAGGGCTCCATGAAAAAGTGTTAATATTAGCATGTGCAGTAACACTGTAGCACAGTCCTCCCATTGTTCCTCGATTTGCTCGAGCGGGCACCAGTAACGTCTCCATTGTGAGATTTGTTGTTACTGGTCTTGGCATATTGAATACACCACAGGGAGCTTTCCAGGCTCTGCCATGGGGGCGGGATACTCTTGGTGCTTTGCCAGGCTCTCCGAAAAGGAAGGAGGAATCAAACTCAGGTTGACTGCCTACAAGGCAAACGCCCTACCCGCTGTGCTATTGCTCCAGTCCAATACAATGTGCTACTAATGTTAATGCTCTCACGACTGTGTGAGTAGTATATTCTCTTGGCTGTACATTTCAGAACCGTATTTTAAAATTTTAAATATGGAGCTGTATTTTTAAATATTACGCAAATAACATTCTCTAGTCCTGGGTCACGAAAGTGTGATCCATGAGCCATTGGATTCTGCCTCTGTGTTTGTGTACACTCTCCCCATCCCGCCCCTTCCCTTAACTACTGTGGAGCTGTTGTTTGGGATGCCGGGATGATGGTACTGGGCTTGCCTTCACTGTGAGTTTTTCACTGTGATGCTGGCAGGGGTGCACAGGAAGTGGCGGGTGCTCCCGGCCCAGAGACACAGCTGTGCTCTCTCCTGGGCCCACAGCAGCAGTGGCAGAAATGCCCTGCAGGGGGCGCTGCAGTACTCACACATGTGCTCACCAGGGGCCACACTTCCTGGCCATGGCATGGGCACATCTTTGTGGTCCTGTGGCTGACTAGAGGGTCATGCCCTTTTTGTAGTACTTGTTTGTATGTTGGGGCTCAAGCAGCAGTGATCCGTGAAGAGCATAGTCTGTCCTGGGTGCCAGGATCTGGACTCATGATCAGACTCTCACAGGACAGCTGCTTCAGGTCCTGTGCTTTCTTCCAGCTGTTTTATTTATTTATTTTTTTATTTTTATTTTTATTTTTTAAAATTTTTTTATTAGTGAAACACCATGAGGTACAGTAGTAGACTTACAAACTTTCATGCTTGGGTTTCAATTATACAATGATCGAGTACCCATCCCTTCACCAGTGCCCATTCTCCACCACCAATGAAACCAGTAACCCTCCCCCCCACCCCATCCCCCCTCCCTGCCCCACCTCTGTGACAGGGCATTCCCTTTTGCTCTCTCTTTTCTTTAGGGTGTCGTGGTTTGCAATAGAGGTATTGAGTGGCCATTGTGTTTGGTCTATAGTCCGATCTCTAGTCTACTTTCAGCACACATCTCGCATCCCAAGTGAGTCCTCCAAACACCCTTTACTTGGTGTTCCCTTCTCTATCTGAGCTCCCTTTTCCCCCAGCATCTGCTGCCAGCTCCCGAGCCGTGGAGCAGATCTCCTGGTACATATCTCAACTAATCTTGGGTGTTCGTCTCCCCTTCTGGTACTTTATGTTCCCCATATGAGTGCAGACTTTCTACATCTGTCCCTCTCTTTTTGGCTCATTTCACTTAGCATGATACTTTCCATGTAGAACCACTTCTATGCAAATTTCATTAATTCATCTTTTCTTAACAGCTGCATAGTATTCCATTGTGTAGATGTACCAAAGTTTCTTTAACCAGTCTTTAACCAGTCATCTATTCTTGGGCACTTGGTTTTTTTCCAGATTTTGGCTATTTCCAGAACAGTGCTGCAATGAACATACAAGTGCAGATGTAATTTCAACTATACTTTTTTGCATCTTTGGGATATATTCCCAGGAGTGGTATTGCTGGGTCAAATGGGAGCTCAATCTCTAATTTTTTGAGAATCATCCATACTGTTTTCCAAAAGGGCTGAACCAGTTGGCATTCCCACCAGCAGTGAAAGAGAGTCCCTTTCTCCCCACATCCAAGCCAACACTGGTTGCTTTTGTTCTTTTGGATGTGGGCCAGTCTCTGTAGTGTGAGATGATATTGCATTGTTATTTTGATCTGCGTCTTCCTGATGATCATTTCCAGTGATGTAGAGCATTTTCTCATGTGCCTTTCTCATAGCCATTCAGATTTCTTCTTTGACAAAGTTTCTGTTCATTTCATCACTCCATTTTTTGATGGAGTTGCATTTTTTCTTCTTGTAGAGTTCAACCTGTGCTTTGTATATCCTTGATATCCACCCCTTATTGGATGGGTATTAGGTAAATATTCTTTTCGATCTGTAGATTGTCTTTGTATTTTGGTCATTGTATCTTTTGAGGTGCAGAAGTTTCTTAGTTTAATATAGTCCCATTTGTTTATCTCTGTTTCCACTTGGTTGACCAGTGGCGTGTCATCTTTGAAGATACCCTTAGTCTCAATATTCTGGAGGGTTTTGCTAAACTTGTCTTCAATGTATCTTATGGATTCTGGTCTGATGTTGAGGTCTTTAATCCATTTTGATCTGACTTATGTGCATGGTGTTAAGTCGAGGTCTAAGCCCATTTTTTTTATATGTTTGTCCAGTTATGCCAGCATCATTTGTTAAAGAGACTTTCCTTGCTCTACTTCACATTTTTTGCTCCTTTATCAAAGATTAGATGTTTATACTTTAGGGGTTGTGTGTAGGGATATTCCACCCTGTTGCATTGGTCTATGGCTCTGCCTTTGTACCAGTACCATGCTGTTTTAATTGTTACCGCTTTCTAGTAGAGTTTGAGGTTGGGAAGGGTGATGCCTCCCATCGTCTTTTTCCCAAGAACTGCTTTAACTATTCATGGGTGTTTGTTGTTCCAAATGAATTTTAGGAGTGCTTGATCTATTTCTTTGAAGAATTTTATGGGTATCCTTATAGGGATTGCATAGAATCTTTATAGTGCCTTGGGGATTATTGCCATTTTGACAATGTTAATTCTTCCATCAATGAGCAGGGGATATGTTTCCATTTCCTCATGTCCTCTTTTATTTTGTTGAGTAGCGTTTTGTAGTTTTCTTTGTAGAGTTCCTTTACCTTCTTAGGTTGATTCCGAGGTACTTGATTTTGTGGGGCACGGTTGTGATCGGGATTGCTTTCTTTCATGTCTCTTTCCTCTGTCTCATTATTTGCATATAGGAAGGCCATGGATTTTTGGGTATTGATTTCATTGCCTGTGACTTTAATGTACAAGTCTATTGTTTCTAGGAGTTTCTTGGTAGAGAGTTTAGGATTCTCTAGATATAATACCATATCATCTGCGAATAGTGAGAGCTTGATTTCTTCCTTTCCTATCTGATGCCCTTAATATCTTTTTCTGCTTATGTGCTATTGCAAGTATTTCCAGTACTATATTGAACAGAAGTGGTGAGATTGGGCATCCTTGTTTTGTCCCTGATCTTAGAGGGAAGTCCTGTAGTTTTTCCCCATTGAGGATAATGCTTGCCATGGGTTTGTCATAGATGACTTTGACTATCTTGAGGAAAGTTCCTTCTAAACCCTTTTTGTGAGAGTTTTTATCATAAATGGGTGTTGGATCTTGTCAAATGCTTTCTTTTCATCTATTGATATGGTTTTTATCTTTACTTTTGTTGATAGGCTGGACTGATAGCATAGCGGTAGGGCATTTGCCTTGCATGCAGCTGGCCCGGCTGAGCTGGGTTCAATTCCTCCGCCCCTCTCGGAGAGCCTGGCAAGCGACCGAGAGTATCTCACCCGCACAGCAAAGCCTGGCAAGCTACCCGTGACATATTCAATATGCCAAACACAGTAACAACAAGTCTCATGATGGAGACGTTACTGGGCCCGCTCGAGCAAATCGATGAACAATGGGAGGACCATGACTGTGATATTTGGGCTGAAGCGATAGCACAGCAGGGAGGGCGTTTGCCTTGCACGCAGCCAACATGGCTGACCCGAATTTGATTCCTCCACCCCTCTCGGAGAGCCCAGCAAGCTACCAAGAGTGTCTCGCCTGCACGACAAAGCCTGGCAAGCTACCCGTGATGTATTTGATATGCCAAACACAGTAACAAGTCTCACAGTGTTACTGGGTCTGCTTGAGCAAATTGATGAATAATGGGAGAACAGTGACAGTGACAGTGACTTTTGTTGATATGATGGATTATGTTGATTGATTTCCCTGGGATGAATCCCACTTGGTCATAGTATATAATCTTTTAGATGAGTTATTGCATTCTATTTGCTAATATTTTGTTG